TTTTTCAAGACCGAGTTTACGAATGAATTGCAAATTGAATAAGCGCACGGTATGATAAAATATGTTAGGTATTCTAGGATTATTTTTCAACCGATACTCTTTTAAGATATAAGATCTATTAAAAAAGGCGCAACGCAACCAACGTGCAAAAGTCAAAGTTTTTGCTATAAATCAAGCAACAAAAAAAATCGAAAATAATTAAAATGGGACGGAGGGGGGGGGGGACGGAGGGGGGGGGGGGGGGGTAATAATTATATAAAGTGAAACAACTTCACACGAATTCTTGTATTTGAAAAATGAACTCATTAACTTAGTAAGAAACTGGATGATATACCCCTGGAGACTGAAAAATGGGGATATTTGGAGTAAAAGGACTTAAAGTCGCGAAACATCTCTAATCATGTCTTATATACATATTGCTCCCCCCCCCTCCGTCCCCTCCCCCCCTCCGTCCCAAATTCATTATTTTCGATTATTTTTTATTTCACATATGGAAACTTATTTTATAAATTCAGCAATGACATTAATTTAGTTATGATAACATCACTTACAAGTATTTATTACAGGTCGTCCAGACCATTGTTGCTTGATTCATAGCAAAAACGTTGATTTGTGCCTGTTGATGGCCTTGCGCCTTTTTTAATAGATCTCATACCTTAGATGCGTATCGTTTCAGAAAAAATCCCAGAAAACCTAACCACGGGGGATAAGCAAAACGAGGGCGAAGCCACGGACTGCGACTCGCGTAATTCAAAACGAGGTTACAACGCATTATAGCTGAACAATGGCGGTAAGTCCAAACTTAATTTGGAAGGCATGTTAGGAATTGGTGTAGATTATTGGTTTGGATATTCTACAGAATAGCTAGTATGTTCCAGTCGGTGATCAACATATTCATACTCCACCTGCAATGGCATTCTTGGTGCTCGGCTATCCAATAGTTTAGCATGAACACAAATGAATTCGAAATCTGCCACAAAAAATGTAATTTTGTCAATATTTGTCCCTAATATACCGATTTAAACAAAGGAATCAGAAATGACATCGAATTGATATAATTATTCATGTTCTGTTGTTACAATTACATCTTCGTGTGATATTTGGTAAGCGGAAAACGTACAATTACATAGAACATTGGAATTTATAATAGTCGCAGTCCATCCATCTGCCCAACGCAGTCCGCGACTCAGTGTTGCTTTATATCTGAAGCTGAACGCAATCACAGCCAAAGGTAGATAGCACAATGTGTGTACAGGTGTGGCCGAAATGGAGCAACTTTGGACAAAATTGAATATAAAGGGCTATTTTAATAGACCTACATCGTGTCTCAATCCATTCTGCAAATATATACAAGCTGTCAAATACAGCTGAAATCATGAATTTATGGTAGCTAGCAATATTGATGGACTGTTGGAAAGATCATCCAAAATTACATTAACTCACCAACTCTCCAATTATTTGATATTTTCCTGATATCTTAAATACTAGTTAATGTACCCTTCCCCAACAGCTTTTATTGCATCATCAAAAAGTTAATTGTTTCGCATTTCTACTTCTTATAAAAAGTCTCACCACTATCCAATTATCTATATATTTAACCCTATCCACAAATTGGTTTGTAATAAACATATTACGTTGTCATCTTGCGCTCGACTGTTCTCTCAAATACGCTATTGAATTGCCATATTTCTAGGTCTTAAACGATACAATATAGCAATTTGGGACATTGATTCAGGTAAAAAATATATGTTAATCAACGTAACTTTGAATGATAATCTGGATGCTGACTTTCTTTTCCTGAAACAATAATAGCGTAGGAATATAGTTTACACTATTTTATTTATTTCGTGTTCGCGGTTGGACTGCGTTGCTTAGAATATCAATGGAGGCTGTGTTGCGTTGTTGAAATAGCTTTGTTTACTGGACTGCGTCCACTATGAATGCGCAGTTTGAATCTAATTTTCTCCTCATGAACACATTCTATTATCAAATCAGTTTCACGAATTATACTCGGAGCCTCAACTAACCTTTAGATATCAGAAACGTGTTAAAACTCCTTTCAAATGTATATACACGTCGCACGAAACTGGGGACAATTAGAGTAACATTATGGCGTCAAAATACCAAAACAATACAATGGGCAGTATAGGGCGCAATCAGCATTATAACGTCAAAAACGACAAGCGTTACATTTGTCAAGTTTAGTCAACATAAAAATAAGATGCTTTATTCTTATTCAATCCTGGTAAAATTAACAGAGTAACAAGATCTCGAGGACAATATTTCTAAAATGTTTTTGATTTTTGAAAAACGGTCAGGAAGTCCATTCGGGGCGTTAGTAAAAATTGATGTGTATGGGATTTGTGGTAAAAAATCGATGCGTTACATTTTTTCAAGTCTCTAAAAGCAACTCTTATTCTCTTATTATTTGAAAAATAAAGAAATCGGTTATTGTTTTGTAAATTTCGCCATGACAATATTGTGCAGTTAAATTTTTTTTGAAATCAGACCTAAATTAGAAGGTTAAATAAAGGTAAACTTATTGCTTGTCTCCTTCGCCTTCAAAACCTTACACAATTTTGAAAATCTTAAAAGCGTTCATATAAGACGATTTGAACTGTAGCCGCTAGGCAATTGTGACGTCATAAAAGCACATGGTTCAATGAATAAAATGTGAAATTTTAGTAAAATTCTGATCAGTATTACAAAAGTTATACCGATTTCAACGAACCGTGCAAGCGTGAAATGTTACGTCTTACAGCGTATTTGACGATGTCGGAGTACATTTAACTTCAAAATTATGGTAGATCCTATCACACTTTCCATGGAAAAATAATTTCAGTGAAATGCGAATAAAAAATACTTCAAAATGATATATAATGCCCATAGTTAGCTTTTTAAATAAGGCAGATATTAACGCTTAAAGCTGAGATTACCCTGTATTTCCCGAATTGTCCCCAGGTCCGTGCACGTCATAATAGTAAATTAAAAAATATGCACATATTTAACAGGTAAAATCAGAACTTTGCTACTGTTTTAGCTTGATCTGGACAACTGCTTATTTTCTTATCTACAGACCAACAGTAGATACAGAGTAATATTTTGGTCACCGATTAGACACTACGATAGCATTTAAAATACCTGGATTTCTCTATTTTGTCGGAAGAAGCAGAAGGCACTGACGGATGTCCCTCCATTTTGGCGCTGGGCTGCGGTGTAAAGTTACGCGAGTCGCAGTCCGTGGCTTCGCCCTCGTTTTGCTTATCCCCCGTGCTAACATATTCTACCATACCGTGCGCCTATCCATTTAGCAATTCAATAGTAAACTTGTTCTTGAAAAAATAAATCTTCCGGATTTGTTGAATTTCCTAGCAGAAATTGCCTGCTCCCCCCCTCCGTCCCATATTCACGATCACCGGGCGTGTTCCTCATGATTACAGGGAGTTATATTGCTCTCCACATCAAGGAGAGAGTTGTATAATACATTGTCTCCATTGTTTCCATGGAGCTCTTTTGTCCTTTTATTTAGGGTGTGATGATCTCAGACTTTGTAGATCGTCTCAGCTTGCCATGGCAGGTAGGCTTTGTTGATTGGGAGAAAAACTCTCCAAAGTTAGCATTTTTGTGTTAACATACAATGTAAAGACAATATAATTCTCATTTTTCAGAGAATCGAGGTCCTGTTTTGCTTTTGTCTTAGGTTTGGGTTCTGGTCGACTGAACAGTGGGCGTTTATTTCGAGTAATTTTATGTTGGAGAGGTGTTTTCTATCCACAAGACGATCTTGAATAAATGAATCACATCATTGGTCTTTTCCAAGCTGTTGTATTGTAGTTATGGTCTCAATCACCTCTTTCCCCATCATTATCTTAGTATCAAGGGAGAATAGCCCATCAGAAATTTCAAGAAATGGGTTCCACCATTTCATCAATAGTGGCAGTGAGAGCTTATACATCTTTCATGAATTTTGTGTTGCCTATGTCTGATCATGGTGTCGTCAGTTGGTGTCATCTTTAAGATCAACTCCATCAAATTCCTCTAAGATAGGGTTATGTCTGGTCCTACAACCATCCACTTACGCAGGGCATTTAGATCATCAAGGAGCCAACTGCCAACCATCTCCCTATATGATACTATTATTTTGTTCATAAGCTCGGTCAATTGGTATTCCTGAGAAGGCTCGTTTGGTCTTTTTACCACAAAAATGACCAGTCATAAATCACCAGGAGCATTGGTTTTCAGTAACACCATGTCTTGTACGTGAAATTGTATCCACCTTGCGTAATTTGTTTGATCAAGGACAAAAAACCAGGGCATACGTTTGGAGAGAGATTCAACATACAAGGGAAAGTTGCCCTCTCCTAGTGATCGGATGAATGTGAAGAGTAGCAACTGTTCAGACTGAGAGACATTTGAGACCTCTATGACATTGACCCCTTTCCAGAATTTGTCATAAACTTTCTAAAGCTTTGCTTTCCTGAAAATGTAAAGTTTTGAGCCCTTATTTGACAGACCCCTCCCAGACTACCATAGTTTATTCTTTTTATACCTCCGGATCCAGATAGTGGCATTACTAATTACGAATTATATTGTGCAATATACACTTACATATAAAGGATGGCTAAAATTGTTATATTTTATACATTTCTTTTCATCTAATATTGAATATTCGACAGCTGACAAGCAAAAGTAATTTTTTTGAATTGCAAAAATTTTGACTGAAAACTATGTAATTATGATTATAACTTACAATATATTTAATTTTTGAACAGTGTTATTATGGAATGTATAAAACAGCTAAATATGAATATTTACATGGCATCTATTATAAGCCCTCTATTGTAAATAATGAAAGTTTACGATGTTAATTAGCGATGTCCTAGATCACCATTGTGTCTTTGATAACATCATAGATATGTACAGCATATAGTATACTCTCCTTTTATCACAATTTGCAACTTATATAATTATATTGTTATATATAATGCGTATATATCCCCCGGACTTCACTGCTACTACTCGCGAGATAAGCACATAATACTATATATAGTACAGCAGATGTCCTTAGGGTCTAGAAGTTAAATTGTTGATGGAGCTCTTGGACACCAAGTTCTCAATATATATAAAGATTATCATCTTCCATTCCAACTGTTCACCCACTAGTTCAACCAAATATGATTCGTCATAAAATGTCAACTCTATGTTTATTTGGTGTTTCAAATGCTGCCCTTTCCTATTTAACATAGTATTTTAATAAATCGCATTTTAAGTTTCAACTTTGTTTATTTTGACTATCCAATGTATGCTGCGTCGTCTTCCGAAATAAAATTCCATCTTAATCCATCATCTCCTAGACAATGCTGATCAATGTTATTGTGCAAGTAGTGCCATATTCCCATTACTTTTCAGGTTTACAGTCTTCCAACAGATGAAGTGAACGTTGGCCTCTTAATAGAATACTGCAAAAATTATATAAAAACAATACGTTTTTGGATTCAACGTCATCAACATACATTGAAAAGAAGTTAACTAAGTAAACACTGCTTTGAAGAAAGTGGACATATTAATGTGTTGCTCCCTGGGGCCTTTCCTTACGAATATATTAATAAAAACAGCCAATCAGCCAATAGAAGGAGCAACAATATTACATCTAAACGTCCACGTTCAGGTTCTCCCAAATATTCTGTTATTTTCTAAAAGTATAACAATGTGTTTAAACTCACATCCTTATTTGTGTCGATACCATCAAGACGTGGGAAGAAGTCGCTTTGTCCGTCTTCTCTGCTATCTTTGGTATATTCATTATTGGAGTAAGCCCTGTTGTCATAGCCCCTCGAGATCTATTAAGTGAATAGCAAAAAGAATGAATAATACAGAAAATCCAAATAACAAAACAAATGTCCGTAGATGTGAATATTTTGAATCTTGGAAAAGACGTTGCAAATATGTGTACATATAATAGGTAAAGAGATTTGACTATTTAGTCTCAAGTGGTCTTCGAGTAATAAGAAAGCGATTTGCATTACTAATAATTAGTAGTATTATTACTCTATAAGGGATACAAGAGTGCTTCTACAACTTTCTTCTAAAAGTTTTGGGTGATGAGGTTTTTGTTTTATAAATGAACTCTCTGTCGTATGATCGTCTGGTGTCATGCAAACTGAATTGTCCTCCTTTTCACATGATTGTACGTTGGCATAAAAGTTAAATCAACCGCTCTTTCATATTCAGCAAACTACAAACTCATCATAATCGTTTGCTAAATATGAGTTAGTCTCACCTCTCTCTCATATGGGCGTCTGTTGTCGTACAAGTTCCGTTCAGCCCGTTCCCGTTCATAGAGCCTTCTGTCTGGATCGTCATCTCTCTTGTTGGGAGATTTGTAGTCATCGTAAAATGACCTATCTGGCTTAGCTTCCTCACGCCCATAATTGTCTGCTGGGTATCTGGCAACTCCAATATCTCGATCGTCTCGCATCGTCCTTCTATCTCCTTCTCTGGCAAGATCAAACCGTGCTTCTTCTTCAGGAGAAAGAGGCCTGACTGGTTGGTCTCCCTGTTTCAGCCAACTTTCTGTGCGTTTTGGTGGCATCCTGTCTGGGTCAGAGACAATCCTTCTCTCGAGGTTACTTTCATCTTGTTGACTGGAAAATACCGGCCACACTTTGGGATCGTTCGATCGTGTTGGGCCTTGATTGCGAGGATCATCCCTGTAGCGTTCATCTCGATTGCGTTCATCCATGTAGCGTTCATCTCGATTGCGTTCGTCCCTGTAGCGTTCATCTCGGTTGCGCTCGTCCTTGTAGCGTTCATCTTTATAGCGATCATCTCGTCTAAGTTCTTCAGAAAATCTATCAGGCAATTAATCGTTACATTGAGTTTGACGGACTTTTATTCAAAACACATTGGCGGTGAAGAAATAATTCGGAATGGAAATTTAAGACCAAACGCCAAAAATTGACAAAAAAGCAGACACAATCAAATCACTTGCACGTTTCCATTTTGGCGTGGTGATATTATACTATTTGAAGTACGTACCCATTTGGTCCTTCTCTTATTTGAGGATCTGACATTTCTCGTTTAGGAGGTTCAGACAACGGGTGACCCTCCATTCTAAAAAGACAATATAAACCTCATGAAATATTCAATGCATCGTTACAGTTTAAACGTTTTATCTATGTTTAAAAGCGAGTCACGACGTCATGATTTACGAAATCGCCATTCTCACCCTTGGTATACGCAGCTAACGAAAATTTACTGGTACGGGTCAAAAGCTGGACCGGTACGGGTTAACGGTTTTATTTGAATTTAAAATAGCCATAACTTGCTCAATATTGACTTCCTCGTGTCTAATTTGAAATATATGATGCCTCCCGATGCTTTTACGAGGGGTGATCAATAAGTAATGGACGCTTTTTTACACAGATACTTTTTATAGACCAATCCCCTTGATTTTCCTACCAGTGATACATCATTCAATTATCTATCAATTCTGAAGATTTGAAGACAAGATATATAATACACATTGATATATCCTTATTTCCGTGAAGGAGGTACAGGTACCCCGGGACCGACATTTACGTCACATATTCAGTTTTTAGCCAGTTTGGTAAATTTCAGTTAGATTGGAACTTTTTATTTGCAACAAGTGTTGTGTTGTTTGAATTTTTTTGCTGACTGGTAACACATAAACAGAAAGTATTGTGATGTCATAGTGTTGTATGGAAGGGGTTTGCAGGTCAATTTGAGAAAGCATTGTGGAAGAAAGGGGTGGTGAGAGAAGGGAACACCCTACTCCATATGGACAATGCACCTGCCCACAGATCTCAAAATGTTCAGAAAACAATATCCCTGGACCTCAAAATTGAGCCCTTGGCCAATGCACCATATTGTCCAGATCTGCTCACATGTGACTTGTTTATTTCTATACTACTTATTTCTATAGAGAAAGGACGCAGGTTTATTGACATTGATGAATTAAACAATGATAAAACAATCTATTTAGATGGCCCTGTTGAATGAATGTGGCATGAATACCACATAGAGATGATAAAATATTCCAAATTAACTCTGGCAAAACAAAATGGGGTAATTCATGACCATAATGGTTTGTTTTGTTCAGCCTGTATTTAACTGCATTGCATGTTAAACAAGCTAAAATAGTTTCAGAATATGTGACGTAAATGTCGGTCCTGGGGTACCTGTACCTCCTTCACAGAAATAAGGATATATCAACATGTATTATATATTTTGTCTTCAAATCTTCAGAGTTGATAGATAATTGAATGATGTATCACTGGTAAGAAAATCAAAGGGATTGGTCTATAAAAAGCATCTGGGTAAAAAAGCGTCCATTACTTATTGATCACCCCTCGTAAGTACCCCAATTTTTTACAGATTTTTAAACGGACCAAAACTCTCTAAATGCGCATTTATGATCTTTTCTCTCGATAACGACTGTCTCATTTTCATGATAACTTTTATTTAGTACTTCTAACATATAAGATCTATTTTTCCCCATCAAGGTATGATGTAAATGACATGCTATTTACATATTGTGAGTTTCATCACAATGCCAAACTTTGTGACAAAGAATTTCATCCTGCTTGCAGCGAGAAGACGGACGATGAAATTCTTTGTCACAAAGTTTGGCATTTTTTTATAAAATCAAACGCGCGTCATTGAAACTCATCATATATTTCAAATTAGACACGAGGAAGTCAATATTGAGCAAGTTATGGCTGTTTTAAATTCAAATAAAACCGTTAACCCGTACCGGTCCAGCTTTTGACCCGTACCGGTCAATTTTCGTTAGCTGCGTATACCAAGGGTGATTCTCAAACACTAGCCCAATTTACACTACGCGCAGCATTCCAAGATGTTTGGGCTAAAACGTTTTAGAAAAATTAACATTATATTACCATTTTCAAGACGTCATGGGAATAAGATCGAGTTTACACCTGTTTTCCCAAAACGTCTTAGAGATATGTAGGTATACATGTAAAATGAAAAAAGCAGTTCAGTCAATATAGCTATTCCTTTACTGCTTCTATACTTTGTACAAGGGATGAGAAAAAATAAAGGACCATGCGACATGTGTAAATGGAAAGTTTCAAATGTTTCGTTCGGCGCAACGCAAAAAAACATTTTAGCTAAGCGCTCTTAGCCGAGAGCTCTTGGGTAAATCAGGATTTACATTACATTTGTAAAACGTTTTAACGCTAAAACGTTTTAGCTAAGACGTCTGAGCGCGCTAGTGTAAATCCAACAACTATGAAGAACTCATCAACACCAACAAGTACAAATACCAGAAAAGGGCAGTCGTGTATGAGGGTTGAGCATTTCTTCCCAAATATGAAATTTAAACTTTTATATATTTCAGTACTTGATGCTTGGCTTCAGTTTCGAGTCATCAACTTTGTCGATATCATACAATTCAGCAGGTATAGTTTTTGGCACAGGGGGAGACCTTTTCTTAGCAGTGCACACAATCAGAATGATGATTAATATCAACACAGCTCCACCTAAACTTCCACCAACGATGGCAACTATTTGGACGTATGACTTGCATTCACCACCTTGCAGGTAGAAACCATCATTGCACCTAAACAATATAGCATTAGTGAAGTCATTGGACAGGTAAGAACCTGATTTGTGACTTGGGAAGTATGATAGCATTGTCTGTTTTGGCTTGAAGAAAGTAAAGTTATAATAAAGGTGTACAGAAAACTTTTTAGAAAAAACATCGGTATGGTGGAGTAAGGATAAATTGGAAATAAGCAATTATGCAGAGACTTTTTGGTTTAGGTATATGAGGGCTGGCAAACCAGTCCACTGCAGGCTTGCATGTATTTTCAGGTAAGAGCATTCTTTCAAAACTAATATCTTACTTGCAAACTGGTATTGCAGTTGTTAAATTGCCATCCAAAGAGCATTTTCCATTTTCACAGTCACCTTGCCGCCATTTGCCATAAGGAGTTTGTGCACACAAGCTGAAGCAAGCAAGGTCCCCATTATGTTCATAGCATCTGTGTCCATAGTCACATCGGACGAAGTTTCCTCGGTTGTTACACATACTGACTACAATGATTACTGTATATTTAAGGATTGAAGCCCTGGACTCAGTGCATTGTGTGCTGAATCATTCAATCATTCAATCATTCAAGTCGTTTTTCCAATTAATCTTTGCATGACCGAGCAATGGAATGAAGCAGTCACAATACAAATGGGGTTTCGGCTTAAATCATTTTCACAAATCGCAAAATATTTTCTACAAAATCACTAATAGAACATTCTTCAATGAAACTTTTTGCAAGGGTCATGTTGGCAAAGCATCAATTTCAATCTATAGTCACCTTGACAACCATACAAAAATGCGTCATTGGTTAAAACGGAATGCGGTTACGTGAAATAGCGTGTTTTGATTGGCTGGAATGAGACACACCTTGCATACACTGTAGCTATGTGTGAATTAAAAATAGCCCATCTCATTAATACTTATTTCTATATATTTTATATATTCGTGATACCATATGATATCCAGTGATACCAAATGAAGTTCAGAGAAAGAATTTGATTTTGTATTTTTTTCAATCGTTAACTATAAGATCAACAAGCCTACCTTTGTTAGTGTAGAAGAGTGTAAGAAGGATCTGGTGCTTTACAGTTCACCAATATTAACTCCAAAGTCGAAGAAAAAGTAATTTGGGAAGTTGTTGGTTTTCATTTCAATGATTTCAATTATGCCTACATTCAAACCGAAAGCCCATTTTATTGTAGGCAATTTAAGCCATTGCATTTATTTACCATTGCTGATTTGCTTTAATGTTGTCTCTTGAAGATACATCGAGTCAATCGTGAGATCATTCGGCGTTCCAGTGATGCTAGTCTTAAATGTCTTATTTCCCATTGATTGAATGGTTTCAGCAAGACGATCTCTGAAGCCTCGGGTAGCATTTGGTTTGCTGAGTTCAGACAATGCGTCATATACCAGATCAAATACAGCTATTACACTACCATTCCTAAATGGAAATAATGTAACGTACAACAACTGAATGATGCTGAGTGAATGAGAGGTGAGGTCTGAAAATACATTTCATCATGGGTTTATTTCTAATGTTACCATTACAGCTACAACAATGTTTCTTCTTCTAGTTTTGCTTCAAAATTACCTGAAGTTTGTAATGTCACATCGACGAAGACTGCCTGTGCTATTCAAACCTCCATTTCCGTGCTAAAAAACAAATTGGATGTACAATGCATAACCAGTATTGGCCTGTTGGATAATTCAGAAGGTGATGTCAACATATATAAAGGTTATGGACTGGGAGGTTTTGGATATGGGGTTTATCCAGAGGGAGATATGCATATCTACCCGAGGGACCGTAGGGACCGAAGGTAGATGTGTATATCTCACGAGGGATGAACCCAATATCCAAACCGACCGTACATAACTGCTTTATCCTATACCAAGTAGAGTTTTTTAATTTTCTTTCGATTTTTTTCAATTTTTTTTGAATTTTTCACATTTTTCTAATTTTTTCAATTTTTCTATTTTTTCAAATTTTTATTTTTTTGATTTTTTCATATTTTTTCAAAAATTGAAAAAAAAAAATTTTCGAAGCGGGAAGATATGCCCTGGAGCGGGAGATATGGCGGGAGATATGGAGGTTCGGGATATGGAAACCTCAAAATCAGGATACGGGATATATCTTACCAACTTATCTCCCTAAAACTCTACTTGGCATAGGATAATTGGCCATATCGAGATAATTATGTAATGGATTAATCTTTATATTATAATATAATTTGCAAATTAGTTAAATTCTTTTTACACAGTCTGTAAAACTGACGTGTCTATACAGTAAAGCCTGTTTTATTTGAACGCCATTGGGATCGGCTTAAAATGTTCACATTTCAAGGATTTTGCAATCGGGATCTTTATTGCATTCTAAAAATAAAAATCGTATACATTTATGTCATATTAGAAAGACATATTATTTTCTCCAAGGTTAGAATATAATAGTACAATAATCAATGAAAGATTTTTGAGTAATTTTGATGAGACAAGCCACGATGATACCATGAGCACATGCTTTAAGGATCCGCGTTGTTTGAACCTACCACCGAGCTCACTTATACATCAAGACCCGTTACACAGTCATGATACCGCCGAGCAAGCTCATTGTATCATCGGGTCTGCTTTACCCCCATGCATTCGGTATTTTATGAAAAGTGTTCCTATTAGGAGGTGTTCACACTACAATATATCTTTAACATAGGAATCAATGGAAGGAAAAAATAGACCGAACGTGTTCAGAATGGTAGATGTTCGAATTAGCCAAGTGTTTGAATATACAGCTTTTCTTGTATCATGCGTGTCCAAAGTAAGAATTTCTGATTGATCTAAAAATCACTCATTGGAATATTGCAATAAAACTACAAAAGTGTAACAATTGCAACAGAAATGCAGGCTATAGCATTATTGTTTTACCATCCAAAATATTATTACCAAAAATAAATCAAATCAATTATATTCTCATATTCTCATGTTTTCCCAAATAAATATGTACGAATCAGTTTATATAACTTACATTTGTATCCAGGAGAAACGTCTTCACTTCTTCAGCTAATGTTTTGAACATTTCCGAAGTTGTATTAAGGAGTTCTCGATAAAAAGTTACCTCTCTCATTTTAATCGTCAACGCTGACATTTTTATTTCACTACCAGGCTCTATAAAAAAAGCAGAGTATCCACTAACATATTGAAACATCACAATTTGACGACTTGTGAATATTTCACTTGACCAAATATGCTCAAATAAAATATTTAGATGAGGACACAATTTTCTTCAAAGCATTTTAAATAGCGAGGACGAATCATTCACACTGTGTGTCCCGGTGTGAAAGAAATTGTGGTCCCCCAGGGATTATGACCCCCCTTCTTAACGGCCCTCAACGGCCCTTTAATAAATTATCAAACACATTAAATTGTTAACTTGAATATTTTGTTAAGAATATGTTGTTAAGTTTGCTTTTTCTATTAAAAAAATGATCATGTGGATTATGTGATGTCACGAGCTTACATGCTTCAGAAAAATAAAATTCATACAGATAAAAAGTTAAGTTTGTAACATCCTTTGCTCAGATTAAAGATGATCCAAAACAAATATATTGCAAAAATATCAACAAAATTACACCCTGTGTTACCCTTTGCATTCGTTCGACTTCACTTCTTAAAAGAGAGCTCCGTCTTCACTCTTTCAAACTAAAATAAACGTGTGAACTCACCGCGCCAATCAGTGCTCGTCGGCCAAATTTGACCGACGTTCTATATATGGTCATTCCTTCTGACGTCATCGTTAAGTCCGGAATTGACCAATGACAATTCAGAATTTATTTTAGCCAAAACACAAACTGTCACCGGCACCCGTCGTGGGGGCGGGGCTACTAAACTGTAATATGGTTTCTACTAGGCAGAGTGTAGTTTAACTAGACTCTGCACGCAGGGTAACCCTGTGTATAAATAATGATCAGAACTAAATCAACTTTCCTTAGGATATTTGCATTGAGAAAACAGGTCAGCGCATTAAATATATCAACTAATAGAATTGTATAACATACATCAGTGGTACCTGTATTGTTTGATGGTGTGTCTATGTATGTATTACACGCAAATAACACTTCAAGGAAAACATTAATATGCATATTAAATAAACGAACCTACGTCTTTTATAACCAAAATCAACAGTTGACAAAGACTAAATAAAAACCTAAAAAAAATCACAAGTATTTATGTATTGTTGTATTGGAAATCACGATTTACACATTGTTGTAAATAAACGAACCTACGTCTTTTATAACCAAATCAACAGTTGACAAAGACTAAATAAAAACCTTAAAAAAATCACAAGTATTTATGTATTGTTGTATTGGAAATCACGATTTACACATTTCTGATACTTTCAAAAGTAGTATCATTCAGCAATAACGCAGATGCGAGTAGGTATATAGTTACCAGTTTCACCACCAGGTGGCTCGTTCGGGTCAGATAGCATGGCGGATATAGTAGAAAGCTCCCTCTAACTTAAATGACATCCGTTAGTAGTTCTATCAATTTTCAAGAACCCTTATGTATCTAATTGTTATGCAAATTAAAATATGGCCAATAAAAGGAAATATTATCTGTCAAATACAAGAAAATATATATCACTTTTTGTACGGTGATTTTGTAACATGACTAGAAGTCACATACATTTTCAAAAAAATGAATTTTCAAAGTTGGTTCAATATTTGAATTCATATTTCTATATGCACTTTTACATGTTGATTTCAAATATGACATCACTTATACTGAATTTTGAATATTTTAATGACGTAAATCAAGATTAATCGCGTCTAGTCTATTAATCGTAATAAACGTGCTTAATCAATCCAGGATTAATATATAAGTACTCGAAGCGCTGAAAATTATTGGTAATTCTGCGTACATTTACATTTAGAATCGATTCTTTTGACCAATCAAATCGAGGCTTTCTGTGTCGTGTTTTCACCTGCGGTATATGGCATATTCCGCATTTGGGTATTCCATAATCCGCAGGCGAGTATGACATATTCCGCAGTGAGTATCGGGTATTCACTGAAAGCAATGTATCGCATATTCACTGCAGTATATGCCATACTCAAATGCGGAATATGCCATATACCACACGTGAGTATATGGCATATTCGACCGTATCACAAATACCGCACAACCATTAACATGCATGTATGCCGTATTCCGCGTAACACCGGGTACCTTGATTGTTTCAATGGCAATTCCTCGTATATGTTATAATTTTGCTAAACGTAAACATCTAGTTGTATGTAATTGCATTGTTTCAAACGTACTAAGTATAGGACATCTACTTGGTGGAGGTGGTGCTGTCGTGGTTACGGGTGCTGCTTCCGTGGTTGCTATTACGGCTGTTTGATTCGAGGCTGCTGTTGATGCTGTTGCTTCCGTGGTTGCTATTTCGGCTGTTTGATTAGAAGCTGCTGGTTTTGTGGTTGTCATATCGGCTGTTTGATTCGAGGCTACTCTTTCTGTGGTTGTTATATCGGCTGTTTGATTCGAGGCTGCTTTTTCTGTGGTTGTTATATCGGCTGTTAGATTCGAGGCTGCTGTTTCTGTGGTTGTTAAATCGGCTGTTTGATTCGAGGCTGCTGTTTCTGTGGTTGTTAAATCGGCTGTTTGATTCGAGGCTGCTGTTTCTGTGGTTGTTATATCGGCTGTAAGATTCGAGGCTGCTGTTTCTGTGGTTGTTAAATCGGCTGTTTGATTCGAGCTAGCTGAAGTCATCACAGCAAGGAAGCATAGCAATGGTACTAAAATAGATCCAAAGCAAAACAGAAAGGTAATCGGGCAATTTTTGCATTATATAGTTCACGACATGAAATATCTAGGACATCTAATAAAGGACCTGGTAGCACACTATAGCACAGAGATATTTGACCTGGGTTTCGTCTGTCCCACACAATTAGAGACTGGATGATTGGATCTTTTAAGAGTTTATCATTCCCAACTGTCTGTTGAATTTTCTACCAGAAATCGGCTACTCCCCCCTCTGTTCATTTTCCGATAACAGGGCGTGAGATCTGAACTAATTAGCTAGATACTTGGATATCTAGTGCATCTAATCTAATCTAGTATATGGATACGAGATTACATTACAAGCGCATAATATGAGTATAATATGATTTTATCCAGACATCTTGAAATATGGTTTTATAGACTAAGATCTGGCCTTTTACTAAAATCGCACCTTCATGCTCACTATCTTACAGAAATTAATTATCCCCTGTCGTTGTGGCCGATTATAGAAATTCAAACAACCATATTATTTATATCATATCTAATATTTTCACTCATACATTAAATTGCCGCTCATGGCAATTTGCTAATTGTAATAGTATAGTTTCCATATAGCTTTTGAAATCTCGCTAAATCTCGTTTTTCTGGAGATTTTAAGAGACTTGCATATTAGACCTCTAATGTATGTATGTATGTATATCTTTATTGCCCTTTATGAAAAGGAGATACATGTATACAGTGTACAATGAAAATAATGCTGATATAACATTAATGTTAAATGAACATAGAATAAAAATATATACAATATATAAAACACACTTTATACGACTACGTTAGATGAGTGCTAACCATTTTCCCCAAGGTCGATGTAAGCATCTCATCTAATGAACCACAGACGATATAAGATGCTACCGCTACCTCATCGTCCAATTACAACCCTCAATGAGATCATTTATGCAGAGATCATAATTGAAAAAGTAAAAAAGGTTAGGTTAAGAAAGGTTAAGTATGCACATACAATTTTAATACACTTATCTCATTAGTTGAGTGCAAACCATCTTCCCCAAGGTCGATGTAAGCATCTCATCCACTGAACCACAGACGATATAAGATGCTACCGCTACCTCATCGTCCAATTACAACCCTTAATGAGATCATTTTGTGCAGAGATCATAATTAAAAAGTAAAAAAGGTTAAGTATGTACATACATTTTATACATTATATAATACACTTATCTCATTAGTTGAGTGCAAACCATCTTCCCCAAGGTCGATGTAAGCATCTCATCCAATGAACCACAGACGATATAAGATGCTACCGCTACCTCATCGTCTAATTACAACCATTTGAGAGATCATTTGTTCAGAGATCACAATTGACAGTAGATATAGATTAAGTATGTACATATGGTTTATACCTTATGTATATAAAATATATAGATAGATATAAAATACTTGACGCATTAGTCAACAGATTTTAACCCATGGTTTGCATTAAAACGCATCCGAAATCATATAAGTCAGTTATGAGTTGCATTGCAAGCACGAAGCACGGAGGTGGTATTGCTCTTGCACAATAAGTGAAACCCCTCTCAAAAAAATGACTTACATTACCTTCTTTTAAATGGCATATTTGAATTCAGTGAAATGTTTTCTCCTATAATAGCTTTGATTTACACAGTTATGTAATTTGAATAATTTTCTATAACAATTTAAAAAAACTTGGGCCAAATGTCCATAGATGCAACTAAAATTCTTTAAATCCGTGGATTATTTGTATGTCAATCAACATTTGCATGTTTAATCACAACATGTACATAAACAGGGTCATCATGTGGTATATCATTCAAGTTTTATACAGATTCAACAAACATACTTTGATAAATCATGAAATTAAGCCACTTTTCCAAGATTTTAGCATGTAAATGAATGGAGCTCTAGCCCAAGTTAAAAGCTGAATAAAAGATGGCAGCACGAGATTTCATTGATTTTTCTCCTATTTAGAAACTATCCTATTGATTGCAATTGTCTATATTATAAAGAAATTGATAATCTGAAAAACACTTGGAAATAAACAATGACCCGTTACATAAAATAGAATATTTCCCTTAAATAATCTATCAGTCAGGACTAAAAAGAAAATGTGGGTCTTACCAATATGATAAAACGATGGTCTTGCCATGATGTAATATTCTGCTTAAGCTGGATTTCTGAAATTAAACAATATACAATAAATACAAGTACAACAATTCGTGATAAAAAAATCAAAATCAAACCAATCATATTTGAAGTAATTCGAAGCTTGCTTTCTAGATTGTGTACCTGACTAAATTGGATTCCCTTGCTTATGACTTTAGTACATCTCTATTCCATATGCACAAGTCCTCCGTTATATGCGTACGCTTATGTATAAACTGATTTATATTTTTGTTATTCCAACCACTAAACTTTGCAATTCTTAGAAATAAATCATATAATTACGTTTACGCCCAGTAAAACATAAGTTTGATACTTAAACTTTACTCTTACTATCTCTTACTAACGAGATATGACGAAGTGAGTAAACATGATTAATTCTTGATTGCATTGCAATGACTTAACTTGATAACGTAAACATTTCAAAGGACTTGCTTTTTTAGATAGCGAACATTGGTGGCAAAGGTTGTCTTGGTAATGTATGTAAAATCGTGATAACTTCAGTACATAGTTTTAAATTACTAACTGATATTTGGTATAAACTGGATCTTTTACTGATTGCAATTTCCACAGCGCTTTGTCACGCCAATGAAGTAAAAGTCATTCATCACTAATTTCCATCAATTAAATTCACTACCACACCCCCTGCATAAGTTTGGCAATTGCAACCTGAACTCTAGTCTTGCATTATGACCCTAAACCCCCTACCTAATATTCGCGAGATGTGTTGGAGAAGTAGATAGGGGGAGGGGTCCACAGCCTTGAAGCAAGACTACCTGAGGTCTCGGCCATTGGATCAGTGGTAAAGTCGTCACTCGTCACTTGTATGGTCAGAGCACACTTGAAGTTACAAACATCTCTCCCGCCACAACGCCGAACGCCAATTAAATGTAGGTACGTTTATGTTCACGTGGGGAAATACTTGACAAGTATAATAAAGCATTTTAGGGTAGGCGTAGATATGTATACCTGATTAAATTTTACACCAGTATGTAGCCAAACAAGCAAATGGATGTCAAAGTCACCAGATTATTCTAATGCACTTGACCCAGTTAAATACGTACTGTTGTCTGTTTTTAACATACATTTGGAACAGACGCGTCGCTAGCTTACTCCCCCAATTTGAATTTTTTATCGAATACACAGGGAGATATGCTGAGTACTACAATAGTGCTCATCTAATTTTAGCCCTCATTCAGTAAATATTAGTACTAAATGAGCTTTTATGACATGAGTACTGATTTGTTGCATGTATTAGTCCCGGTATTAGTACTTCATGAGTACTCATATGAAGCGTGCTCATCAGCGCGCTTTTGCTAGAGTGCTAATTTTGTACTAATTGAGTGATCGGCATATTTCCCTGAGCACATTTCACAGATTACCCTACTATCACACCAAACTAGTTCTCACTACGTTCTCGAAAACGGGCTTCAACTGTGTACGAACGGACGTACTAAGAACCGTTTGGAATCTATTTACAAACTTCATCGAACGTACTCGAACGGGTAGGTCCTCTAGAACTTAGACAATGCTCAATTGTACTCGGGGTCGTCACGTTCTACAATTAGAACGAGTGACAACGTACTAACGACGAGCTGGACGTACTACGAACGGAACCGTCGTACTTCAATCTTACTAGGGACGTTTTAACAACGAGTTGAACTGTCTGAGGACATGTTGAGAACGAGGTAGAACTAATTACAAACGGGTTTAAACTGATTAAGAACGTATTTAACACTGCTTAAGAACGAGTTAGCAAAAATATAGCTATCACACCAAACAAGTTGCCACTGCGTTCTTCAAAACTGGTTTGAAACTGTGTGCGAATGGAATGAACGTAGCTGCAACTTTCTAAGGTCTATTTACGAACTTAATGAACGTTCTCAGACGGGAATGTGATTTTAGAATTTTGAATCGATTCAAAGTTCGATGGCGACCATGCCGTTCTGTAATCAGGTCATGTTGACCTTCTAGACTAAGGGACGCGTTCTACGACGTTGCACACCGACGTGGTGCGACCTGAACGAACTGCGAACGAGATGGACGTATTGAAGACTGTTTAAGGACGAAGAAGCTAATTATTTCAGACATATTTCCCGACCACAGCCAGATTGAGCCCGTTTTACGACGTTTTCGTAGGACTGGCAAGAACGGGTAAGAACTAGTTTGGTGTGATAGGGGGGTTATGTACATGATCAAGATTTGACACAGCCTTTACTTTTTCTCCAATGAAAGGTGTTTATAACCCAGTGACATCAAACTGACACAGTCTTTTCATGACCATTCAAAATACAAATAACCATTAACCCCGCCACCTTTCATTTTCTTCAGGAAATACGCACACTAAGAAATGTAATTGAGTTCGAAAATATCAATAAACAAACTCTCGCTAGCTCTGAAAGTTTCACCTCCAAAGCTTCCCTAGTAACTAAAGTGGTGAGAAGGTTGACACAGAGAACAATGGCTAATTAACAATCAGGGATTATAATCAGGCATTTTGTCCTCGGGAGGTGAGTATCATTTTGTGTTACATCAAGAACAATAATCCAGTCTGTTATTTTTTGAAAGATATAATCACATCATCTCGATAGCCAAGTACATTCCACTTATGATATCACTTAAAGGTACTACATATGCTACATACAAGATAACAGCTATAGTATTTATTTAAGAATTAGGATAGGTTTTGGAAACACACACGAAGTGCAAAGCAAAATACTGTATTATCTATATTCTAGTTAGCTACCATAAAGCCCAAGTACTTGTCCTTATTGATATCATTTGACTCACTGTGTGATTAGGATAACGAATTGAACTGTTTTGGTGATGATAAAATGGACTCAAACGAAGCCTGCTTTGTCTTTTATTGGATTTTAAATTAAAATAATGCAATGTGATAATTACTTAATCATGAACACACGAAATGATGTGTCTTCATTTATGATTGATAACGTAATTGTGATCCACATAAGTCTGAATCAAAGAATCATATCTTACATATATTCAAAAAATGATTCTTTATCTCTCTCTTGAAGTTTACATATCAAACCAATGCAAGGCTGAGTATACAGTAGCCCGATGGGTCTATACTAAGTATGTAGAGAATTGTCAGGAATTGTAAAACTTTTAAACTATACTAACTAGTGTAGAATACGGTAATAACTTAACTTATGTAGGGTCAAGCCACTCAAAGCCCGTTAGTAGACTATTCAAATAAATCGAATGTACGTCTATTGAAATGGCTTATTGAATCAATACAATTGAAGACTTTCACTGCTTTGGATTTGTTTATTCTATTTAGTATTTATCAACCCATAGTCTTGTAATCCTATATTATTCAAACATTTCGTACATAATCCTTCAAATGCTGACCAATATCGAACACATTGATGTTACAACATTATTTCCTTTCACAGAAATCGAATAAATTCCTGGTGTTTTTTCCCGAATATATTTCAAAGTTATACATTAATTAACCAAGTGTTTTGTCTGAAATACAGGTTGTTTAATAAGTAAATAGTATTTTTATTGTGCAATACACAGTAGTAGCATTATACATTTCAATAACCATCCTGACTTTTGCTAAGAAATGTTTTATATTTGGTATTGTAATGGTTGTCATGGTAACTTGAATTAGAGTTCCATAGATCGATTCATCACAAATTATTGAATAAATGCAATCATTCTTTTTACAGGACATCTGGTCGGTATATTCCTCCAACCATTGACCATTAAAGTAATTTTTATGATTTTTTACTTGTATGTGAAACAATTCACAAACACAGCAACAACTGACAAAAACCAAGGTGAAAACTGTGAATGCAGAGCAAGTAAATTACTTATGACATGAGATATCAGAAAAAGAGTGACAATTTCATTCATAATTTGTTGAGTTAACATTTGCTCCGTGGAACCCGATTTCAAATTCATTGTTAAACTAGTATCTTTAAGATGGTTAGTGAAATGTATTATGCTACTCATCCTGTGTAAATCTGGCATGTTGATATTGCAATGAGCAAAATTAGCTCTACTTTTTGAACTACCTGTAGATTTATCGATAGACATTTTCTTTGAATTATTTATCAACTACAGTAAACAGTGCCAAAGCATCGCATGATTCAAGTGTTTATCGTAATCTATTTTTCCTGATTTCAGATATTTCCGGAACTGTACATGGAAAACACAAGTGCTTAAAGGCCACAGATATCACAGCAATGAGTAGCCGAGAATTTGTGCCAATTTCATTTCCTGGATGGAGTCAAAGTTTAACCAGAGCGATTTAAAGGTCCGATGACTACAAAATTACCGTAACACTCACCTTCCCTTCCCTAATAAGAAAACCTAGTCTAAATATGTATTCTACGTCACTAAGTGTTAAAGACATTGCACACAGGGTGCGTGGTTCAACTGCTAATAATTGGTTCACTGACCACACAGCCGAAGACAATAATGCTGAATATGTTGGTCCTCCCTCACCGAGATGTGGTAGCCCCGAAGGAAAACGGAACGCTTACCTTAGAGGGCACAGAGATAACATTCAGACCATCCTAAATGATGGTCCTGGTACGTATCTTGGTCATAAACGATCGTATACAGACCCAAGCCCGATTCCAAGAGTAAAACCAGAAGCTGTAGAGATCTATGAATCTCACCAAGGCAGAAAGCTGGCAACAATGATGACCGAATATGGTATGTTGCCATTGAGTGGAAGGCCAGTGGCAAGAATCAAACCAGAGGCACAAGATCTGTCATATGATCACAAAGGTGGAAGAATGGCGAATCTCCTCAATAACTATGGGAACAATCCTCGCTCGGCAAGACCGGAACCTCGTATTAAAGCGGAAGCCGAGTCGTCTGCAGAATTAGACAAAGGGAAGCGTATGGACACACTGATACATAGCTATGCTACGATGGGAGTATCAGCACGTGTACCAAGGGTTAAACCAGAAGCTGAATGTTCAGCTGACCTTGATAGAGGTAAACGAATGGATAAACTTTTACACAAATATCAAAAACAGGAAGAATTTACACCTAGACCCGTTCCAAGGGTTAAACGCGAAGCGGAGGATAGTGCTGAACTAGATAAAGGTAAAAGAATGGATGGTCTAATTCATAAATACAACAAATTACCACAATCAGCGAGACCAGTTCCAAGAGTTAAACCGGAGGCAAATGACGTCGCTGAAGCACATAAGGGAAAGAAAACTGAAAAACTACTCCATGAGTACGGCGAATTGGGTCTCTCAGTTAGGCCAGCACCAAGGGTAAAACCCGAGGCAGAAAGCACTGCTGAAAGAGGACGGGGGATAGTACAGCACCTCTTCCACAAGTACCACCAGTTGCCTACATCCCCCCGTCCTCAATCTAGAACTAAAGGCGGAGAGTGTAAGACTACTGCCAATAGAGCAAGAGGGTCAATTGATAAACTATGGAAGGAACAGGGTAGAAGGACGTGTGTCCCTGTACCTGGTGTTCAGTACAAAAAACACGAACGATTGCGGACCTGTTAAATTTTTTTTAATTTTGTATTTTTTCAATCTTCGGGAGTTGGGTGTTTTTTTTCATGGGTGGAATCAATCGAAGCTGGTGACACTTTTTTGACATTCTTCGCATGCTAGACTACACGTGTCTTGTATAGTTTTCAAATAAACTAGCTATTTAAAGTGTTTCCGACGTCATATATTAAAAATACACATTTAAAATAGTAGGTAAAAAATACACATTTAAAATAGTAGGTAAAAAAGTACACATTTAACATAGTAGGTCATTAAATTGCAATCAACCTGGCAATCGGTAGCCGATAGTTGCATTCGCGAATCTAGCACCAAGTGTCTTTCAATAGAAGCAGATTTAGCGGCAAAAAGTCGTTGCAAGAACGTACGAGGAACCTGTTATTCGACATTTTCAAGAAGGAGGTTGATTTGTATCCAAATATTTTACGGGTATGTTAATAGTAACATCCGGTTACTAAAAGCTAGTGACGAGCAAATATATACGTATTGAGCAGTTTCAGTAATCGAGGGAGAATTTCCTTACTTCAGAAACCAGGACGTTATCTGTTGCATTTCATAACGTCTTGGTTGCGTTGTGTTAACGCCCTTTAATTTTTATACCACCTTCGTATATCACAATTTTTTACGTTAGCATTACATACAGTATTTGTATTTTTATGTAGAAAGCAAATATAACATTGCTAAATTACGCCAGAAACTAACATTTTGTTGTTCGAAACTTATGGTGACAAAATCATAAATGTTCATTTTGATTCTTTTCTGTTAGCGACGCATAAACTGAGTTGTTCAACCAATCATCTAAGACATAGAATGACGTAATTCACAGGCGTTAGTGATGGATTTAAGCCCTGGCCTCAGTGCAATGTGGAATGACCATTCCCTGAAGGTGTTTCTTTCCACGAGATGCGAATTCCACAATGCATATAACCCTACTATCACACCAAACTAGTTCTCACTACGTTCTCGAAAACGGGCTTAAACTGTGCACGAACGGATTTGACGTACTTAGAACCCACTAAGAACCGTTTGGGATCTGTTTACAAACTTCATGAAACTACTAGAACGAGTAGGTCCTCCAGCACTTAGAGCATGCTCAAAATTTTCTGGTGATCGTCAGAACGTTGCCAAATCGGTTTTAAACTGTGTGCGAACTGAATGAACGTAGCTACAACGTTCTACGGTCTGTTTACGAACTTCATGGACTTTTCCGGACGGGGTATGTGATTTAGAATTTTGAATCAATTCAAAATTCGATGGCGACCATACCGTTCTGTAATCAGGTCATGATGACCTTCTAGACTAAGGGACGGTTTATACTACGTTGCACACCGACGTGGGGCGACCTGAACGAACTGCGAATGAGATGGACGTATTGGAGACTGTTTATGAACGAAGTAGCTAATTATTTTAGACATATATCCCGACCGCAGCCAGATTGAGCCCGTTTTACGACATTTTCCTAGGACTGGCAAGAACGGGTAAGAACTAGTTTGGTGTGATAGGGGGGTTAGCCTTTGGCTTAAATTCTTTTCACACGTTGCAAATTATTCTCTACCATGTCTCCTAAAATATAGGAAATCACTAAAAGAACATGTTTTCAATGAAACTTTTTGCAAAGGTCATGTTGGCAAAGCATCAATTCAATTTGTTGAGTCAAGTTGTCAACTTGACAACCATATTTAAAAGTGGCCTTGGATGCGATGATTGGAGTTTAAATGCACTGCAGTTATATGAAATACCGTATTCGGGATCGGACACACCTTGCCTAGCTATATGTGAATAAAGTTCATCTTTATCATGTTTACTTAAAGACAGGGTCGTGATTCGAAACGCTTACATTTAAATGCTTAAATGCTGAAAGTGTGTTTTGATGCATAGTGTTGTGAATTCTTTAGGTTAACCGTTAACATTATATTCATAATATATATGTAAGTATACAACGATTACATATTTAGACTATGGCCTGTACATGTATAAGCAATGTGTATGAAAATAAGTGATATACAGTCATATTAGTGATATACAGTTGCTAGTATAATCGGTTTGCAGATCTTCACTTTGCAGTGTGTCTTCCAAGATGTTGAAAAGGATCGTTGCAGTTGTAGTTTTTGGAATATTAGCACAGAGAATATTTCTCCTTGTGTAAGTATATGTTTTCGTGTTTCGTCTTCTTTTCTAGTTGTTTCATTTAAATTCTGCTCAAGGATGACACCACTATTCGATATGCAAAAATGTCCGAATGACTGGTAATTTAGGTGTTCAAGATTCCCCATAAAACCATAGCTTAAAATTATATGATAGCTCGGGTTAGTCCCGGGGTTAGTAAGTATTCAAAAATGTATGTTATATTGAAGATTAAATTGTATACTTTATGTACAAGGGTCGTTAAGACATAACGATTGTGTAGAATACTTAACACTGAAGTAATAAAGGAGCAAATGCTATATTTATAAATTCTGCAACTGAGCCAAAATAATTTGTATAAATGGCTCAGGCTATCTGCAACGCAAGTTATATGAAATGAGTAAGGACACACATGTATTATTGACCCTAAAAGTGCCCTGTATTCAAAGGTTTTCTGAAAGGACCCGAAAATACCAAATTGGAGAAAGTCTCGATGTTATAAAAGTTCCTATACTGTCCTTGGGGCACCTGTACGTTGTATAGGTGCACCAAGGCATAGATTGTTAACATTAATTGTCTAAGTATCAATCATTATCCAGATTGGACGATCTTGCAATGAAATATTCATACATCAAAAAGAAACTCCATGTGTTGCTTTTAAAATCCCAAAACACAATGGCATACCGCAAAACCTCTACCCTTTGCATTCGTTTGACTTCACTTCTTAAAAGAGAGCTTCGTGTAGTTTAACTAGACTGTGCACGCAGGGTACAAAACTTCTCATTTGATAAACAAATGTTCCTGTATTTTGCAGTGCCTGCTCGTGAATTCTGATCACAGGAAATGTCTAGCAAAGATATAATGATATAAATGTTCCATTCTTTGTCGATACCTGTTGTTGCCCTCGGTATATTCATCCTCCGAACACAGGCCTCTAGAACTCACACCCTAATCTTCTAGAAGAAGTAGGTACGAGTTCTGGAGGCCTGAGTTCGGAGGATGCGGTATATTGAAATTGTTGATGTGTCTTGATTGTGATTTTTCATTATATTGCTTAAAGGAGGTTGCTAGGATTCCACACAACCCTGTACAACCATAGACCAGGGCCATGTCGAGTTGTTCCGGGAATAGGTAAAATAACTTTGTTGCATACTATAGTAATAATTTTGTATTTGGTAGTTTATCTCACGTTGAATTTGATCACTTGTTGCACTGATCTGATCTGATGGATTTGGAGACTTTCATTAAACCAATGGTCTCGGCCTATATTTGCCGTAGACACGCCGTCGTTTTTTCCACATTCGCATTCTTGACTTATGAACCCCAAAACGAGGGAAAACCCCAGAGCTCAAAATTGATCTCAGTGACATATGTTGTTTACCACCTTCGTTTGTCACAACATTTCCACCATCTAGTTTCTGAATACCACACGTCGGTGTGATGGTAAATACGCGTTAATGTCATGAAGTTAAAATTTCTTAATCAATTGTTGTAACTATATAGATACAATGAGTTCAAAGAAAAAAATAGTTCCCAACATTACCCATCTTTCTGTTAATGATCCTCTGGTTAAATGTTAATATTATTTGTGACGTTTACATGGTCGTTAAAGACCTAAATGTATGTCAAACAATAGCAATTTTACTTATGATTATGTAACGTGGTCATTGGTGTCACATGCAGACAATAAACTTACCATTGAATCATATTTACAGGAGAAGGGTCGGAAGATATGCAACAATTGTCAGATGGCCTTACCATAATTTCAGGAGTAAGTTTGGAGTTTTTCTAAATCTATAATATTCTTGACGTTTATTTGAATACAGCCTCCAATATTGGCATTCATGCAGACACTTATTGGATTATTCAGTTTGGAGTTAGTTTGGTGCCCAAACTACTGGTTGACAAGAAACAAGAACAAATATGTCGCTTTTGCAATACTACTGACTCAGTCATTCAATACAGTTGGTGTTATATTGAAAATTGATAAATCATTATTAAGTTGCTGCCTTTTTTGTTCCAATATCATCTGCTTGTGTTTATTTTTTAGGGCATGAAACGATTTGACAACCCTTCAGCTGTAGCTGAGGCGAATGGAAATCTTTACTTATTTGACTTCAACGTCCCAGATGCAAACGTTGAAAAGTTGAAGATTAAAGGAGATATATTTAATAAGAAAACATTTAACCCACATGGCTTAAGCCTATTTGAAGATCCCAAGTCAGGTATGGTTATGTACATATACATGCACAATCACGTCGGAGTATTGTCTCATGGGAATATTCTTTTGGTACTAGCATCTGGCTGTGCCCGATTGCATGTCGATTACGCTAAATTATTACACAATATGAATGCAATTGGAATCCAAGTAATTAATTTGTATGATTATTTCAATTTATCCTGAAGGAGAAAGCACTCTCAATTTTAAAGCAAAGTGATTCTCTCCTATATATTCCCATTATATGACGGATGAGTGTGCATTTTCTTATTTGTAGGGGAGGTTTATGTGTTTGTCGTGAACCATCCTCCAGAAGGTGACCAGATAGAGAAATTCACTTTTGACAGAAATTCGAAGACATTAACCCACCTACAGTCGATAAAACACGACACCTTCACTGTGTAAGTGATTATGGTTCATATAACCGATTTGCGCATCACTGTTGTAGATACTTAAATCATTGATGTTTTAATATGTAAACGTAGATCTGAAGTGCAATTGAAAGCTAAAAATAATCCAGGGCCAATTCTGTTTGAAGTCTAAACTGTTGGATTGAACAATATGGCTTTCCCAAGATACAAAACTTTTGTCTATCAGTAGAAAAATAGGCCTGTTTGAAACAAATAATAACTGCCCCAGACTGCTATGACATAGGACCCTCCGATACCGACCGACATGACTTGTAATGAGAATATATAATGCAGGGGCGGATCCAGGAACCAACAAGGGGGGGGGGGCATATTTGAAAAAGAAATTCCGTAAAAATGTTGGGCCCCTAAAACCAAAAAGTGGGCCGAAATTGTAATGTAATGTACAGATTGGGAAGAATGGGAAGGGCTGAACATAATGAAATCAAAATAATACTATTTTTCATAATATATCCATTAGAATCAATGACGTGGTGGCAGTAGATAGAGATAGATTCTATTACACGATTTACAATGGCTATCGTAATCCCTGGTTGCGTAAATTAGAGCGCTATATCCACCTCAGATGGGGCTATGTCGGTTTCTATGATGGCAACGGCATCAAGAAGATGACTAGAGGTTATCATTCACCCAATGGTATCAATATAAGTCCAGACGGAAGGTGATGGCCGCATTATAAACACTCCTGCATCTTTATTCTTTCCATTCAAGTGAATGGGTGGGCTTGACACTAGAGGCTAGGGATCGTCATATATTGCAAACCATCCTTTAGGTTAAGTTGGGTTTCCTTCTTTCAGTTTGAATGATATAGTTGCATTAGATGGCACTCGTTTTTATGTAACACGCTATGACTATTTCCGTCACCCAGCTTTGCGTGCCCTTTCTGTGCTATTTGGTTTAAAATGGGGCTCAGTTATATACATTGACACAAAGAAGAACTCCTTTGCGACAGTGGCAACTGGGATGTTGACGCCAAATGGTATAAATGCTTCCCCTGATAAGAAGTAAGTCGATAAGGCACATTTAGCAATTAGTTTTGCATGATATGTAGCAGACCCGATGCTTATCAAAGCTTTTAATTCCGATTCCGATTACATTATTTTGAATTAAATGTCTCCAGAAATCTATTATATGTAAAATTTATTTACCTCTTAAGTAAAAGAGAGTTACATGAACATAAAATGAAATTTAAGTAAGATTATTAAAACACTGTCAATGTGTCGTAAATAACAATAAGAAGTAGATTGATTAATTTCATTGATTGATACATTACATTTATTCTAGTTAATTAATGAAATGGCCACTAATGAATTACCTCTAAATCTTGACTTCTACTATTATATCCCTGATACCTTCAAAATTAAACTTTCAGATACATATATGTGGCTAATATAGGAGATAGGAATATTGTAGTATTCAAAAGAGACGAGTCTGATAATTCGTTAACAGAAGCAAGGGTGAGTTTTAACTAATCGCGGAAGATGTTTATAGAAATGTTTATTTCAAAAGGTACGAGGAGTGAGGTTGGAATTCAGGAGAGACATGGTGGTAGAATGATGGTGTAAAATTAAATTGATCATTAGCTAAAAATTAATGGTTCCACAAATGCACATTGAACGTTGTAGCACGCCAAATTCATTCCAAATTCCTTCTTTGAAAAACTTAAAGATTATAAGATCTTCTTCCAAGAACTAAAGACATACTTTCATATGGTTTGTTTCCAGACTTTAGATTTGTATGCAATGACAGACAATATTGATGTTGATCCCCTAAGCGGCGATCTCTGGCTTGGTGTGCAGGCTGTTGGACATCTAAGTGCCGCATATCTTGCGGACCATGATCACAAAATTCCGGATCTCAAAGCCCCATCTAGGGTAAGTGAATGAATGAAGTATAGGCTATCATGGATGTTCTACTGTTAGAACGTCGAGTTTCTATACAAGCTAACAGAGCTATGTTTGGTAAGTCGAGTGATTTTCATACCTCAACCAGTTCTTTAATTTTATGATAGATACACGAATGTAACCCTACTATCACACCAAACTAGTTCTCACTACGTTCTCGAAAACGGGCTTCAACTGTGTACGAACGGACTGGACGTAATTAAAACCGTTTGGGGTCTATTTACAAACTTCATCGAACGTACTTGAACGGGTAGGTCCTCTAGAACTTAGAACATGCTCAAAATGCTCTCGTGCTCGTCACGTTCTACAGTTAGAACGAGTGACAACGTACTAACGACGAGCTGGACCTACTACGAACGGAACCGTCGTACTTCAATCCTACTAGAGAATGAACGTAGCTGCAACTTTCTAAGGACTATTTACGAACTTCATGAACGTTCTCAGACGGGAAGGTGATTTTAGAATTTTGAAATAATTCAAAATTCGATGGCGACCATACCGTTCTGTAATCAGGTCATAATGACCTTCTAGACTAAGGGACGCGTTATACGACGTTGCATACCGATGTGGTGCGACCTGAACGAACTGCGAATGAGACTGTTTATGAACGAAGTAGCTAATTATTTTAGACATATTTCCCGACCGTAGCCAGATTGAGCCCGTTTTCGTAGGACTGGCAAGAACGGGTAAGAACTAGTTTGGTGTGATGGGGGGGGGGGGGGTAAACACTGTACATGTGGAGGGATCCCTTTACACGACCACATTGTATTGTACATACATGTCTAACTACAATTGATAACATCTCATTTTAATATGTTTAGGTGCTGTATGTTAAAATGTCCAAAGCAGCTGAGCCACAAGAAGTTCGGGATGTCTTCGTAGACGACACAATGATTTTTGCCTCGAGTGTAGCTACAAGATACAAAGACGCCATGTTGGTTGGAAGCGTCTACCATAACATGGTGTATTGTCAGCTTAAATCATTTTAAAATCTTCACGATCAAAATTGAGCCTCGTTAATATTTCATGTCGCCTCGAATGTATTTTTTGTTTTTCAACAATAGCGATGTACAGTACCGTTTTTACAGAGCTGCCCGGCACTGTTTCATAAACAGTGCTGTTTGAGATTGACAGTGTTACCATTTTACTGTAGTTTGACATAAATTATTGGGCTATTCAATAATTAATTCTCAAATAAACAGTGCTTGATAAAAGTTTACATTATCAACAGGATAGTAACTGGATTAAGCATGTTAATGGCATGAATGAGGCAATGCTTTGAGCACTACGATGTCTATCTGGATTTATGGCATCAGTATTGTGTTTTTGTCTCTCATATTTTAAGTAGCAGTCTTTGAACATTCATGATAAGTTAATTACACTACTTGGTAATAAGGTTTTTATAGAATGGGGGCATGACATTTTTTATATGTTTTGGCAAATATGTCAAGATATTTTTAGAAACACGTTTTAGCCATGTTGTAGTATTTAATGTGAACATTTTATATACTGCTTAAATAAAATAGACATGTAGATTTTAAATACTGACTCACCTAACAATAGGGTACCGCTGTAAAAAAGCGTATGTAAAAATGAATAAATAAAAAAATATTATGCAATTTTTTATTCTCTCGGGATGAATATCAATTTGAAAATAACCAATATGTGTTCACTGTGTCATCGAGTTCTGTCTATTTCATAAACGTGTCATTTAGGAACGGCTGTCCTATTCCACCACCAACACCTCCTACTCCTCCACCTCCCTCGCAAGAGCAATGCCCGGCGCATTCTGTTAAGTTTCTTTCACTGTCTGTACCTATGCACGTTTTTCCCTTTTTATAAGAGCAATATTTACAACATACAGCGTTGTTGAAACATCTGCAGGTGTCACATCCATCTGATATCCAAGGTAATGACTCGCAAAGGGGTACGCAAGAGCAATCTCCGGGGCATTCTTCTACCACTCTCTTATAGCTTGTACCAATGCAAGGTCTTCCCTTTCTATATGAGCAATATTTACAACATGTTTGGTTGTCAAAACACCTACAGGCGTCACATTTGTCGGGTATCCATGGTAATGACTCGCAAAGGGGTGTGCCTACAAAATGATTGTTTTAACATTAGAAACTCACGATTGTTCCTCACAAATAACGAGCATCACAGTCACTCAAATTGTTTTTCAATGATTATCAAATAGTAATATTAAGTATATAATTGTGGTAGAATGTTCAAGAGCATAGACTATATATTACATTGTTCCATTTCTGTTTTCGCTTCTTCACTTATGCACGGTATGCTTGGACTTCTATATGTGCAATTCTTTGAACAGCCAAAAAGTTCAAAACATCTGCATGATTCACATTGCTGTTCTATCCGAGGCAACATGTCACAGTATTGTGTTTTTATTGGGTCTGTAAAATATTAAATACTCATTCTATAGCGATATCATAGACATCAAGCCTCTCTCCTTTGGTCTTCGTTGAACGAAGAGAAATCCACGTGTAATATATTTTACGAGTAAAACATCGAGATCAGTGCTTAAAATTCCTTTTTAAACATGGCAAGACAGTTTATAAAACAAACTACATTTCAACTGCAGACAGGAGTGTCAATTTGACATCCATCCAATTTCCAGATGCCAGTTCAGAATGTGAATATTCTCGCTCTGAATGATCTTATACAGGGCGTATCAAAAAAAAACGCAACAAGTAGTTATCTTGTAAAATCACAAAACTAGTGATGACTACATCAATTTCATTTAATGTATCATAAAGCCACATCTCTCCTGTTTCCGATGATATGTCTATCATTCACATGTGATAATGGTTGGGTGAGAAATCCTTCCGTTTACACAGTGGGTCAATATTGGCTCTTGGCCAAGTTTAAGATATTGCAAAAATTAGTGCAAGGGCTAAGTGCCAATGGAAGTTCCTCTGAATTGAATTGTTGTGACTTTTTCTTTTGGAGCTATCTCAGGAGCATCTGTGCTCACAATTCCTCCACTAGATATTGCAAAACCTCGAGAAAGAATTGCCCATGGGCTGCTTTTCTCTGCTTTAACCCACAGATGACTCAGGGCTGAACCACGCATGACGTGGACAGATGAGCGCATCTTTATGCAAGGAAGTGGTGGCAATTTGGAGAGATTGAAACGTCGAGGCATTTTTTCTTCAGATGTAATCTTACAAGGCCAACCATGAAAACTATGTTCGGTAAGTCCAGGATAATTTCCCAGAAATTAACTTTAAAGATATGCCCCAACTTGAAAAAATACATATCCTGCTCGATGGTTGCGACAGGATGAGCAAAGCAAAAAACAGAATTGGTAAAACTATTCGCGTCTCACCTGGAGACCATAAGTAATCAAAGATGGAATACTTTATCCCATTTTTGGACGTGTTACAGGTTCAAAAAGCAGGTTTGTAAAAACTTATATGTTTATCAGCGGGTAGATAGAGCTTTATGTCCCGCTCCTAGCGGCAGATATAGTATATCTGCCCGCTACATGTACGTCATAATTGCTGTTCGCATATATTGGTTCATTTTTGTAATAATAACTGTACACGACAATGGAGAAAAACGCAGACAATCGCTATTTGTTTAATTGATGGTTTAAAGAAGGAAAGAAGCATCCTGTTGATAATCAAAGATTCGAGAAAATAAATGTGGATGGATATCTGAAAGAACATGAAAAACCCAGCCACAGCCAAAAAACAAATCTTTGATCTATTTATTATATCATTTATATGATGAATATAAACCACAGAATACAGGATATATTCTGCTCGAGAAATTTTATTCTGTATTGGAACGAGACGAAGACGATTGCAATTGCTAATACAGAATATTGAGAGCAGAATAAATACATGTATATATCCTGTATTGCACTTCAAATCATTGCTACTGAGATTGTTCCCTCCGAACCGATATATTGCTCCGGCGGAGATGATCAACGGGGACGATTTCAGTAGCAATACAGATTGGTACAGCACAAGAACTAACCAATCAGAGGCCTTCATTTAACACATCCCATTCTCTTATACGTCGTAACACCGGAAGCTTACGAAGTATACCCAATATTTTCGGCGGGAGATTTGTAAGTACTCATTTATTTCGACGTTTTGACAGAATATGGTCCTTTTTTTTCGTGGAAACATTGACCATACCATGCAGATATACCTCTAGTATCACTACGCCTCAACATTTTGTCTGAACACGATCTAAAACTTTTCAAACCTTCTAGAAAGCAAGACAATCTTTGGGAAAAAATGATAATTTTTCACCTAAACAATCATACTTTCTACAATTTTAGCCCTATCATCTTGGAATATTGATAATAATAACAATACAATTTATATATATTATCCAGACACTCCAGTTTCCCAAATAATTGAAAGAATTCCGAGATATTAATTTTTCTTTGTAAATATACGACGTTAAGGAAGTTACGACGTTCACCCATCCTTTAAGATCGGTCCTTCATTGCTTTCATAGCAGCTCATGTAATGCAATGAATTACTCTTGGGCCAAGGATGTGTTCATCATGAAATTGTTACTTCTCCCCAAAGTCAATCGGGTTACCAACCCCCAAAGCCTAACCACGTCGGAAAAGAAAGTATTCTCAGTGAGCATATGCATCAAATACGTCTATTGAGTTGAAGTCTATTGAGTTGAAGTCGCCACGTTCATTCTTTCAAAAGACAACCGTTTAAGGAAACACGTAAGTGAATCCGGGGGTACCATAAACTTCTTAAATCGCCTATGCCAAACATGTCTCTCTTGCTTTGCCTGATTGCCTGATTTAAGTAGGTTGTGAAAATGAGGATAGACTAAAGCAGCAGATTTATGCACACATCATTCTATCATACATCCATAAACATCAATTTATGCAACTTTTGTAAAAACAAAGAAACACTATACTTACATGTATTTCGTCAAATTTTTGCGGAGGCAAATTTACTTTTTGCTTAGTCTATGCCAAATTCACTTAAACGTTGCTAAATCTGCTTAAATGCTGCTAAATTTCCTTAGATGTTGCCAAATTTGCTTGAATTTTGCAAAGCTTGCTTAAATTTTGCCAAATGAGGAGGGAAAGTATCGCAACAGATTTCAAACAGTCATATGTTGAATTTTGGCTATTTTGTGTTTCCAAAATGTAGCCATTTGTGTTCTATTGTTTAAACGCATTCTTCATAATCAATGCACTCATGTGATCTCCATCCAGTTTATAGTAATATATTATTATTGTCACGCCTAACCATCGACAACGTACAGTGACGAAATATACGATTGTACACTTAAGCTGTACGTTGTAATGTTTGAAGCAAAAATTGTGATGTAGGTTTTAAAAATATTATCTAAAGAATATGAAGAAGAATTTAATTTTTTATTTCACGTGCATGCTCTTGGCAAGACTTTTAACTTTCTAATTACGTTAATAGATTCTCGAGCAGTAGTCGAATTTTTTTAGGCAATTCCACCCACATAATTGGCAGTTTGGAAAATGTTCATATGGACATGGGTGGAATTACCTTGAAAACACTCGTGCTCTGTTAGAGAATCTGTTAACGTAATTAAAAAGTTTAAAGGCTTGCCAGGAGCATGCACATGAAATTAAACATGAACAACTTCATCATATTCCCTAGATAAATCATTTAAAACCTACATCAAAATTATTTGATGCAAACAGTTTAAGTGTACACCCGTATATTTTGTCCCTGTATGTTGTCGATGGTTAGGCGTGATTGTGAATGGTCTTTATACTTGCTATTTTTTCTTATTATTACAGCATGAAAAAGTAGGAACATTTTTAGTAAGAGTTTTTTCTGGCGTTCAGAATTTTAAAGTACTTCAGGGTGTTTGACTGAGTGGTCCACAACTTGTACAAAAGGCTGTGGTGTGTATTTGTATGTCTATGTATGGGCGCAGTTAAAATAACACAGGGCTCCTTTGAGGAGGGGTTTCTGGCTCTTCAAATCTTCCAGGCTAATTACGTTAATTACGATCGTATATATTCGGGATATACCCAAGAGGTATTGCTCACCTTCATTGGGGGTAAACAAAATACGATACAATACAATACAATACAATTTAGTGGATCACGGGCATTGCATCACCGAGCTTTCACCAAAATTCTATTTGGGGAGAAGTAAAGCCTCTCAACTTTATTATTTTTTTCTTTTTGCTCCGAGGGACAATTTTAGCCTCCATGGCCTGGAAACCCTAATACTGGCCCAACTAAAAGAAATAAATTTATATTACCATAATCTCGAAAATACGTTTAATGTTAAATCAACCTAAATCTTATTAAATACGTGTATAAGTGAGGTAAGATCAAGACAATATAAAGAAACAATGTCATGGTAAACGCCGTAAATCTCCTTAACGACGATATCTTCAAGGAAAAATTGATTTGTCGAAATTCTTTCATTGGTTTTGGAAACTGAAGTGTCTGGATGATGTATAAAAATTGCACTGACTGTTAATCTAATCAATATTTCAAGATGATAGGGTTAGAATCATAGAAACTATAATCATTTTTGTGAAAAATGATCATTTCTTTGAAAAATTTAATTGTCGTGTTTTCTAGAAGGTTTGAGAAGTTCTAGACCGTGTTTAGACGAAATGTTGAGACGCAGTGATACAAGAGGTATATCTGCATGGTATGGTCAATGTTTCTACGGAAGGGAAAGAACCATATTCTGTCAAAACGTCGAAATAAATGAGTACTTACAATTCTCCCGCCGAAAATATTGGGTATACGTCGTAAGCTTCCGGTGTTACTACGTATAAGAGAATGGGGTGTGATTTAACAGATCATACGATAAAACTATAAACAATAATTACATCCTCCTCCTCCTCCTCCTCCTCCTCCTCCTCCTCCTCCTCCTCCTCCTATTGGTTTCTGTTCTCGCGAAAGTAAACGAGATATCGCCCTTCTCTTTCTGTTCATCTCAGAACTACGGCTTCTACTAGATATTCTATCTGGCAATCGGAAAACAATCGGATCGGGAATAAATGGGTCGGGAATAATTCCAGTACAAGAGCATAGATCATCATCGCATTTCATAATATCTGTTTTTTGTCTTCCATCTATACATAGTATTTTGGCTCTCCCATATGTGCACTTTTGTTGACATTTGCTACCGATACAATTGCACGTTCCGCAATATCCCTTGATCCAAGATAACGTATCACAGTCAGGTGTACTATATCTGGTAGTGCCTGTAAAATATATTTTACTATTGAACCATTATTATTTTAAACACGACCAATATGATATACAATGGACTAGGACTTCTCTGTAAATTGACTACTTAGAGATTTATAACAATGTTTAATGAGCAAGACACACAGTGATAAATATCGCACGTTGAAGACCAAAATGGTCACAATGTAATTAACCACACATGCCAAATAACTAAATCAGATCTTGGTACTAGTCTAGCTTGTCATACATGGGTAAAAATTAAAGTAGAACAGATTAGCAGTTTTCCTGGAATTTGTACAAATATTGATAGTCTTGAAGTATGAAAACTTAAATATTATCGTTTATGACCTAGTTTGATAATGTTGACCTTCGACCTTGAAAATTTTGTAATTATGCTGAACTAAATCACGGGGGATAAGCAAAACGAGGGCGAAGCCACGGACTGCGACTCGCGTAATTCAAAACGAGGTTACAACGCATTATAGCTGAACAATGGCGGTAAGTCCAAACTTAATTCGGAAGGCATGTTAGGATTTGGGGTAGATTATTGGTTTGGATATTCTACACAATAGCTAGTATGTTCCAGTCGGTGATCAACATATTCATACTCCACCTGCAATGGCATTCTTGGTGCTCGGCTGTCCAATAGTTTAGCATGAACACAAATGAATTCGAAATCTGCCACAAAAATGTAATTTTGTCAATATTTGTCCCTAATATACCGATTTAAACAAAGGAATCAGAAATGACATCGAATTAATATAATTATTCATGTTCTGTTGTTACAATTACATCTTCGTGTGATATTTGGTAAGCGGAAAACGTACAATTACATAGAAAATTGGAATTTATAATAGTCGCAGTCCATCCATCTGCCCAACGCAGTCCGCGACTCAGTGTTGCTTTATATCTGAAGCTGAACGCAATCACAGCCAAAGGTAGATAGCACAATGTGTGTACAGGTGTGGCCGAAAAAGAGCAACTTTGGACAAAATTGCATATAAAGGGCTATTTTAATAGACCTACATCGTGTCTCAATCCATTCTGCAAATATATACAAGCTGTCAAATACAGCTGAAATCATGAATTTTCCTAGGTCTATTTTTTATTTTAATCTTTTTCCTTGGTGCATTTTTAACATTGAATGGGGTTGATGGGTTTGTTGTTCTGATTGGTGAGATGAAGGTTGATCTATTTGCAGTATTTGGTGAAGTGAATTCTGGATGACTTGATGGTACTGTAGACGATGATTTATTGTGTGATTTCCTTCTCTTTGATACGTATAGTGATAATCTGGATGCTGACTTTCTTTTCCTGAAACAATAATAGCGTAGGAATATAGTTTACACTTATCTTATTTATTTCGTGTTCGCGGCTGGACTGCGTTGCTTAGAATATCAATGGAGGCCGTGTTGCGTTGTTGAAATAGCTTTGTTTACTGGACTGCGTCCACTATGAATGCGCAGTTTGAATCTAATTTTCTCCTCATGAACACATTCTATTATCAAATCATTTTCACGAATTATACTCGGAGCCTCAACTAACCTTTAGATATCAGAAACGTGTTAAAACTCCTTTCAAATGTACAGACCAACAGTAGATACAGAGTAATATTTTGGTCACCGATTAGACACTACGATAGCATTTAAAATACCTGGATTTCTCTATTTTGCCGGAAGAAGCAGAAGGCACTGCCGGATGTCCCTCCATTTTGGCGCTGGGCTGCGGTGTAAAGTTACGCGAGTCGCAGTCCGTGGCTTTGCCCTCGTTTTGCTTATCCTCCGTGTAAATAAGTATACAAAATATCAATTAAAAAAATCAACTTTTTGACATGTCGCGAGTGTCACTGTAGGTAAACCAAAAGTCAAATTTCAAAACTAAAGTCAAATTTTAGCTCGAACTTTAAGATGATTTTTCGAAAAATGGTCAATTTGTGAAGAAAGTTGAAAATTTCAAAATGGCCGATTTATTAAAGAATTCAAATAGCTGCCATAGCGAGCATACCCAAAGCCTAATCAGATTTTCGTCAGTCTGTTGTTAGATCTGTAAAAATTTCAAATTGAAAGAAAAAATCTTTTCCTCGAATTTTGATAACAAGATACGAAAAATGTAAAATGGCCAGCAAAGAATTTATCGAGCATGTCACAAACCTAATCAGATTTAGTCTGTTTTTACATCTGTACAAGCTTCAAAATGAACAGGTAAGCCGTTCTCCAGGAATTTTAATGACAAGATTTGATGTGTGTGGCGCCCGCTCTCGAACATTTGTCGCCGGAAAACCATACTAGGGTTTTCCAAAACTTCTTAAAACTTTTGCTCTCATATTATCAATTTTTCGTCCTTTGGCCTAATATTTCACATTGATGAGCTTTGAACATTAGTTGATCACTTTGTAAAGTTTGAAGGAATTACACTTCATTGGTTTATTTTTCATGAACGTTGCAAAAGTATGAGTTTTGCCGCACCGGGGCACTAAGGAGGCTAAAATCAAAGCAATATCATCCAAAATTTTGAATTTAGGGCCACATCCTATTCATGCAATATCTTAAATATTATATTAAAAGATAATTACTAAGGTGAATTGCTATGAGCAGATTTTAGATTTCATTGGTGTATACTGCACATTGTCCCATTCACAATTTCAAAATATTGGCCCTTCCAAGTAATGCACTTTGATGCCTTCTTACTCAGTCCGGGCTATTTTTCCAACGTGAATCGTTGATTCCAAATATGACATCAGTTTGACTGAATTTTGAATTTTTAATGACGTAAATCAAGATTATTTCTACTCGCATCTAGTCTAGTATATGAATGATTTAAATAATTAAATATAAAAATAACGACCTATTGGAAACAGCTCACCTAAATCATCTTCGTATTTTCTAGCGTACACCATTTCATCTCGGGCGAATGTCTGGTGAGTCAGGAAAGTGAGTACTAGTAGTAGCATCCTGTTGAGACAGCTCGGCATTGTTCTAAGTGTGATTTGTGATTGACGATACTTACGTTGTAAGCGCAGGTTTTGTATTTCTTTACTGTTTGCTCTTGGCAATTGCTTTGGATACACGCGTATTACATTGTAATTTATCCTCAGAAAAAAATAGAGGAAAGTTCGTCTTCACTGTTTTATTATGTTTTATTACGTGTTTAAATTTACATTAAAACTCATTCTTTATCCATCGTATGAGCTGAATTATGATACCGAGTGCCTTCCAATTGCGTCATCAACTTCAATTCAGACATTCTGAGAATGTAGTATCGAAATTTATCCCATACTTGGACGTGTTTCAGATATACAAGCAGGTTTGTAAAAAATTATATTTTTATCAGCAGGAAGATATAAGGGTTATGTTATTGAAGGTTTTGGAGATGGGTTGTATCCTGAGGGAAATATATATATTTTATCGAGGACCCTCCGGAAATATTATATTGTCCCTCAGAATCCCTCTCAGTAAATAACCTCTATGTGTTATAGAATAATAAAATGTTAGAAGACAAATTCTATAATACATGTTTATACATTCAAGTATATGCCTTTAGCAATGCCACTTCACAAAGTATATGAATTAAATTAATTATTTGAATAAAAAATAAAAAGTTTCATTTAAGGAACGGTTCCTAAAAAATCGTTGGAGATATGTAACAACATTGATTTACTGAATATTCAGTGTTTGTGTACAGACTTACATATTAAGCTAGAACAACTATTCTTACGCGTTACTGCAAGATATTGGATAAGATAACGCCATCATTTCTTTACAATCCATGAATCACAACTACTGTTTGTTGATTATTCTTAAATCCTATATTTACTATTTCATTATGCTTTACAAATGTATTTTGAATAAAGTTTGCTTCAATGAAATTGACAATTGAATCATCCGTTCATCAACTTGGGCAATGTAAATAGTTCAGTTTCTATATAACTTTTAAAATCACAATATATCTCGTTTTTCGTGAGACTTTAAGAGATTTGCATATGAGACCTCTAATGTCTACTTTGCCTTCTTTTAAATGGAATGTTTGAATTCAGTGAACTGTTTTCTACAAGAACAACTTTGATGAAGCAGTTAATTTTGATGATGAATCACTATGAGTATCTTAAAAGGGTCTTCACATGATATATCAATCACGTTTTAAACGGATTCAACCAACACTTTTTGATAAATCATGAAATAAAGTCACTTTTCGATTCAACCTACACTTCTTGATAAATGATAAATCATGAAATAAAGTCACTTTCGAAGATCTTAATATGGAAGTCAATGGGAGTCTGGCCCAAGACAAAATCTGAATAAAAGATGGCAGCATTGCTTTTCAGCTATTTTATTTAGAAACTTTTTAATTGAACACGATCTGCATATCGTGTATAGAACAGAAGTTATGGCGCATTTGGTACATTTCGAAAAATAAAGTGTCCATTTCCAGATATGATTATTTGCTGCATTTTGGAGTATGAATCGTTCTACCCCTTGTGTCCGGAAAGTAATTTACTAATTAAATGCTCTGGGGGAAACAAAAATCTCCAGAGAATTTCAAGAAAATCTAAACATTAACTTTATATTATCAGTAAATAGTACTCAACATTGAACCCAAGTTAAATCGCCTTTGAAAAAGACATATTTGGTATTACTACATTCACAATTTAATATGTAACACTAATCATGATTGGCCAATGCAATAGATTATTTTGACTACATTTTCTGTTAAAATTGTTTAGAATACACATGGACGTATATCGTTGATATACGTCCATGGAATACAAAAGTTAAAGTTCCTGATTTTTGCACTATATTGTGATCTAATGCGCGTACTGATAACCTGCGGAAATTGTTACAAAAAACTCTGGTCAGATTCGAACAAAAATTACGAGTGATGTCAAACTTTTTGCAGGCCTTAGTATTTTCTGGAAAGATGATTTGTATCAATACTGGTAGATGATGCAAATTGTCATTGGTTACAAATTTATTTGGATATGGCGTACTCGAGCATGTACCTGGTTGTGATCACTTTAAAATGACTCACTGTCATTAAGCAGAAAAACTGTACCAGACAAACGAGGCACCTCCTTCGTAGGCAATTATTATAGAAGCCATCACATCATCACATATGAACTGGGTGGGGAACTGTCCCTCAGTAAAAATATTTTAGACGTTCTTTGGACTAACAATTAAAAATATGTGACATGCAGTCTAATTATAATCTTCTTGACGTTTTGCCGCGTCTGTTTACAGTCTTGTCAGTTTTTGGTACACACATTTTAGGCCACACCCTCGTCGTCACAAATTCTTTTAATTAGTACCGAGGGTGAGACCCGGGGGTAAGACATTCATGTACCTTGTTTTAGTTTTCCTGGATTAATGGTCAATATAATTTAAAACCATTACGTGTCATTAAATACCAAGTTTAACGAGTATTGATTGATCAGTATTCTGAAAAACCTAGTCATTTAAAACAGTAATTCAGCTTTGTAGAAATGTAAGAATATCTAATTAATTATTTGTGATTTTGTTCAATAGATCCACTTATACTGAATTCTCATAAAGATTAATTCCATTGGACGTTTTTCCGAAGTGCTTACTTTCAGGATTCAACCTCCTGATCATACAATGAACACAATGCCCTCATCGTCAATTGCAAGAACGAACCTTTTTTAATTATTCCTTACAGTTGCATCGATATACCAATCAATTTCAATTTGCTTAGCGAATAAAACATATTTTGCAAACACAATATGTAAGGCGAACGCTATAATACTCTACATGAAGTTTAAAATGCACGTTTTTGGAATTGTGATTACAATTTTTTCGAGTTTGAGAATTCTGAATATATAGGCCTACATATGGAGGCTATAACAGAGAAAACATCGAATTAAATTTTTCATTGACGGAATTTTTATTGTTTTACTCGCTGATACTGCAAAAATCGAAACTAAATTCATAATCAATTAAAAAGATCTTCCTGGATATGGGTTCAGAAATCATGAAATTTCCATTCAAATCCTTTAGCTTGACGATAGGGACGTTAATGCTGGCTCATCTAGCAATGTGTACATCTGTAGCTGGTTGTCAATGGAATGTTGTAAGTCCCAATAAACCACGGGACAATGTCTCTGTATTGAAAACTGAATCCGCTGCGAATACGGACGATTGCGCCATGATGTGTGTTTTGACCGATGGATGCCTGCATTTTCAATACAACAAGATAAGTGAAGAATGCCAGTTACTGAGAAGTGAATGGCTGGAGCCAGGGGTTGATTCATACCCCTCGTCGAACGATTGGACATTATGGGAATTGCAGTGGGGCTGCGGGATGTCAGAGGGTAAGTATATTATGAGAAAAAATTTGGGGCTGCGGGATGTCAGTGGGTAATATATAACTACATTATGGGAATTGAAGTGGGGCTGCGGGATGTCAGTGGGTAAGTACATTATGGGAATTAAAGTGGTGCTGCGGGGTGTCAGTGGGTAAGTACATTATGGGAATTAAAGTGGGGCTGCGGGATGTCAGTGGGTAAGTTCATTATGGGAATTAAAGTGGGAACGCGGGATGTCAGTGTGTAAGTACATTATGGGAATTAAAGTGGTGCTGCGGGATGTCAGTGGGTAAGTACATTATGGGAATTAAAGTGGGAACGCGGGATGTCAGTGGGGGAAGTACATTATGGGAATTAAAGTGGGGCTGCGGGATGTCTGTGGGTAAGTACATTATGGGAATTGAAGTGGGGCCGCGGGATGTCAGTGCATGGGTAAGTACATTATGGGAATTAAAGTGGGAACGCGGGATGTCAGTGTGTAAGTACATTATGGGCATTAAAGTGGGAACGCGGGATGTCAGTGTGTAAGTACATTATGGGAATTAAAGTGGTGCTGCGGGATGTCAGTGGGTAAGTACATTATGGGAATTAAAGTGGGAACGCGGGATGTCAGTGGGGGAAGTGCATTATGGGAATTAAAGTGGGGCTGCGGGATGTCTGTGGGTAAGTACATTATGGGAATTGAAGTGGGGCCGCGGGATGTCAGTGCATGGGTAAGTACATTATGGGAATTAAAGTGGGACTGCGGGATGTCAGTGAGTAAGTACATTATGGGAATTAAAGTGGGGCTCCCGGATGTCATTGTGTAAGTACATTATGGGAATTAAAGTGGGGCTCCGGGATGTCAGTGAGTAAGTAAGTACAATACGGGAATTAAAGTGGGGCTGCGGGATATCAGTGGGGGAAGTACATTATTGGAATTAAAATGGGGCTGCGGGATGTCAGTGAGTAAGTAAGTACAATACGGGAATTAAAGTGGGAACGCGGGATGTCAGTGGGGGAAGTACATAGTGGGAATTAAAGTGGGGCTGCGGGATGTCAGTGGGGGAAGTACATTATGGGAATTAAAGTGGGGCTGCGGGATATCAGTGGGGGAAGTACATTATGGGAATTAAAGTGGTGCTGCGGGATGTCAGTTTGGGAAGTACATTATGGGAATTAAAATGGGGCTGCGGGATATCAGTGGGGAAGTACATTATGGGAATTAAAGTTGGGCTGCGGGATATCAGTGGGGGAAGTACATTATGGGAATTAAAATGGGGCTGCGGGATATCAGTGGGGGAAGTACATTATGGGAATTAAAGTGGGGCTGCGGGATATCAGTGGGGGAAGTACATTATGGGAATTAAAATGGGGCTGCGGGATATCAGTGGGGGAAGTACATTATGGGAATTAAAGTGGGGCTGCGGGATATCAGTGAGTAAGTACATCATGGGAATTAAAGTGGGGCTGCGGGATGTCAGTGAGTAAGTACATCATGGGAATTAAAGTGGGGCTGCGGGATGTCAGTGGGTAAGTACATTATGGGAATTAAAGTGGAGCTAGTAGGTACATTATGGGAATTAAAGTGGGGCTAGTAGGTACATTATGGGAATTAAAGTGGGGCCGCGGGATGTCAGTGCATGGGTAAGTACATTATGGGAATTAATCGCTTGTCTCATGGCTGACTACGTCCATTGATCTCAACTAACCCTTTTAAATTCCCCAGCGTTTGCACCATGCCTTTCCGTTTAACAAGCTTCGTATACCAAGGTATATTCATATTGTTCTAGCTTCCTGCCCAAAGACAGCGCCTTGTCCGTCAGGGTTTGTGTTTTCGAACTGTGGATCCTGTTACTGGTTCGAAACAGACTCCCAGCTTGATTACGAGACTGCGAGTCAGAACTGCAGGGACAAATATGGCTCAAGTCTTCTGTCTCTAGAGACCAAGAAAGAGTTACGTGCAATGGAAGAATATTTGATATCACAAGGTAAGGCTGTATCTATATGACTGTATTTGCACATGACACTGGTGAAAGAGCCGAGCCGCTGCATAAAATATTGCTTTGTCAATCTTCGGACGTATCATCATTCCAGTAGTTCAATGATTCAACTGCAATTATTTTTGAATATTAAATTTAACGTTGTCTTTCAAGATGTGCTCCAATTATTTGTAGGGCTTCAAAATTTGGGTGATTTTCTGACCAGTGGTAAAAGTACGGAAAGCGAAAGGGGATATACCGCAGAATTTAAAATTCAATGGAGTTTTAACATGGGAGTGATATCACACACCGCGGCCCAGTCAGATATATTTCTGCGCACTTTATCACACTACTATACCTAACACCTAGAAATGCATAAGATACTTTGTTTGTCTAATTGAATTGTTTAATATATTTTTGAAAGTGCCTTACTAGCATCTAATTTTCAACCGATAAACCATTCATAAGGAACAGACAAATAAAAACAAATACATAATCATTACTAATAAGCCAAATGGGTTGCTCATGAACACCAAATGCAAGGTATAGTAGTGTGTTTATTTATTTAATTCACTTTGCACAACGCGCCCCCTGTAATTCATTCAGTGCGCAATTAAAAATTGTTTATGAGTGATATCGCACACCGCGGCCCAGTAAGATCGATTTCTGCGCACTTGATTTATTAACACACTCAAAATATCGCGCTGAAGCTTGTATATGCTGGCGCGATGTAAATATAGTTTTCTGTTAATTAATGCCCAACAAGAAAGGGTAGCACAACGAATTCAACTTTTTTCGAAAGACTGCAGGCTTGACCTGCGAAATTGTGATTTTGGATCACAGTGATGCCTCTAGAGAGGATATCTATGAGAATTACAGATTATAGTACGCAGAATTATAAAGTCAAACTGACCTCAAAATGGTAGTAGGCCTATACAGTGTACACTGCCATCTTTCAATAAAGTGTGTACTACAGACCTTCGTATACAAAATACCAGAATGATTGATGTAATACCTGTATACCATTTCTTCTGGGAGAAGGAAAGTTCCTATATGTATTCCATGGCCGTAGCCAGGGGGCCTCACCCCCTCCCCCTTGCCAAATATTCGTTCAAAATCATGCAGTTTTTCACCATTCTTAGCACTTTTCGCATGATTTTTTTGCCATAACTGTCAAAAAGCTCCCCCTCTTGGCAAAATCTCCCCCTTGGTAAAACCACTCCCCCAGGTTAATCCAGGATACGGGTCTGTATTCTTAGACGAGATTGTTCAAGAACATAAGGTAGACATAAGTGCCACCTGTTAAAAGCTAGGAGATCTTTTAAGTCAAGTTATTAAGTCATCAATCAGCAGACTGGTAATTGTATCCCCCACCCACTTCAAACTCCATACACTAACATACTATTACAATTTTATCTGTGTTTATTTGACTGTAGAAGGTGTACATTCATAGCATTGAATTGCATTTCATTGCATTGTATTGTATTGTATAGCACATCATTATATTGTATTGTACTGCATTTTATTGTATTGCACTGCATTGTATTGTATTGCACTGCCTTGTATTCTATTGCATTGTATTGTACTGCATTGCACTGTATTATATTATATTGCACTGCATTGTACTTTATTGCACTGCATTGTATTGTACTGCAGTGTACTACATAGTATTGCGCTGCATTGTATTGTATTGCACTGCATTATAATGTATTGCACTGTACCACATTGTGTTGCACTGCATTGTATTACACTGCATTGTTTTGAATTGCACTGCAATATATTGCACTGCACCATATTGTATTGCATTGCATTGAATTGCAGTGCACTGCATTGTATTATATTGCACTGTATTGTATTGCACAGTATTGTATTGCATTGTCTTGAATTACACTGCATTTTATTACACTGCATTGTATTTTATTGTTGCACTGCATTGTATTGTACTGCAGTGTACTGTATTCTATTACACAGCATTGTTTTGTATTGCACTGTATTGTATTGCATTGTATTGAATTGCACTGTATTGTATTTTATTGCACTGCATTGCACTACATTGTATTGCACTGTATTGAACTGCGATGTATTGTATTGCACTGTATTGTATTGCACTGCACTGAACTGCGATGTATTGTATTGCACTGTATTGTATTGCACTGCACTGTATTGAACTGCGATGTATTGTATTGCACTGCATTGTATTGCACTGTACCACATTGTATTGCACTGCATTGTATTGAAACGAACTACATTGTAAATGTATTGTATTTTATTGCACTGCATTGCAATGCATTGTATTGCACTGTATTGAACTGCGATGTATTGTATTGCACTGCATTGTATTGCACTGTACCACATTGTGTTGCACTGTATTGTATTACACTGCATTGTTTTGTATTGCACAGCAATATATTGCACTGCACCATCATATTGTATTGCACTGCATTGCAATGCACTGCATTGTATTATATTGCACTGTATTGTATTGCACAGGATTGTGTTGCATTGTCTTGAATTACACTGCATTTTATTACACTGCATTGTATTTTATTGCAGTGTAATGTATTGTATTGCACAGCATTGTATTGTATTGCACTGTGTTGTAGTGCATTGTATTGAATTGCACTGTATTGTATTTTATTGCACTGCATTGCACTACATTGTATTGCACTGTATTGAACTGCGATGTATTGTATTGCACTGCATTGTATTGCACTGTACCACATTGTATTGCACTGCATTGTATTGAAATGAACTACATTGTATTGCACTGCACGGCATTGTTTTGCATTGTATTGCATTGCACTGCATTGTATTGCATTATATTGCACTGTATTGTATTGCATCGTATTGCACTGTATTTTATTGTATTATATTGCACTACATTGTATTGTATCATATTGCACTGCATTTTTTGCATCATATTAAACTGCTTTGTATTGCATCATATTACACTACATTGTATTGCATCATATTGTACTGCATTGTATTGCATCATATTGCTATGCATTGTATTGCATCATATTGCTCCGCATTGTATTACATCATATTGCACCACATTGTATTGCATCATATTGCACTTCATTGTAAAACATCATATTGCACTGCATTGTATTGCATCATATTCCGTATTTACCATTTCGTTACAGTTTTATTACATAAAATGTTATTTATAAGATTGTAATTTTCAAACATTGAAAATATTTTATACAATATCAATTAAAAGATATGAAATGGCCCAAAATAATATATTTTCAATGGAACCCTTTGCAAGGGTCACTTCAACATAACGCCACGTGTAATCTGTATGCATACGCCCTCTTTTAATGAACATTATCTTTGAAACCATATTAGAATCGAATCTGATAAAAGTGCGAATGTCCTGGATGTGCTGCGCGCTAGAATCGGGAAATCTCAAAGTTCTCCTCGTTAGAGCCATCAATATTATCCAAAATTGTCATTTCGCTGGTTCACTCCGCAGTCTTTCGAAAAAAATCAAATTCGTGGTGCCACGAATTTTTATTCGTTATTTATTCACAGATAATCATTTTTTCATCGCGCATTGAATGCCGGAATTTCTGCGCACTTTATTTTAATTAACTTTGCACAACGCGGCCCCTGTAATTCATTCAGTGCGCGATGAAATCTATCTGACTGGGCCACGGTGTGTGATATCACTCCCATGTTAAAACTCCATTCGATTTTGAATTATGCGCATGTCCCCTATCGCTTTCCGTATAAAAGTGACCCAACTACATTGGACTCCATGAACTGGGTGTACAACATCGGGGACTACCCAAATAATAACACACTATCGTTTAGAGGTAAAGTACGGAAAGCTATAGGGGACATGCGCATAATTCAAAATCGAATGGAGTTTTAACATGGGAGTGATATCACACACCGCGGCCCAGTCAGATAGATTTCATCGCGCACTGAATGAATTACAGGGGCCGCGTTGTGCAAAGTTAATTAAAATAAAGTGCGCAAAAATTCCGGCATTCAGTGCGCGATGAAAAAATAATTATCTGTAAATAAATAACGAATAAAAATTCGTGGCACCACGAATTTGATTTTTTCGAAAGACTGCGGAGTGAACCAGCGAAATTACAATTTTGGATAATATTGATGGCTCTAACGAGGAGAACTTTGAAATTTCCCGATTCTACCGCGCAGCACATCCAGGACCATGATGCGCACTTTTATCAGATTCGATTCTAATATGGTTTCAAAGATAATGTTCATTAAAAGAGGGCGTATGCATACAGATTACACATGGCGTTATGTTGAAGTGACCCTTGCAAAGGGTTCCATTGAAAATATATTATTTTGGGCCATTTCATATCTTTTAATTGATATTGTATAAAATATTTTCAATGTTTGAAAATTATAATCTTATAAATAACATTTTATGTAATAAAACTGTAACGAAATGGTAAATACGGAATATGATGCAATACAATGCAGTGCAATATGATGTTATACAATGCAGTGCAATATGATGCAATACAATGTGGTGCAATATGATGTAATACAATGCGGTGCAATATGATGCAATACAATGCAGAGCAATATGATGCAATACAATGCAGTGCAATATGATGCAATACAATGTAGTGTAATATGATGTAATACAAAGCAGTGTTATATGATGCAAAAAATGCAGTGCAATATGATACAATACAATGTAGTGTAATATAATACAATAAAATGCAGTGCAATACGATGCAATACAATACAGTGCAATATAATGCAATACAATGCAGTGCAATGCAATACAGTGCAAAACAATGCCGTGCAGTGCAATACAATGTAGTTCATTTCAATACAATGCAGTGCAATACAATGTGGTACAGTGCAATACAATGCAGTGCAATACATCGCAGTTCAATACAGTGCAATACAATGTAGTGCAATGCAGTGCAATAAAATACAATACAGTGCAATTCAATACAATGCAGTACAACACAGTGCAATACAATACAATGCTGTGCAATACAATACATTACACTGCAATAAAATACAATGCAGTGTAATAAAATGCAGTGTAAATCAAGACAATGCAATACAATACTGTGCAATACAAAGCAATGCAGTGTAATACAATACAGTGCAACACAATATGATACAGTGCAATACAATGCAGTGCAATACAATACATCGCAGTTCAATATAGTGCAATACAATGTAGTGCAATGCAGTGCAATAAAATACAATACAGTTACAATGTAGTTCATTTCAATACAATGCAGTGCAATACAATGTGGTACAGTGCAATACAATGCAGTGCAATACAATACATCACAATTCAATATAGTGCAATACAATGTAGTGCAATACAGTGCAATAAAATACAATACAGTGCAATTCAATACAATGCAATACAACACAGTGCAATACAATACAATGCTGTGCAATACAATACATTACACTGCAATAAAATACAATGCAGTGTAATAAAATGCAGTGTAAATCAAGACAATGCAATACAATACTGTGCAATACAAAGCAATGCAGTGTAATACAATACAGTGCAACACAATGTGGTACAGTGCAATACAATGCAGTGCAATACAATACATCGCAGTTCAATACAGTGCAATACAATGTAGTGCAATGCAGTGCAATAAAATACAATACAGTTACAATGTAATTCATTTCAATACAATGCAGTGCAATACAATGTGGTACAGTGCAATACAATGCAGTGCAATACAATACATCACAGTTCAATACAGTGCAATACAATGTAGTGCAATGCAGTGCAATAAAATACAATACAGTTACAATGTAGTTCATTTCAATACAATGCAGTGCAATACAATGTGGTACAGTGCAATACAATGCAGTGCAATGCAATACATCGCAGTTCAATACAGTGCAGTGCAATACAATACAGTGCAATACAATACATCGCAGTTCAGTGCAGTGCAATACAATACAGTGCAATACAATACATCGCAGTTCAATAAAGTGCAATACAATGTAGTGCAAAGCAGTGCAATAAAATACAATACAGTGCAATTCAATACAATGCAATACAATACAGTGCAATACAAAACAATGCTGTGCAATAGAATACAGTACACTGCAGTACAATACAATGCAGTGCAATAAAATACAATGCAGTGTAATAAAATGCAGTGTAATTCAAGACAATGTAATACAATACTGTGCAATACAATACAGTGCAATATAATACAATGCAGTGCACTGCAATGCAATGCAATACAATATGGTGCAGTGCAATATATTGCAGTGCAATTCAAAACAATGCAGTGTAATACAATGCAGTGCAACACAATGTGGTACAGTGCAATACATTATAATGCAGTGCAATACAATACAATGCAGCGCAATACAATGTAGTACACTGCAGTATGCAGTGCAATACAGTACAATATAATGCAATAGAATACAATGCAGTGCAATACAATACAATGCAGTGCAATACTATAAAATGCAGTACAATACAATACAATGATGTGCTATACAATACAATACAATGCAATGAAATGCAATTCAATGCTATGAATGTACACCTTCTACAGTCAAATAAACACAGATAAAATTGTAATAGTATGTTAGTGTATGGAGTTTGAAGTGGGTGGGGGATACAATTACCAGTCTGCTGATTGATGACTTAATAACTTGAACAATCTCGTCTAAGAATACAGACCCGTATCCTGGATTAACCTGGGGGAGTGGTTTTACCAAGGAGCTTTTTGACAGTTATGACAAAAAAATCATGCGAAAAGTGCTAAGAATGGTGAAAAACTGCATGATTTTGAACGAATATTTGGCAAGGGGGAGGGGGGTGAGGCCCCCTGGCTACGGCCATGGAATACATATAGGAACTTTCCTTCTCCCAGAAGAAATGGTATACAGGTATTACATCAATCATTCTGGTATTTTGTATACGAAGGTCTGTAGTTACTTTATTGAAAGATGGCAGTGTACACTGTGTACTACCATTTTGAGGTCAGTTTGACTTTATAATTCTGCGCACTATAATCTGTAATTCTCATAGATATCCTCTCTAGAAGCATCACTGTGATCCAAAATTACAATTTCGCAGGTCAAGTCTGCAGTCTTTCGAAAAAAGTTGAATTCGTTGTGCTACCCTTTCTTGTTGGGCATTTATTAACAGAAAACTATAATTACATCGCGCCAGCATATACAAGCTTCAGCGCGATATTTTGAGTATGTTAATAAATAAAGTGCGCAGAAATCGATCTTACTGGGCCGCGGTGTGCGATATCACTCATAAACAATTTTTAATTGCGCACTGAATGAATTACAGGGGCGCGTTGTGCAAAGTGAATTAAATAAATAAAGTGCGCAGAAATATATCTGACTGGGCCGCGGTGTGTGATATCACTCCCATGTTAAAACTCCATTGAATTTTAAATTCTGCGGTATATCCCCTTTCGCTTTCCGTAGTAAAGTACTATACACGAGGCGAATCTTGATATTAAAATAATACAAAAAGTTACAGTTTTTAAATTATGGTAAATTAATAATCACACACATTCCATAACACATAATAATGGTCAATGGATCCAAAATTATCATATACTAAAACGGCGTTTTAGCGCTAATTGAGTACTCATTTCAATAAATATCAGTACTATATGAGCACTAATGACATGGTTAGGTGCATGTTTTAGTACTAAATGAGTACACATATCATGAGTGATGAAATAGTGCTAATTTTATTGATTTTTCATTACTCAATGAGCACTCATGAGCACTCATACATATGCCGCCGAGTACTCAGTTAGTATACTAATGTTCGTCTGAGAATATCTACCATTTGGACATTTTCAGGTTGGACAACGGATTACGTGTCTTATGAAACTAATCAAGGTTCGTGTTTAAAACTTATCTTTGAGGAAGGGGAAATGGACCTCAAAATGTTTTTAACACCATGGGAACTACAAGAATTTTCAATTTGTGAACTGAAACTTTGAATCCCTTGCTTTTATTATCTAATGTTACGCGTCAGTGATGGGAATTGGAGAATTTTGACGAAACAAATTTGATCTGTCAAATACTCTACCCTTGGAGCAACTTAAGCTAGTGAGTCAATTTGCTCCCATCACCAGGGCAGGAACAAATAGCATGCAATATTGTCAAAAATGGATATTCAAGGCTGAACATCTTTTGAGTTGGTTTGTAACTTTATGGATCAAAATGGTCAGTGACAAATGGAGCGCCTTAAGTCTATTTTTATAGACACGAGGACGAACGTTTATATAATTGTATATATAATATATTTTTATTGATTATTGATGTGAGAATTTCCAGTCATTGTTTGTTAATAATATACTTGAAGCCATGTGTAGTTTTCATGTTCTGTACTTGTATTATTACCCATGTCGTCACAATGTGAAACAAGAATTTCTATCCATTTAAAGATAATGCCATGGGTAGTGTGTGTTTCAAGTGCAAAATCTATCTGCTCACTAGTGAACGTGAGGGGGAGGAGAGCTAAGGCTCAGTGTAAACCAGTCCCCACCCCCATGGGCTCCAAAAGATTGAGTCCCGCACAATTGCTGGACCTAAAAACTGCTCTTCCCCACATAGATTGGGCAATTTAGATACCAAACAGGCAATATTGGGCATGTTTTGTTTGGCTTTATTGTTTTTCAAAAGTTTGACTTTTGATAAATTTCCGCGCAAGCACGGACACTTTTAGATTCCCTACCCTCTTGATTATCGGGATTACCCCTTGTGTTTCGTTAAACATGCCCTTGACATTATTAGGGAGTTGGTTTAACATGCAAAAAATGTTTGCCTCCCCCTACCAAAAGCTGGCTAGGGACATATTGTACATAAATGACCTTTCCATATATCATTGCACAATGGTCTCCTGATTTCTTATTTTTGGGGTTCTACTGACGCAATAAAACAGTGAAATGGGCAAAGACAAAGGTAAACGAGCATCATTAATTGTTCGATCACAGACAGTCACAAGTAACAGTTCTCCACTCCCGTCAACAGGATCTGATATAGGTGGCACTATGGTCAACTCCTGTATATGCCCTTTCGGTAATATCACGTGAACAAATACGTAAGTTGTTGAGCAAAGTAAGCTTCGTAGTTGCTGTGAATGTTGGGTGATACCATGAGGCCAATTTAACAATCAAAAAGTAAGATAGAATCAATATGGAGTTCTATTGCAGCTCATTCCTCCACAACTAAAACACATTTACATTTATCATTCATAACGCTAACCACATAATGGGCTAAATTCAGGTGAATTCGAAGCCAGTGCTGATTTTGTAAGGTCAGTACTATCCGATTTCATACAACTAGGGGTAATTTCATGTTAGTCCTCTCGTTTTCATCTTTTATTTGATCATAGGTTGAGTGAATGTGATTTTCTATGAACGTCAACTCTGTTGTTATGTCGTCATTATCTTTCTCTAATGTTGTCGTGGAGTTTCCTAGCAGTTTTCTACTTGATTCCAGATTATTTGTGTCAATATATTGTCGCAGAAACGATATCGTTGATCGACGTCCTTGCTGAAAGACAAAGTTCACTTTGTATGTACATTATTTCATCTTCATCGGTTTGAGATATAGTCCATATACTCGTTCCCCAAAATGTGAAATATCAGATGTGTTGGACTTGTTAGGCTTGGTTTACACTGATCAATAAGTTTTAACTGTTCTTTGACGAATTGCACTAGTTTTTGGAAGAAATGCACGCATGACAATTTACTAGTTATTTGACAGTTTATTCAGTGGAAGAAATTCTGAATTAAACGTTGAGTCCATGGGTCATGTTTAGTTAAGACAAAAAACAAACAATGATAAAATCTTTTGGAGATCACTAATCTTGGGAACCAGTTTTGCTAAGTTCGCGATGCTGTTAGCCGTTGCGCATGGATTTTCAAATGTTAACTGCGTTGTCCATGCATGTGATTAATTACCTCCACCAAGAAGTCTTTGTCTTCATCCTCCATATCAAAATCTGTAGTCCCTATGTAACCAGTGTTGATCCCAACTGTTCTTGCTGCATCAGAAGTCTAGAATACAAAGCGTACACATGACGCACATAAGAATTACATGTATATAATCTAAACGCAAAGACAGAATGAGAGATCTGGGAATCAGCCAACTTATTATTTCATAAGAAACCGAGCACGCATTTTCGGAAGATCTTTTGGAGAAGTTGCATAACAAATAAATAATGGCAGATTTTGATAATGGGTAAGTATATACGTTTACCTTTATGTGTATACGTGTCAGATTCACAGATAGAGACTGTTGTATAATGTTAATGTAATCCTTTAATCCGGAAATGTTTTGTCTTTTGACCCCTGTAAACCTTTGTTGAATGTCCACTCCCTTAGTATTAAAATAATTCACCAACTCAGTGAAGGAAATCTATAAAAATAAGAGAAGAAATAAATATCAGAAATAATCAAAAGTTATCTGTGCTACTCTTTGCATAAGCTACATTTTCAGATCTTACATGTATATCCAAAAAGAGACTATATTTTATTTAATATAACGAGAAAACTAGGGATAATATTTTACCTGCCCACTGTTATCCTTGTCTAGTATGTTGAAAATGTCGTCAATTGAGCTGTTTCCGAACATTGTTTTGTAATGCTCTTTCTTCTTTTCAGTTACCTAGAAAGCAAGTATGAAACATCGATTGCCTGACAATTGTTGTGACATGCATGTGTGCGCGAAACATTAATGTATAATACAGGGTGGTCAAAAATGAAAACCCTGCATTTTCCTTTTATTTTTGTCATTAAATATAAAAAAATTACTCGCTGATATTTCACACATTTGTACAACATTTTATTTCCCACCATTTCACCCTATTTCATGACCATCAGACTGATAGTCACACTTTTACTGCACTTTGAATAAAATGCTTAGGTTTGGCCATCATCAGGCAAAACAGAACAGTTGTCAATGACCCGAATTCATTCCTCAGCAGGTATGGCCTGAATGACACGGATGCTCTCACTTTTGAAGTTTGCATTTGTCCTGAGGTCATTCTCATATACTAGGGTTCATTTTTTGACCACACTTTAATGTATAACATATCTAATAGAGCTTCACTTTAATATATTATCATAGGTGCGCATATTTTACTTACCTTTTCAAGAACTGATTTTAGTTCTTCTTTGTTTGTCATGCTGTCTAAGTTTATATCTTCATCTGCTAACGTCTACATGCAAAAAAACATAAGATGATTGTAACATTATGATTATTATTCACATGTATTGATGTAAGCACTTTTGTAGTTGCATCCGGATTCTATTTCTTTTTAATGCATATCTGTTTTGCCATGTGTGAAAAGCATTTAATTGCAGGACACGAAGAATTCACTCGTCCATTTTTTGACGATGAAAGAAATGATTTCATAAGATGGACTCTATTGGATATTTATATTTAAAGTTGATTAACGTTTTGAGATTGACGTTGGATATATATTTCAGAAATTGAATCACCTTTGACTAAACCTTGATTAACTAAGATTATTTCTATATTAATATCAATGAGGAAATATGTTACTTACATCGAGGAAAGCGTCCACTGCATCGTACATAGCAGAGTGTTTTTCTGCTTCTATTGCCTCTGCCCGTTTATCCTCCATTCGTTGTCTATAACATTGAAATACAAGATATAGTACTATAACAAAGGACATTTCGATTGATGTGCCTCACTTGAAACAAGAATGCAATTTTTGAAGAAAAAGAACCGATGATGCAGAATACAAACGGATGGTTTTGATAGATTGGAAGAAATCGTTTTATTTCAACTTAATTCACAATACCTTGCAAGCTTTGTATTTGGAATCCTATCTTGTGGGTCAACATCAGCTCTATCATCAAGATCCGGGCGTATCACTTCCACATCTTTGTCTGCATACTATAAACGTACATATGATTAGAAATAGTTGCTTCGAATTGCGGGTAAATAATAATTATTTCAATTCAAAGAAGGTTAGATATATAGGTGCAGAGACAAACATATGCGCATATAGTAGTGTCGTGGCTATCCACAGTGTTATAGTATTATTTAGCTTACCAAAAGAAACCCAAGTGTTTTGTCGTTCCTGGAGCCAAATCGCTCTGTCTTGTCAAAAAGATTGCCCAGCTTTTCTAATGGATGGAGTCGTTTCAAGAAGGAATCGCTAGGAGCCATGGAAAGCCACCAACCTGTTTCAAAAAATTGTAAACGTTCACTTAAAAGAGTGCTTACACGTTAACCGAATGCAGTACACTATCTAAGTCTTTGATAGAAATGGTAAAGAATGGTTTTAAATTTTCAGGCAGACTGGAGTCTCGTATCATATCAACTACATTAACTGTGGCAACTGTTAAACCAGTGTATTCCTCCAGGCACGCACTTATGTAATACCTTGATGAATCAAGATTTATCGAAGTACTATAACTGTCTTGATAAATAAAAAAATCAACACCAAATGAAAGCATAAGTAGAGATCTATCCATGTAATATAATTTGTTTACTTTAATTAGTTAGTGGCATTGCATTCTAAGAATTTTCAAGCATGGTGGTGAAGGACTGAAGGGATATAAAAATTCATGCTATATATTATATCCCATTAACTAGCTGGTAGTCATATCTGTAACTGTGAATAAGACTTACCGTCAAATGCATGTATTGCATAATTCGAGAGCAGACCGCCATCTATGAAATAATCCGGATTCCTACTTCCTTTAGGCACCCATTTCACTGGTTTAAACAGACCTATAGAAAATAGCAAAAGTGAGATAAAGAAAGATTACGTGCAGCGTTATGTGGACATATATTTCGACTATTAGTATTACCGGTTTTTGTTACTTTTGAATGTGATATAACTAAGGTACCAAATAAAATGCCCCTCAAACTACTCCTCAGATGGACATAATATTCTCATTTACAAAATGTCGACAGAATGAAGCGAAAGTAGGTCAAACCGAGATATTTTCAGCGTTCTTCACTCTGATGAAAAGATTTGAGCGTTAATTTCGAAAAATGTTGCAACTGGAAAAACTATTCTACAAATAAAGAATCGGCGTGTAAATTCTCAATGCTATTTTTAATAACTAATTAAGAAATCATACTGATTATACAAACATCCTAGACATGCAAATCTGAAATGACATTTTCAAAGCTGTTCCAAATATGTTTCTTGCTTCCTCACAACAATATTGGCTGACTTATTCATCGAACCAATACAGTATACAAATGGCAAATTACATACGGTAAGTAAATCATCATGAGTAAACAATGCTATTTCGATTTATTGATTTAGATTAACTTTTGCAAACCTGGAATTGACATGGACATTCTCACTGCTATCCTGACAGGCATGTTCGGGGTGGTCTTAACGTGACAGTATTCGGTGGACATGTGGTTGAGATTGGTCACCACGACGCATAGCTCTTTATCAAATCTATCGTACAGCTGAAATATACAAAAAGAATATTGAGGACAAGTTTGAAACATGCATATACAAGTAAATGTAAAATTTGTATGTATAAGTTACGTGGTGATATTTCGTCTGCTGTTAAAAAAAGTTGTCATTGTTATGGACGCTACAATGGCACACGTTTGTGTTTTCTCAAGCGAAACACATGATAACACTTTATTACTCACCTGTTTAAACGTAATGTCCTTATTTCCTGTCTTTTCTGCTATGACGTCACCTAACCATTTAAGAATACGGTTCCCTGGGTTCCAACCAAAATGTTTCAGAACATTTGGGAGAAGACTGCACAAGCCGCATGTGGTATCTAGTGAGATTAGATGGATAAATAATATATTTGTCACAAATGGCTAATTTGCAATGAGCACTTGCCAATAATTTGACCTAAACTTATAAGTACAATATATGTACTCTTTCCTTATGCGTTGAGTTTCACCACTTTCACAATTTAGAATGCATTTTTCTATGAAATAGTTTATGCACTTACTCATCGTGTTATTTTCTCGCTTATTTTTCCAATCAAACAATTTTCAGATATGCGGTATACATCAAACAATTGATTGTGTCAAAAGATTATTTTATATATACTTAGAACAAAACCTCTCTTGATAAAATGGTTCACATATCACATAATTACATTCCATAAGACTAAGCATTCAATAGGGCTAACAGAAGGAAGGGAGATATGCCTCTTATTTTTTTGATACATGTATCTGCAATTATTTTTCTAAACGGCTTCACGTTTCTCATTTTGATTTTATTGGTTAATATAAGACTACAAGATAAGACAAAGTGGTTTTAATATTATACGGGGCCTTATAAAAAGGAGAAACATAATTGTATGCCTCTTACATTGTCGTAGTTTTGGCATTTTTGAACATTTTTACCTAGAAACATTTCATGAAGATCCAAGTTTTGAAATCGTTCAACTTCGTACGAATTGTATCCTACGGCCAGGAGTGTCGCTGTCATTGCCCCTGAACTTGTCCCACATAATCTCTTGCTCTGACCCCAAACGCCAATTTCCTCCAAAACCTAAAATTTAGATAAAATGGATACTCTCATTTGATTATATAAATCTAGTGACTGAGGGTGAAAATCCGACAGCGTTACGACAATTTAAATATAGAAAGTCTTATGTAAACAAAACATGTCTGATTTGCTTGTTTTGCTACCATTGTACTTTGCTTAATGTCTGATTCAGAAAGATTTTATTCACATTTGAAAATGTGTCGAACATACCCTTATACAACCCGAATAGGCCAATCCTTTATTCCCACCTCCTTCAAAAACAAAGTTTTCAAACGGAAATGTAAATTCCGAGAGGTCATAGTTGTTTTTATGTTTCGATGTTCTGTCTTGTCTATGAAGTAGATTAAGATCTAGGTTGTCGATGCCATTCATTTTGTAGTTATGTCCGCTGCTTATTTTCTGATTTCATGCGGTTCGAATACAAATACGATACACCATTGTTCACTCTGGAGCTAGCTAATTCTATGTGCATGCTTGATAGAAAATATCCATTTTGGACGGATTATATGTTCATGTGGTTAATGAATACTTAAAATAGTTTCATTGTACGACAATAATATCCATTGCTGCTGTGCTCTTGAATATTCTTAAAGGCCTTACACCGTTTATACACATGTATGGTTGCCATCCATCGCATTGTATACACATGCCCTGTTTTCTTTCCAACAATAGGAATGGCACGTGACCTTTTGCCGTTTATTGACCGCATTATATAATTCGTATTGTATTGTATTATTACCTAATCGTTGGCTTATACGATACAATTTAGTGTAAGAACATATTGCAAATGGACAACATTATTGGGTTTTGTTCAGTGATTTCAATTGTCGCCTCTTTAAAATTTGCCATACTTCTGTCCATGCGAAGTGATGGAGGTCAACCTCTATAGGACGAAAAGGTGAAGTTGACAAAATCAAATAAATTGAGCTGACATCGTACACATAGCCATTTCTCATCACATAGTGATTTATTGCGGCAGATTTGAATTGTAAATGACTGTTCCACCACAAACTATAAGCTATATTTGATATAACATTGAAAACACATTGCATGTATAATTTAACATTTACCACTATGAAACAAATATGGAATCTGAAATCTTCTAGTAAATCAAATACGACTTATAACTATTTTGCGTATAGTGTATTTATAAGTGCTTATTCATTTCTAATTTTCTCAGGTAAACCTACCTACATGTACCTGCAACCTCATATTATCTGCATCTAAACAACTGAAAGTAGGTATTTATCACGACTTGTCACTGATTGACATATTTTTGGTAAAACAGTTTTAGTACTTCATTTTTGCATTATTTCGCGAGTGTGTATTGCTTTATTTTTCTGTAGTGTTTTTGCTCAATGGGAATTCAAACATTGATACATGGTGTCAAAAAACACCTTCGCCTTGCGCACATGATATCCACATCGTTTGTTTTCCTATAGCAGTCTGTAAAGGATGGTGACTAGAGCATTCAATTAAATGACCTTTTATGTAAGAATTTAAGCACCAGAGCTTTTTAAGATAAGGACTTAGCTAAAGAATTGGATGGGGCGTTTGCATCGTAACATAGAATTAAAGGCCATGCATGGTTCGACCAGAGAGGTTATTGGAGGCGATTTGATGGGCCCGGAAAGTAGTCAGCACTACTGACCTCATATTAATTGTCACTAGCCAGTCATACCTCAGTCACATTTTTTCCGATTTGCGAACCGGCGCCCGGCCGATGAGTCTTTTGACCAAAATCAGTTGACAAGCCGTACTATAGGTCTCGTTCGTCTGAAAACTTGAAGCATTTTGTTTTGTGACCATAAAAAGTTTCGTCTATCAGTTTATTTCTACCACCAATTGGAAAATCTTCGCAAAGGGTTTGTCAAATTGGCGTTAGAGGTCGCAAATTAATTCAGTGGAAATAAAATTAAAACTTATATTGCATTTTTGTTTTTGAAAGTCTTGCAGGAAAAATCTTTGCTGTTTTTTCAATTTTATTTAGTAAAAAAACAAGATCTTGTCATATTTAACCCACATCAGTACAAGCTAGTGTTATATTGCAGAACGTTCTCTTTATATGTATGTTTCTTTAATATCGTGTTTATTTTCGAAAATGTTCACTTAGCACTATGTTTAAAGAACCCTATTCAATGTTAACACTGTTAACATTGAGCTATCCAAAGGGGAATCTGGTCTTATGGAGTTGCAAAAACTATGGGGACAGAATTGTGATGATAACATTATCCAAATTTTAGATTTTCTTTCATTCTCCTCTCTCCCATTTTTCGATATCACTAATTCGATTTATATGCTGTTGCTAGGTCATTGCTAGGCAAAATTATGGACCGAAATTATGTTACGGATAAGGTACGGGTATTGGGTATGTCCGAGGCCAAATTAAATAAGCCCAAGACTATTATTTATCCTAAAACCCAATACGAAATTCAAATGTCTAACTTAAACCCCACACACTCTCATGAAAAGTAAATACTCCATATTGCAGAAATTTTGGAAGATAATGTATTTGATATCATAATGAATGGATCAGAAGGCCAATTGTATATGTTGCCTGCAATTTTGTCACCTCCTATGAATCTGATTCTGCCTTTAATGGATGCGCTTGTGTAATGGTGTAAGGAGGCCTGTAATAAAAGAACCACATTTGCAAATTCACAGTTATTGCAGTTTTATCGCCTTGTAGCTTTTTAGTTTATTTTATTGTAGCAATGTGCAAATGATCCCATAAGAAACCTCGTTCGGTTCCATTCATCAGATCTTCGGACAACTCTTGCTCTATGTGTATTCTGCCCTTATCACCATCTGGCCATCCTTTATCGGTTCCAACTACGGAGAGATATGTGATCCTACTTCCGGGTTTTCCTCGCTTGATTGCAGAGGAAACCCAATCATCGTGCTCTACTTTATTGAAGGCGTCTCCGACATTTGAAAGAACGAAACCGTCAAACGTTTCCGTCGTAGTTCTGAAATATTCATTGGCATCGGCGTGAACCAATTCAAATGCATCAAGGCGCTCTCGAATTGGGATAAAATTCTCTGGTTTCCAGAAATCAGGAATGGAATATTTGCCCGAAATCTTAGCAGTTAAGTGCATTTCGATCTGAGGATTGTCCATATTAGGCACGTTCAAGCAGATCTCTCGGAAATTATTCAACCACAGTGGTGCAAGTTTGGGCAGAAAATCCCAGTAGGGGTAATATATAAAAGGAGATATATTGAGATGGGCTTCTGTAAATGCACGTCGCCAACGCCATGTGTTCCATTGCTCTTCGAAAAATACTCGTTGTTCTTCGATATCACTAATGCTCAGGAACTTATCCAATGTTTCCTGGCTATGCGCTATCGGGGCAAACCTTTCCAGACCCCAGACCCGAATGTAATGCCCAAATCTATACATTCCAGACTTGATCACTGCATTTCGATGGCCGTCCCAGTATTTCAGCGCCTTGTCTGGTAATGAACGTCTGAGACTGTCATAAATTCTACCTCTTTCGTCCGGTGTGGTCGCACTCCCTTCACCAAACCCGACCAACCCTCTGAACTCCTCGTAAGAAAGATGCTTGATGGCACTGAAGTATAACATACACCATGCAACCTGTGTTGGGTCGATGTCGGCGATAATCACTTTGGCTGGGTTATCTAAAAGCAGCATTGAAGGATTGTATCCTGCTGATGCTATACTGAATATAGTTGAACCCTCTTTGATGTCAAGAGCTCTTGTTATTGGTCGGTGGTCCTCCCCTTGCTGAAAATAGTGATGTAAGCAATCAAATTTTTTATAAATACTTCATTCCAATAATTTAGGTGGTTTATTTAGCTTTTTATATCACCTTTAAGATTGCAATTATACAATTGGTCAAAACTGGGTCACATGACATGGAAGATTAAATACTCAGATTAGACAATTACTCACTGGCAGTGTCAAAAAGAGGAGTTTCTGTATAGCTTTGAAATCTCTCAAGTTTTCGTTTTTTCGTGAGATTTTAAGAAATTTGTATAAATCTAATTACGACCTTTCTTTCTTTTTAATAGCATGTTTGAATAAAGTGAAAAGTCCTCTACACTAATCTCTTTGATTTATACAGTTATGTTATTCAAATAATTTTTAATAACCTTTTCAATTTTTCTAAAAAATGTGGGCCAATTCTCCATTGATTTTCGGTTCATTATATATTTATTTCAATCATAATTGCAGTCAAAAGAGTTACACAGGTCGCTGCCTAGCGCAATGGTGTAATCCATTGATGTAATGTTAAAAAATTTTAAAACCTTAATGTTAATTCGTTCGACAACCAAATTTTCATTATTACTGTTGTCACAATGACAGGATCATCCCTCCCTACTTGGACTTTCCAAAGTATGACATTCGAGTTCTAGACAATCATCTAACACTTTTTGATGAATCATGAATTTAAGTGAACATTGCAAGTTTTTAAATTTGAAGCATATGGCAGTCTGGCCTATCAAAAACAAATAAAAACAAGTGGTGACATCTATCTATTCGGCTTCATTCAGCTATATAGCAACTTCCTTATTAGACAACCGGTGAATTCCCATGGCGGAGTGTCACTTTCACAAGATGATAGTCAACTAGCTATTATATAGCCTTTCGGGCTTCGTGCGATGTGATATCACATTTGATAAGTGCACAGAATTCCACTTAATAAAATAGTATTCACCATTCAAAACAATGTTTTTTATTCAGTCTCGATGAATTTTGGTATAAAACAAAACATGCAAATACATTTGCTTAACAGTATAGTACTCTAGATCGGTATTTGAATATCTGAATTAAAACACATAATAAAATGCGAACATGGGGCAGATTGACCCAAGTGCCAATGCCTCTAGTAATTCTATCGGGCGAGAAGTGGAACGAAATTGAAAGGCAAATCGTTAGAGAAACGTGTGCTTTACTGTGGATTCAGCAGTTGCTACTATATATCGAATGCAAGAACTTAAATTACACTGGTAGTAATATGCCTCATTTGGCCTTTATTTGCCTCGTCTGTGAATGTTTCTCTCATCTTATATTACACGGTGTCCGATACTACCCAATGTAAATCGTTCCGGACTTGTTTTTCATAACCATTTGGACTTGATTTATGGAAAAAAGTAGAGGTAGGTTTGTAAATTTGGTTATGAAATTGCTTTTACTTGACTTTATGTAAATATAATACAATTAGATAACCTACCATACTATATACCCTTACTTCAGGCACCCGCAAACGCCCTTTTTGTCCGAACTGTTTGCTATAGTCTTGTTATTTCGGGATGTGAGCGATTCTGCCAGTGCTTGCACCAATTTTGTCTGATAATCACCAGCCTGCCTTGTATCCAATAAATACACCGATTCATAATGAAAGTAGCCATATTGTGAACGAAAATCATGATTTAAAATGGTTTAAATGAGTAGCAATTGTCGAAAGACAATTTTTTAGATTTAACCATTTGGACGTGACCTAAATATTCCAGTTAATGACGTTGACTTGTTATTGGAACGTTTCTGACTTGTGTTATTGGAACGTTTCTGACTTGTAGAGCACAATGAACCATTCTTAAGTGTGGAACAGCTCCACAAACTTAATAGATTTCCAACAAATCATCAGAGTGGATGAGGACAGTGGAAGAAGTTGTCTGAGTGATACTATCTAAATGATCATCATTATAATTAAACGTATTAAGAGATACTTGTCAAGGTTGAATTAGGAAATCATTACAGATACATGTTCTTTACTTGATACTTTCAATGGGCAAGAATGCATGTAGAAAGAAAAGTTGATTTTTTACTTTTTCTTGTGTTTTGCCTCCTCGCTTTTTTAAAGACTTCACTCGTCGCTATTTTTAATTTGCCTATGAAAAATGTGAGCATAAGTTTGCCTCATGACTTTCATGCTTATATTAATGCTAAGCAAGAAGTCTAGTGAAAGTTTAGAAGAAATAATTAGTTTTAATCGTTATTTACTGTTGTAACGACCCTTGGGCACGCTAGTCTGAGAGCTGTAGTGTACCAAGCCAGATACTAGACTCGAAAGAAAATGTGCTAAATACAACGCCCCATACGGGAATCGAGCCCAGGACCTCCCGCTCTCGAGCCCCCTGAGCCATAAAGGCTAGCCACTACAGCTGAGATTGTAGTAGCGACTTGGTATCGAAGGTCATTACAGTGTTAAAAATCTACTAGTCTGCCTCTGGATTGTTAACAACTTGATTTGTTAATTATTATTTGTAATTATTTTATACTTTGCCTCACAGCATGCAAATATTGCCTCAAATTCTTCTTTAGACTCTCCCTTTAACTTTCAATGCACTAAATTATTTAATGGCCTAAATCTATAGGTTTTACCTCTTTACGAGAGAGGTGTCCACTAAGACAAGATTTACTGAAAACTTACAGTACTAATTTGAGCACCACATATATTTTGGAAAGAATATATACAAACATCATTGATTACCGAAATACGTTCTATGCCCGCACAAACATGGATTCTATCATCTTTTTATTGACCCATAGCAATGAACTGTACTAACGTTATTAGCTATAGCGAGTTTAATTACAGCATTGGATGTTCACGAAAAGGAACGTGAAGCCTAAATAAATCTGAGCGATAGTCCCTCTCGAAATGTTCAATGAACATATTTTTGTCATGCACTTCTAAAAGTACATTCGTGACACTTGTTTCGAGGAACTGAAATTACAAAATGTGTGAATAGTAAAACAAAAACATACCAAATGCAACTTTTTCAAAAGCATAGACAAATTATTAAGCAACAGAACGTATGAATACCGTTACAAGACAATTCCAAATCATTATTTTTATCACGTCGAAAGCATTAAGTGTACAATTCGCAGTCGTTCACCTAGTGATAACAAGACAAGTCCGTGTCGGAATAATGACCATTCGCCGTCGTTAACTCCACTTTGTTCATTTCGGACATTTATGTCAAATTGAAGGTACAGATACTTAAGACATTAATACGATCTTTAATGTAGTGGATAATGTTCCACGATATAAAATGATTTTTTGTTTAAACCTGGTAAAATGACACTAATGGAGATTTAGAGCATATTTCTGGCACTTTTTGTTATTTAATGCCGATAAATATGATCTATGATGGCACGATCGCCAAAATAGATACATGGGTATGAAAAAGAATGTCTTAGGTAGAAGTTAATGTATGTATTTTTCTAAACGATTGAATTGTATTATCTTTTTGAGCCATTCTGATGAATGTCTCATCTCATTCCCTTTTAAAATGAGTCCAAATGGTTATGAAAAACAAGTGAAAAACAAGTCCGGAACGATTTACGTTGGGTAGTATCGGGCACCGTGTATTAGATCTTGGCTACACCCCTTTTGAAGCTTGTTTTAATGAAACATATTTATCAAGCAAGATTAAAAATAGAGAGTGACCAAGAACTTAGATTTTACATGATAGGCCTACGCAAAACTGCATTACGAGATTCTTCAAATGTGTCAGTATATCTAAATTCACGTACCCATGAAAAGACTACAGTATCATTCCTCCACTCCTTTACGTCTGTCTTTAAGATATCTTCTGAAAGGATCGAGAGTGATCTTGTACATGACGCAAATCTTGCTGATTTTACTCCAATCCCTAGGAAACGTTGAGCTGCAGATAAAACTCGTGGCATTTTGTTTGAGAACTACATGTACATGTAGTTAATCTCATTAATATACAGTAGCTGTGTGTGATAAGTAAGTCGATAAACCTTACTCGAGTCTCTAGCCAATAATGGCCTTAGAAGAAGGTAAGATAAACCCAGTAAAAAACATGACACTACTTAACCCTTTCAAAATGTGTAGACAGTGCTCTGTAATGCATTTTATCAATTGCTCATGTCCAAATATCGTTAAGTTTTCAATTACAACATATCTTCAGTATCTTACTGACAATATCATAACAATATAATAAATATTGTTAATTTTTAAATCGTGATTTTAACTGAAGTACTAATTAATTGAGCCCCGTGTTATTTTCAGGTACACACAATTCATTCTATTTACAAGGACTACGACTTTCAGTTTTGCACAAAAGGCGCATAAACACAGTCTCCCAAAAACACCCCATGCAGACAGATCACCTAAAATTACATTCGCACCCTTGGTATACGCAGCTAACGAAAATTGACCGGTACGGGTCAAAAGCTGGACCGGTACGGGTTAACGGTTTTATTTGAATTTAAAACAGCCATAACTAGCTCAATATTGACTTCCTCGTGTCTAATTTGAAATATATGATGCCTCCCGATGCTTTTAAGTACCCCAATCTTTTACAGATTTTTAAACGGACCAAAACTCTCTAAATGGGCATTTATGCTCTTTTCTCTCGAGAACGACTGTCTCATTTTCACGATAACTTTTATTTAGTACTTCTAACATATAAGATCTTTTTTTCCCCATCAAGGTATGATGTAAATGACATGCTATTTACATCTTGTGAGTTTCAATGACGCGCGTTTGATTTTATAAAAAATGCCAAACTTTGTGACAAAGAATTTCATCCTGCTTGCAGCGAGAAGACGGACCGGTTCGGGGCAATCTCCTTGCAGCGAGAAGACGGACCGGTTCGGGGCAATAGCTGATGAAATTCTTTGTCACAAAGTTTGGCATTTTTTATAAAATCAAACGCGCGTAATTGAAACTCACAAGATGTAAATAGCATGTCATTTACATCATACGTTGATGGGGAAAAATAGATCTTATATGTTAGAAGTACTAAATAAAAGTTATCGTGAAAATGAGACAGTCGTTCTCGAGAGAAAAGAGCATAAATGCGCATTTAGAGAGTTTTGGTCCGTTTAAAAATCTGTAAAAAATTGGGGTACTTAAAAGCATCGGGAGGCATCATATATTTCAAATTAGACACGAGGAAGTCAATATTGAGCAAGTTATGGCTGTTTTAAATTCAAATAAAACCGTTAACCCGTATCGGTCCAGCTTTTGACCCGTACCGGTCAATTTTCGTTAGCTGCGTATACCAAGGGTGATTCGTAAGATGCGAGACTCGACATTCACCGGGAAATTAGAAAAACTGCCACCCATGAAACAGATTATTATCACATTGAGTTCTATAAGTATATAGAATAGCATAACGTCTTGATATTTCAAAGTAATTCGTTTGAATAGTGATGGCGGTGATTGAAATTACGATGTAAAGATAAAACCGCAACGAAATATTTCTTTGAAAAACTAAGAAATATACATCACATAGCGAATTTTTCAAAACAGAAAAACATGTATAAATTAAAGGCTTGCAGGTCCGATTCCACCTGGTAGCATTAACATTGGTCTTGTATGTCACACAATTAATATTTGAATCGCAACTACAGTATTATTCGAACTCGGACGTAAGTATGATGTGTACTTCAAGGTAATAAAGTAATACTAGAATAGTATCATACTAATGTCCGATCATAAGTTCGAATAATCGTCATCATCATTTGAAATAGCGTATGGCAACCGTAGTTTTTACGGCTACTGTAGCAAATGTGACTGCTAAAGTATCTGACCGTAGAATTTCAACGGCAGTCGTGTAATTGGCACTAATTGCTATTGGTCGAAGAAATGAAATACCGTATGGTCGAAAGAAATGTGACTGGGGCAACAATGAATATGTCCAAATAGCTCTAAAAGCAAATTCCTTTATTTCTAAAAATAACTCACACAGAAATATACATAGTACTTATGTTTTATATCTAAACCTAATCGAGACGCGTTTAAATTGGCAAAAAATATAAATATTGAAAATAAAGAATTAGATAATGTAGTGTTACAAATAATTTAAGCCTCATATTCTTCCAAATGCTGGGGTCAGTTTTAAAGTCGTGCTAGACATTTTTAGAAAATTAACAGCATAGTTCATTATTAGCCTCTTTGACTTAAATTATGCATCCTCTGTAGTTTAAATGCTCCGCTAAGGCTCTGGTTGAATGGACTTATACCAGAGGGTAACTGGCCTTCGTTGCGATCCCACATTGGTTTCCTCTATTACGGGCCATCTTGATGTAACCTTGATCTCCCCAATGTGCGCCCCAGCTGGAAATACACGTATTGCATTGCACGTATTGCATTTTGTTTGCAACCAATATATCGAGTGACCCAAAATGAATGCAACCCATTAATGTGTATTGAATGGCATTGCATTTTGTTTACCACCAATGAAGGTTGGATGTTTCCCGCATACATACGGTCATAATTAACGCATGTAATCATGGAAGATAGACCCAGGGACCCCTCTTTGAAGGAGCCCTTTGCCGCGGTGCTCTCATGAGCTACACGGGTGGACTATGGCCATATTATGATGGTCAGTAATATCTCATCACTTAAGCTGTACTTATATTTGACCATTGATATTTCTCTCGATCTTCTATAAGGCCCCATGCAGTTTGATTTATTGTTTAACCATCCAAATATTATCTGTAATGAACTAAAAATGTTTGAGACATTTTTGAAAAAGTTGACTTTCAAAACGTTGGCTTTTTAATTTTAAAATATTTTAGCAGATGAAGATGCCTGTTACTTTATGGTTTTCTGATTCTATATATTCTTCAATATGACCCCATGACATAAGCATGCATTTTCATAACTGTTTTCTAAGGCTCATCACACCTTAAATAATAACTTAGACATTAATGTTATGATACCTGTTCTTCACAAGCCAGTAGTCAGTGCCAAACTGGCTGCCATAGCCCACTACCAAAACTGCATGATCCAGGTTTTCCATGTTGGAACCGCAATTCGGTTCATAATACACCCCAGATCTACAAAGATGAAGCAACATTATATGACAATACGACAAGAAATATGGCAAAGCATTAGATCAATCTTATTTGAATGTTTGTAGGCCCACAAAAAGTTATAGAGAAAAAATATAATTTCAAAATGTTTTGAACTACCCGTATGCCCCCTAGCATGACAGGTAAATATCCACGTACAGATGTAAAAATATTACCCATTTTATTAATAAGTCTACTGATAATTATAATCATGAAAATTGAATGCAAACATCAATTTCGCTATTAATTGGAAGTGGTGCTTTATTCTAGTATATATAATATAGATTTTCACACAATCTCTTACTGATAAGACATGAAAGAAGGTTGTTTAGCATCAATAGCTGCAGAGATTGGTCCAATTGTTGCGACTGCATTTAACAGGGCGTCTTCATCTCCTTCCTTAATATCTACAAATCCTTTGTCGGTAGCTGCATTATACTGAGCATTGTAATAACAATATCCGAGATCCTGCATTAAATCAAATCAAATGGGAATATCTTACAATTGTTGCAATGCAGTCACACATTTAGAAACACTCTAAACTGAATACTTTACACGTCCATGATGATACATATTTGCTTTATTGATTTGAGAGACTATTTTATATCACACAATCTTGATGCTATTGAAATTGAGGTTTTCCTAAAAAGGAATCTCTGTATTAAAACATATAATAATATTATCATATTTGTATTGTGTAGATGTTATTACAACTTCATCGTTAATACAATGAAGGGGCCCATGATGAATTAGAAATATTTTTGGGGTTTATATGGTGCAATCTTATAGTCAATAAAATGTATTGTTAGTACCTCAGTTGAAATACTCGATTTTGATTGGTCAACGAGCGGTGAATAATTTTAACTGTACACCGCGCAATGCATTGCCGGTGAATAATATTCCCAGCATTCCACTAAAATGACGTCATTATCAGACGATAAAATGGCCGCCGCTAGCACTAGCCGTTTCAAAAATGTTGAAGATGAGGATATTATTAGTCTCTTAGAGAGTAAAGACAGTCAAAATACGAAGAAAAATCTAAAACTTTGTACAAAGCTTTTAGTGGACTTCGCCCAGGAGAGTAATTTGACTCCATTGAGTGAACTTACTGCCGATATACTGAAATACAACATGAACGTCTCGAGGGTCTGGATCCAACTTCAAGTCAACTTCAAGGGTCAGAAAAATCAAAGATATTCTTCGGACTAACAAAACAATTATAGACCTCTCCATTCGGTTTACTGTCAAAATTATATCCCTCGACTGCAAACCTCGACCTACGGTCTCGGTTTACAGTCTCGGGATATAATTTTGACAGTAAACCTCTGGAGAGGTCAATAATTGTATAAAGTGTATTGATGTTTTTCAGATCATAAGCGAAATGAATGAAAAACTCCTCCGATTCATTAATTCTACAAACAACTCGCGGTCCTTTGAATAAACTTGAAGATGTCGGACCAACAGTAAGTTTATTTCTGGAAGTGCACTTTATTGACCTCGCACTGGTCTGTAACATGGTGCACTGAGGCAAGGCATAAACAATGATTAGATTTGAATTATTAGAAAGATTCATACTTAAAAGTTGAACAGGCACGCGAAGAGAAATGGAAAAAAACAGATCAAATAATCTGCACAATTTTTTATCGATTATCACGAAACATTTATATTTTCCCGAATAAAATACATCGATATTGCATTCCATGATTGTTGATGAAGACGCTTACTATATCGAAACTCCATTCTAAGTCACAAGTCAAGTCAAATGTGGATATTTTGATTCCTTGGGAAGAAGACCAGTGGTTGTGATAAGAGGAACAGCAGTAGTTGTGATAAGAGGAAGTACAGTGGTTGTGATAAGAGGAAGAGCAGTAGTTGTGATAAGAGGAAGAGCAGTGGCTGTGATAAGAGGAAGAGCAGTGGTTGTGATAAGAGGAAGAGCAGTAGTTGTGCTAAGAAGAAGAGCAGTAGTTGTGCTAAGAGGAAGAGTGTGGTTGTGATAAGAGGAAGAGCAGTAGTTGTGATAAGAGGAAGAGCAGTGGCTGTGATAAGAGGAAGTACAGTGGTTGTGATAAGAGGAAGAGCAGTGGCTGTGATAAGAGGAAGTACAGTGGTTGTGATAAGAGGAAGAGCAGTAGTTGTGATAAATGGAAGTACAGTGGTTGTGATAAGAGGAAGAGCAGTAGTTGTGATAAGAGGAAGAGCAGTGGCTGTGATAAATGGAAGTACAGTGGTTGTGATAAGAGGAAGAGGAGTGGTTGTGATAAGAGAAAGTACAGTGGTTGTGATAAGAGGAAGAGCAGTAGTTGTGATAAGAGGAAGAGCAGTAGTTGTGATAAGAGGAAGAGCAGTGGCTGTGATAAATGGAAGTACAGTGGTTGTGATAAGAGGAAGAGGAGTGGTTGTGATAAGAGAAAGTACAGTGGTTGTGATAAGAGGAAGAGCAGTAGTTGTGATAAGAGGAAGAGCAGTGGCTGTGAATAGAAGAAGAGCAGTGGCTGTGATAAGAGGAAGTACAGTGGTTGTGATAAGAGGAAGAGCAGTAGTTGTGATAAATGGAAGTACAGTGGTTGTGATAAGAGGAAGAGCAGTGGTTGTGCTAAGAGGAAGAGCAGTAATTGTGATAAGAGGAAGAGCAGTGGCTGTGATAAGAGGAAGAGCAGTGGCTGTGATAAGAGGAAGTACAGTGGTTGTGATAAGAGGAAGAGCAGTAGTTGTGATAAATGGAAGTACAGTGGTTGTGATAAGAGGAAGAGCAGTGGTTGTGCTAAGAGGAAGAGCAGTAGTTGTGATAAGAGGAAGAGCAGTGGCTGTGATAAGAGGAAGAGCAGTGGTTGTGATAAGAGGAAGAGCAGTAGTTGTGATAAATGGAAGTACAGTGGTTGTGATAAGAGGAAGAGCAGTGGTTGTGCTAAGAGGAAGAGCAGTAGTTGTGATAAGAGGAAGAGCAGTGGCTGTGATAAGAGGAAGAGCAGTAGCTGTGATAAGAGGAAGAGCAGTGGTTGTGATAAGAGGAAGAGCAGTAGTTGTGATAAATGGAAGTTCAGTGGTTGTGATGAGAGGAAGAGCAGTGGTTGTGCTAAGAGGAAGAACAGTAGTTGTGATAAGAGGAACAGCAGTGGCTGTGATAAGAGGAAGAGCAGTGGCTGTGATAAGAGGAAGAGCAGTGGCTGTGATAAGAGGAAGTACAGTGGTTGTGATAAGAGGAAGAGCAGTGGTTGTGCTAAGAGGAAGAGCAGTGGTTGTGCTAAGAGGAAGAGCCGTGGTTGTGATAAGAGGAAGAGCAGTGGTTGTGATAAGAGAAAGTACAGTGGTTGTGATAAGAGGAAGAGGAGTGGTTATGATAGGAGGAAGAGCATTGGCTGTGATAAGAGGAAGAGCCGTGGTTGTGATAAGAGGAAGAGCATTGGCTGTGATAAGAGGAAGTACAGTGGTTGTGATAAGAGGAAGAGCAGTGGCTGTGATAAATGGAAGTACAGTGGTTGTGATAAGAGGAAGAGGAGTGGTTGTGATAAATGGAAGTACAGTGGTTGTGATAAGAGGAAGAGCAGTGGTTGTGCTAAGAGGAAGAGCAGTAGTTGTGATAAGAGGAAGAGCAGTGGCTGTGATAAGAGGAAGAGCCGTAGTTGTGATAAGAGGAAGAGCAGTGGTTGTGATAAGAGGAAGAGCAGTAGTTGTGATAAATGGAAGTACAGTGGTTGTGATAAGAGGAAGAGGAGTGGTTGTGATAAGAGAAAGTACAGTGGTTGTGATAAGAGGAAGAGCAGTAGTTGTGATAAGAGGAAGAGCAGTGGCTGTGATAAGAAGAAGAGCAGTGGCTGTGATAAGAGGAAGTACAGTGGTTGTGATAAGAGGAAGAGCAGTAGTTGTGATAAATGGAAGTACAGTGGTTGTGATAAGAGGAAGAGCAGTGGTTGTGCTAAGAGGAAGAGCAGTAATTGTGATAAGAGGAAGAGCAGTGGCTGTGATAAGAGGAAGAGCAGTGGCTGTGATAAGAGGAAGTACAGTGGTTGTGATAAGAGGAAGAGCAGTAGTTGTGATAAATGGAAGTACAGTGGTTGTGATAAGAGGAAGAGCAGTGGTTGTGCTAAGAGGAAGAGCAGTAGTTGTGATAAGAGGAAGAGCAGTGGCTGTGATAAGAGGAAGAGCAGTGGTTGTGATAAGAGGAAGAGCAGTAGTTGTGATAAATGGAAGTACAGTGGTTGTGATAAGAGGAAGAGCAGTGGTTGTGCTAAGAGGAAGAGCAGTAGTTGTGATAAGAGGAAGAGCAGTGGCTGTGATAAGAGGAAGAGCAGTAGCTGTGATAAGAGGAAGAGCAGTGGTTGTGATAAGAGGAAGAGCAGTAGTTGTGATAAATGGAAGTTCAGTGGTTGTGATAAGAGGAAGAGCAGTGGTTGTGCTAAGAGGAAGAACAGTAGTTGTAATAAGAGGAAGAGCAGTGGCTGTGATAAGAGGAAGAGCAGTGGCTGTGATAAGAGGAAGAGCAGTGGCTGTGATAAGAGGAAGTACAGTGGTTGTGATAAGAGGAAGAGCAGTGGTTGTGCTAAGAGGAAGAGCAGTGGTTGTGCTAAGAGGAAGAGCCGTGGTTGTGATAAGAGGAAGAGCAGTGGTTGTGATAAGAGAAAGTACAGTGGTTGTGATAAGAGGAAGAGGAGTGGTTATGATAGGAGGAAGAGCAGTGGCTGTGATAAGAGGAAGAGCCGTGGTTGTGATAAGAGGAAGAGCATTGGCTGTGATAAGAGGAAGTACAGTGGTTGTGATAAGAGGAAGAGCAGTAGTTGTGCTAAGAAGAAGAGCAGTAGTTGTGCTAAGAGGAAGAGTGTGGTTGTGATAAGAGGAAGAGCAGTAGTTGTGATAAGAGGAAGAGCAGTGGCTGTGACAAGAGGAAGAGCAGTAGTTGTGATAAATGGAAGAACAGTGGCTGTGATAAGAGGAAGAGCCGTAGTTGTGATAAGAGGAAGAGCAGTGGTTGTGATAAGAGGAAGAGCAGTAGTTGTGATAAATGCAAGTACAGTGGTTGTGATAAGAGGAAGAGCAGTGGCTGTGATAAGAGGAAGAGCAGTGGTTGTGATAAGGGAAAGTACAGTGGTTGTGATAAGAGAAAGTACAGTGGTTATGATAGGAGGAAGAGCAGTGGTTGTTATAAGAGGAAGAGCAGTAGTTGTGATAAGAGGAAGAGCAGTGGTTGAGATAAGAGGAAGAGCAGTGGTTGTGATAAGAAAAAGTACAGTGGTTGTGATAAGAGGAAGAGGAGTGGTTATGATAGGAGGAAGAGCAGTGGTTGTTATAAGAGGAAGAGCAGTAGTTGTGATTAGGAAGAACAGTAGTTGTGATAAGAGGAAGAGCAGTAGTTGTGATAAGAGAAAGAGCAGTGGTTGTGCTAAGAGGAAGAGCAGTGGTTGTGATAAGAGGAAGAGCAGTAGTTGTTATAAGAGGAAGAGCAGTAGTTGTGATAAGAGGAAGAGCAGGAGTTGTGATAAGAGGAAGAGCAGTGGTTGTTATAAGAGGAAGAGCATTGGCTGTGATAAGAGGAAGAGCAGTAGTTGTTATAAGAGGAAGAGCAGTAGTTGTGATAAGAGGAAGAGCAGTAGTTGAAATAAGAGGAAGAGAAGTGGTTGTTATAAGAGGAAGAGCATTGGCTGTGATAAGAGGAAGAGCAGTAGTTGTTATAAGAGGAAGAGCAGTAGTTGTGATAAGAGGAAGAGCAGTAGTTGTGATAAGAGGAAGAGCAGTGGTTGTGATAAGAGGAAGAGCAGTAGTTGTGATAAGAGGAAGAGCAGTGGCTGTGATAAATGGAAGTACAGTGGTTGTGATAAGAGGAAGAGGAGTGGTTGTGATAAGAGAAAGTACAGTGGTTGTGATAAGAGGAAGAGCAGTAGTTGTGATAAGAGGAAGAGCAGTAGTTGTGATAAGAGGAAGAGCAGTGGCTGTGATAAATGGAAGTACAGTGGCTGTGATAAGAGGAAGAGCAGTGGCTGTGATAAGAGGAAGAGCAGTGGATGTGATAAGAGGAAGAGCAGTGGCTGTGATAAGAGGAAGTACAGTGGTTGTGATAAGAGGAAGAGCAGTAGTTGTGATAAATGGAAGTACAGTGGTTGTGATAAGAGGAAGAGCAGTGGTTGTGCTAAGAGGAAGAGCAGTAATTGTGATAAGAGGAAGAGCAGTGGCTGTGATAAGAGGAAGAGCAGTGGCTGTGATAAGAGGAAGTACAGTGGTTGTGATAAGAGGAAGAGCAGTAGTTGTGATAAATGGAAGTACAGTGGTTGTGATAAGAGGAAGAGCAGTGGTTGTGCTAAGAGGAAGAGCAGTAGTTGTGATAAGAGGAAGAGCAGTGGCTGTGATAAGAGGAAGAGCAGTGGTTGTGATAAGAGGAAGAGCAGTAGTTGTGATAAATGGAAGTACAGTGGTTGTGATAAGAGGAAGAACAGTGGTTGTGCTAAGAGGAAGAGCAGTAGTTGTGATAAGAGGAAGAGCAGTGGCTGTGATAAGAGGAAGAGCAGTGGCTGTGATAAGAGGAAGAGCATTGGTTGTGATAAGAGGAAGAGCAGTAGTTGTGATAAATGGAAGTTCAGTGGTTGTGATAAGAGGAAGAGCAGTGGTTGTGCTAAGAGGAAGAACTGTAGTTGTGATAAGAGGAAGAGCAGTGGCTGTGATAAGAGGAAGAGCAGTGGCTGTGATAAGAGGAAGAGCAGTGGCTGTGATTAGAGGAAGTACAGTGGTTGTGATAAGAGGAAGAGCAGTGGTTGTGATAAGAGGAAGAGCAGTGGTTATGATAGGAGGAAGAGCAGTGGTTGTTATAAGAGGAAGAGCAGTAGTTGTGATTAGGAAGAACAGTAGTTGTGATAAGAGGAAGAGCAGTAGTTGTGATAAGAGAAAGAGCAGTGGTTGTGCTAAGAGGAAGAGCAGTGGTTGTGATAAGAGGAAGAGCAGTAGTTGTTATAAGAGGAAGAGCAGTAGTTGTGATAAGAGGAAGAGCAGTAGTTGTGATAAGAGGAAGAGCAGTGGTTGTTATAAGAGGAAGAGCATTGGCTGTGATAAGAGGAAGAGCAGTAGTTGTTATAAGAGGAAGAGCAGTAGTTGTGATAAGAGGAAGAGCAGTAGTTGTGATAAGAGGAAGAGCAGTGGTTGTTATAAGAGGGAGAGCATTGGCTGTGATAAGAGGAAGAGCAGTAGTTGTTATAAGAGGAAGAGCAGTAGTTGTGATAAGAGGAAGAGCAGTAGTTGTGATAAGAGGAAGAGCAGTGGTTGTTATAAGAGGAAGAGCAGTACTTGTGATAAGAGGAAGAGCAGTAGTTGTGATAAGAGGAAGAGCAGTGGCTGTGATAAGAGGAAGAGCAGTGGTTGTGATAAGAGGAAGAGCAGTAGTTGTGATAAGAGGAAGAGCAGTGGCTGTGATAAGAGGAAGAGCAGTGGCTGTGATACGAGGAAGAGCAGTAGTTGTGATAAGAGGAAGAGCAGTAGTTGTGATAAGAGGAAGAGCAGTAGTTGTGATAAGAGGAAGAGCAGTGGCTGTGATAAGAGGAAGAGCAGTGGTTGTGATAAGAGGAAGAGCAGTAGTTGTGATAAGAGGAAGAGCAGTGGCTGTGATAAGAGGAAGAGGAGTGGTTGTGATAAGAGGAAGAGCTGTGGTTGAGATAAGAGGAAGAGCAGTAACTGTGATAAGAGGAAGAGCAGTAGTTGTAATAAATGGAAGTACAGTGGTTGTGATAAGAGGAAGAGCAGTAGTTGTGATAAGAGGAAGAGCAGTGGTTGTGATAAGAGGAAGAGCAGTGGTTGAGATAAGAGGAAGAGCAGTGGCTGTGATAAGAGGAAGAGCAGTAGTTGTGATAAATGGAAGTACAGTGGTTGTGATAAGAGGAAGAGCAGTAGTTGTGATAAGAGGAAGAGCTGTGGTTGTGATAAGAGGAAGAGCAGTAGTTGTGATAAGAGGAAGAGCAGTAGTTGTGATAAGAGGAAGAGCAGTAGTTGTGATAAGAGGAAGAGCAGTGGTTAAGATAAGAGGAAGAGCAGTGGTTGTGATAAGAGGAAGAGCAGTGGTTGTGATAAGAGGAAGAGCAGTAGTTGTGATAAGAGGAAGAGCAGTAGTTGTGATAAGAGGAAGAGCAATGGTTGTGATAAGAGGAAGAGCAGTGGTTGAGATAAGAGGAAGAGCAGTAGTTGTGATAAGAGGAAGAGCAGTGGCTGTGATAAGAGGAAGAGCAGTGGTTGTGATAAGAGAAAGTACAGTGGTTGTGATAAGAGGAAGAGCAGTGGCTGTAATAAGAGGAAGAGCAGTGGTTGTGATAAGGGGAGAGCAGATCAAGGTAAGAGACACAAATGTTATATCTACTATGACTTACACGTGCATAATAAGGGTAGCCAACTTCAGTGTCGATACCTTTGTTATCTCTGATGTATTTGAAAGCATCGTCCATCCAACCTCCATGACAACCCTGGTTACCTGAACAAACAAAACAACTTAACTAGGTAAGAGCAATGTCAAGGCGTGGCAAATCCTGTCGAACAGCCATGGCTGGCTATTAACCGAATCAAAATGGCTGTCTACTCGCGAAAATGTCAAAAGACAGTGTACCGTGCTCATGAGAATTTACGTATCAAATATCGACTCCACTACTTTCGTGTAACAGCCACCATTTTTAAAGATGGTTATCGTGTTTTGCTTTTAATAAATAAATTTTCAATTTAATCAATATTCTATATATTTTTGGTGCATGTAATACACATTAATACTATCAAAAATACTGCACACTAAAATGGTGGCCATTATGCAAACAGCGCCAATTTTGAAAAGGGGCATACATACGTATAAATTCAGATGATAGTGGTCAACATGTTGGCGATTCGAGTTTTCAGCCAAAATATGTTTTGAAATGACCAATCCGCTCCCCACTCTCCAACATCGTTTCAAATACTAATTAAGCCAGTATAATACGATGTATCTTTTGAGTTGATGTCAAAATCGTATTCTTTACCGTCTCAAACATATTCTCAAACTATATAATTTATGAAAAAGACATACGCCTAACATGGAATAAAATGAAATTATTTTTAAATTGAGTGTTTTTTTTAATTGTTATGTAATCGTGAAAACAACATAACAATACTCAACAAACATCATTTTGCCCCATACCTAACTACGCCCCTGTGTATTTATTTGATTTTTTCTGAAAACTTTTGGTGAGCTAGTTGTCTTTTCTGCCTCATGACTGGCTACGGCCACGGAGCCATCGGTAGTTATTGCCCGGACTGAGCCGTTCTCTTTATCCATACGTATATCAAACTTCGATGAAAATAATTACGAAAAACTGACAACCTTTGCAATGTTGACTTTAAGTCCATTTTCACTTTTTTCTCTAGTAGGGAGCTATTTAATTGAGTGAACTTATTCAAGTGAATAGCCATACTTAAGTATCAACAATTACGAGAAAATTCTCAGTTGCAAGATTTTAACATGGAACAACTTTCCAAAAGATAGATATTAGAAAAATATCGTACAGTACATGGACACATACATGTCAATGCAGGCATTCTTAACAGCAAATTGAATAAATGTAAAGACAGAGGTACATTTTTCCAAATTGTTAGAAAAATAGAAAGTATTTTCCTTACCATAGCTCTTAGTGCAGTCGATCAGGTTCTGTTCTGAGAGAGAGACAAGCTGGCCCGTTTTCCTAAAATGCTGTCCCTCAAGAGCGCCAGTGGCTGAAAAAGCCCAGTCGGATCCACATTGTCCCTGGGAAAATTAAATGTGAAAATGGCCATATGTACATGCAATGTTAGGGTAAGGTGTAAATTATGACATACCCCATCATGTCCGTTGTCTAGCTATATCCACACATTTTGTATTATCACCACCTACGAGGACTGTTCTAAGAGTATTAGTATTAGTTTAGAACGCTAATATTTTACATTATTACCACCTTGCCGGGCCAGTTCTAGTATAGGGGTTTTAGTGCTCGTTTAGAAGGCATTCATTTTACTACATCGACCTGAGCAATATGTGACGTCATAATGGTGTCCATAATGGCGGTCAATAATGCAATTAATGACCGGCAATTTCCACCCGGGTTTTAGACAACGTTCAGTGCGTAGGATTTTCTTGCTATTTCAGCCCTGGTCATTAATGATGGTAATAATACTAATAAAGTAATTTCTGCGGGCAATATAGTAAAATATTGGACCTTATGCCTTCGGCCCTCGGTCCAATATTTCACTATACTGAGCCTTCGGCCCTCGGTCCAATATTTTACTATATTGCCCTTCGAAATGACGTTATTGTACTATTCTAATATGATACGAACAATTGATTTACTGGTCTATATTGGAGTATGTATGGCCGCTAAAATCCATATATGCAAATAGTTGTGTTTCTTGTCTGTTTATCAATAGAATCGAAACAAAGACTTCGATTTTATGATTTGTGTCAAATATATGACCTCAAAGGATGTGAAATGTATGTGAAATATGGTTTTTAATGTACAGTGTATTACTGTCCTAGTTATATTTGATAAGTATATTTACTTTTTCACGAGTTTTGATGCATAATTAACCCCCTGCTGAGAGTCAGAATAAGTATCTTAACAAAAAAGTCATTATCATAGAAAAAAACACCAATGGCAACATGTATGACTTACAAAGAAGAAATAACTCAAGACCCGTGAAGAATTAAAAAGAAAATCTTAATTTTGAAATATATTTAAGCATTAATTTTTTTTCAAATTTTTGAATTTCCCGCCAGTTTAATTTGAAGGGGGAAAAACAAGATGGCTGCCATTTGATGTAAGAAATATCAGAAAAAAAGTTGCTTCACTTTTAGTTTTCACAATGAGCACAGTTTTCCGGTTTAGGTTTTTTTGACTGATTCTGACTCTTCATCACCAGGGTCATGTATAGAGAATATAAAATTGAAACCAAAATGTTGTGCTCAGCATGAATTTGACTGAAATATGTGCAACTTTACCAATTGAACACAATTGAAGTCTCAAAACTGGATGCTCAGTAACTTTGAGTGACTATAACCCCTCGATTACCCAGATAAACACCAATTCACTTATCCATATATGAGATATGTTTCAAACTTTTAGTATAAATAATTCATTTAATATTTGCCATTGATTTTTTTTCAATTCTAACAAAGTGATATGCACTGTCTTTGATGCCAATATTCTTCATTAATTGTGATACGAATTGATATTTTTGTACTCTCAGAAGAAGGATAAGATATTGAGGTTTAGTAATATGTGTGATTGAGTTGGTTTTTCAGACATTACAATTTACAATATTTTCTAAGTCAATACCCAGACTCATTCCCAGACTCATCCTTTTATTCTGGCCGTTGGCAAATACCTCAATAGCTACGCGATTTCGGTCTTAAACAATGAACAGAATGACATTTTCGGGCATATGTTACAGCATAAATCATAAAATATCGGTCTTTATTCCATAGTTAGCATGATATTCATAGGATAACATGTCAAAATAAAAACGATATTTTTGAGGTCAGTGGTAAAATATGATATGTTTGACAAATTTTCACTTAACCATAGCATACGGTGTTTAAGTCATGATGCTGAGAATTATGGATTTTTACCACTTCAGACTCAAAACGAGGCTAAGTGTCAACATCGGATCGTTTGGAAAATTCGAATTAAATCACTCAATTTCCGACGATTCTGATGATGCCTTTAACTATGGAATAAAAAGAACATCCTATGATTTATGAGTGATATGATTTTTATCCACGAATTGATATGATATCTGCATGAGCGAGCGTTGCGAGAGAGTGCAGAGATCAATATCCATGATATCCTCTATTTATTCCTTAAGGTGGACCATATTTGCAGGACATCGTATTCATTATCCACCCCGGTCCAGGGCGAATATAATGAGTTTTTCTTCATTTTCAATAGATGGTCCAATATGTTTTCAATACTAATAACCTCTGTTCAGCGGACAACATAGTGAAATCTCCGCCCTTGGACAAGATTTAATTTTGTTGCCCTTTGAAATGATGTTATTGGTATATTCATCAATTTCTACCCCGACCTGATTTTTGACAGGAGTGACCAATCCCTCCTCCCTCCAGTCCAACGTGTCACGAATGTTCCGTTTTGATGTGCTCGTATGTATGTAGGTAGCAGCGCTCTCTCTGACGTCTTTGGGCATCTTGTAGCCAAGGTATCGTCGTTTAAACTCATCGTGAGTCTAGAAATATAACGAGAACAAGAGAGCAATTTATAACCTCTAAGAAAAAAACACAATTGAGTATAAAACAAGTACTATACAAATTATAAATCAGAAACCCAGAGGGGGGGGGGGCAACCTTTTGCACGGATCGAGAGTCCCGTAGGGTTTATCTATGCGCTGTATTTTATAACATCGAATATAATCAGAAACCCAGAGGGGGGGGGGGGGGTCAACATTTTGCACGGATCGAGAGTCCAGTAGGGTTTATCTATGCGCTGTCTTTTATAACATCGAATAAAATCAGAAACCCAGAGGGGGGCAACCTTTTGCACGGATCGAGAGTCCAGTAGGGTTTATCTATGCGCTGTCTTTTATAACATCGAATATAATCAGAAACCCAGAGGGGGCAACCTTTTGCACGGATCGAGAGTCCAGTAGGGTTTATCTATGCGCTGTCTTTTATAACATCGAATATAATCAGAAACCCAGAGGGGGGCAACCTTTTGCACGGATCGAGAGTCCAGTAGGGTTTATCTATGCGCTGTCTTTTATAACATCGAATATAATCAGAAACCCAGAGGGGGCAACCTTTTGCACGGATCGAGAGTCCAGTAGGGTTTATTTATGCGCTGTCTTTTATAACATCGAATATAATCAGAAACCCAGAGGGGGGGGGGGGCAACCTTTTGCACGGATCGAGAGTCCAGTAGGGTTTATCTATGCGCTGTCTTTTATAACATCGAATACTGGGGCCCATGTACATGGATAATTGGATATGTAAATATAGAAAAAACAAAATAGCAGAGAATTCGAATGCTCTTCTATTGCGTGGAAAATTAGTCATTTCACACGATTAGAGCACAAGGAACGGAGTGGACAAGAATTAACGGGCCGGTGTGAACAAGAAATAGCAGACTCGAAAATCAGAAACGGTCGCCTTGTACCAAGTATACCCGAAACCTATGAAGTTGTAGTTTTTCATACCAAAATACATTCCTGGAAATATCACATTCCTTCAAGCAGTTTTTCTTGACATTGGCAGAAAGAAAAGTGAGATGCGGTCGCCTACCTATCAAGCTGAGTTGACGATAGCGTACATTTTTAGTTATGACAAAAGGTGGAACAAGCAAGACCAGAGATAAGAATGTAGGTTATGGCGAGGGAATAATTGCAGATATCAAGTTTACCATGTCAGAAAACTCATTGACACCAAGAGTGTATGTATGTTTGCCAATAGCTGCCTCGAGATTGTGTCTGCGAATGAACTCCAAGTTACTCTCGAAGATCTGATTCCTGAAATATAAACGTCATTTTATATTTTTCTCCCAAAAAGGCAAGCACTGTAGAATATAGGTATATAAAAAGTCTTTCAGGTTTTGATCAAGAAATAGATTGTGGGTGGGTGAAATTTTTTTATTTCAGGTTGAGTAGCATTACAAATACACAAACGGCATTAACAAGGTTGTTGAACTTCTTCATGACGTCATGATGTTTTACAAATTAATTAATGTGCCAAGAGCACCATACAAATAAAATATGAATATTGGGAGAAAAATATGAAATTCTACACTTACAAAGGCTTTACGTTTTATCATATGTAGAAAATTCTGTTGAATAAATTGAATTTTGTGCATAAGTGAATTCAACAAAATTGAATCCTCCAATATATCGAGTACTTGCAAACTTTAAATGTTTGTTATGTAAAGAATGGATATAGAAACTTACTTTCTCTTGGTGGTCTCGAGAACATCATCGAGTGATTCCAGTTCAGACGCAAATCTGGTTTTCTCTGAAAAATATTAATGGCGATTATCCAATTATCGGTCAATTTAATACTAGTATGAGAATATTTAGAGTGCACACGGTCAATGAGATTTGGAGTTAAAAAGTAGCAGGCCAGTGTGTAGGTTCTAGTAGAGAAACGGGGAGAAGGTATTAGAAGAGAGACCATGTGTTTTGAAATGCAGATGTGGAAGGACGATGTAATGGTACTACGAGTGAAACTTTGTTTTGAAATGGGGAGTAGAACGGCAATGTAATGGTATTAGGATTGAAACGATGTGTTTTGAAATGCAGAATTGGAAGGGCAATGTAATGGTACTAAGAATGGAACGGATTGCTTGAAATGCAAGAGTGGAAGGGCAATTATCTTACCTTCCCTATCTACGGATGTCCTTGTCTCCTTCTTAAGGAGGTGCATCAATAGGTTCCTCCCGAACATTTTATATTCATCATTCTCAGCCATATTCGAGAAGTCTTTTCCATAGGTCAAGGTCACACATACCAACAAACAAATTGTAGCTATGGTATCCATGGTATTGTCTGGTGTTGTGATCCCTGACTGTTTAGAAAATCTGGAACATAGGATTGAATCATATCTAGCTATACTGACTAAAGTGATTTAGCTCCATTGACCAGCTTCCTGCAATCATTGCAAATAACGTTGAATGTATATCGTTCTTCCCATAAGTTATATAATGTTTCAATTGCTTCATAAATGTGTCAAACAAATTATCGTCTTCTATTATGAGCTCATTCTCTCTTTTAGGTGCAGAGGAAACGCCATATGTAATTTTACTTAGCTAGTAATGGTTCTTGAATTTAGTGGGGAACGTTAGTCCCTCGACGTATCCGCTTTGCGTTCAGTACGTTGATAATTCAATAGAGGTCATCATCATTTACCGTCAAGAAAAACTATGCCCGCCGTAGGACCGCCCTACGCCGAGCGTGCGTCATCATTTATCAGCCGTCTGGCAACCGTAGTTTTTATGTGTCCTCAAAATCAAAATACGCCGTATGAAAACATTTTTGAAAAAATTGCTATGTCTGCCCATGTTATTTTCTCAGTGCAGAATAAAATACGAAGGTATCTTTGTATTTCCTTTAATTGCTTTTTTAGGAAATTTTTTTACTGTAATGACCGCAGAAATGATATATACCGAATGGTCGCCGTTGCAAATGCTACTGAGGCTTTTAAAGAAATATATTTATTCCGACATTTTTTCAATGGTTTCTAGGTAAAGTTACTGACAAGAAACAGAAGATACTTTAACAATATCTAGCCAAAAATTGATATCCATTATCGTAGTAAGGTACATATATTAGAAAAAACATTTTTTCAAAATTGCTGTACCTGCAAATGTTATTTTCTGGTACAAAATAAAGTATGAAGGCATGTGTGTTTCCCTTGCATTTTTCAAGGAAGTATCATAAAATGGCAAAACTGAAAGATGTATAGGCAATGTGGGGAAGGAGTTCATATTCAAAAAATAACATTTGATTCTATTGAAGATTGCATCAAAATTCCAAAAATATAGAACAACCTTAAGGAAGTCATCAGATGAGTTCAAAAATTACATGTTTCATAGCATTCATAACCCTGACACCCAGAACCCGTTTGGGTAGTAGTAATCTTACCTTGCTTTCGCCCCTTTTGGTTTATGATACTGTATATAATCTTACCTCGCTTTCGGCCCTTTTGGTTTATGATATATAATCTTACCTCGCTTTCGCCCCTTTTGATTTATGATATATAATCTTAACTCGCTTTCGCCCCTTTTGGTTTATGATATATAATCTTAACTCGCTTTCGCCCCTTTTGGTTTATGATACTGTATATAATCTTACCTTGCTTTTGGCCCTTTTGGTTTATGATATATAATCTTACCTCGCTTTCGCCCCTTTTGATTTATGATATATAATCATAACTCGCTTTCACCCCTTTTGGTTTATGATATATAATCTTAACTCGCTTTCGCCCCTTTTGGTTTATGATACTGTATATAATCTTACCTCGCTTTCGCCTCTTTTGGTTTATGATATATAATCTTACCTCGCTTTCGCCCCTTTTGATTTATGATATATAACCTTAACTCGCTTTCGCCCCTTTTGGTTTATGATATATAATCTTAATTCGCTTTCGCCCCTTTTGGTTTATGATACTGTATACAGTATAATCTTACCTCGCTTTCGCCTCTTTTGGTTTATGATATATAATCTTAACTCGCTTTCGCCTCTTTTGGTTTATGATATATAATCTTAACTCGCTTTCGCCCCTTTTGGTTTATGATATATAATCTTAACTCGCTTTCGCCCCTTTTGGTTTATGATACTGTATATAATCTTACCTCGCTTTCGCCTCTTTTGGTTTATGATATATAATCTTACTTAGCTTTTGCCCCTTTTGGTTTATGATATATAATCTTAACTCGCTTTCGCCCCTTTTGGTTTATGATACTGTATATAATCTTACCTCGCTTTCGCCTCTTTTGGTTTATGATATATAATCTTACTTAGCTTTTGCCCCTTTTGGTTTATGATATATAATCTTACTTAGCTTTTGCCCCTTTTGGTTTATGATATATAATCTTACCTCGCTTTCGCCCCTTTTGGTTTATGATATACAAATCTTACTTTGCTTTCCCAATGTCTCCTCCTTAATATACTTGTAAGTAATTGTGCTACTTGCTGACTTTGTTTCGCACTAGTGGCTGTACCCCCATGGGTTCATAGCGTTTTACAGTACATATATTGTACTTGTTCAGCTTCAGTGTTTATGTTTTAAATCAGTCAATACCTTAACCTCAGTTCAGTGATATCTTTTTAGTTCATTAAGTGGTTACTTATTGAGTGTCAGTACATAAAATGGACTCACAAATAAAAAATTAAACTCCCATATGCTATTGGTACTGGGTTCACACGTGTATTTTAGTAGACAGGAGTTTAAAGCTTGCAATGTTTTTCACAACCTTCGTGAACGGAAAATATTTTAAGCGATGCATTTGGGCGATCGGCCATACGTATAGGTCGGCGTTTCGATTTCATATACAAGCTTAAACTCCCTATTAAAGAGTCTACGATTGCTCTGTTTTCACAACGTAAACGTGAACGAAAGTACATGAATCAATACAGGAATGTCACTGGGGAGTATCGTGATGCAACAACACCGTGTTGTTGCATCAAGATGGCCAGACTTCCGGTGATAGATTTTCGTACGATATTTTGTTTCCCCAATTAAACCCATTTCTAGGACGAGTTGCTCAATAACCATACACGTGCAGTTAGCGAACGATCTATATTTAAAGAAACTGTCATTAGTATACATGTACCATCACCAAGAAGCAATAAGTTCACGGTTTTAGTTCCTCACTATTGATGCAACAACACCAAACCGAAGATGCAACAACACTTCTCTAGATTTGAGCAATGATGCAGCAACACCAATAAATAGTATAATTTCAGAAGACCATAAATCTCGAGAGGAACAGATTTTTAAATGCTACTATTGCAATACCGTTACCAATTAGCCTACCCATATTTGCGTTCTTCTCAAGGCATTCAAAATACACGTCCTGTGGGCGAAGATCCTTTATATGTATTTTCAAAAATTTACACTTTTACATATTATAATGTACTGGACGTTATTCTATAACATAGTTCAATCGCCTTTAACATGGCAAGCTTTAGTAACCCAATCTATTTTCATAAACCACTGTTCCATAGCTTGATGGCCCTGACTCCAGTTAGTATCATTCAAAATGGTGGACAAACATCTTTCGTTCTCGGTAAACATGATGAGCTATTGGATATTATCATGATATTATCTGTCATCCATCTGTGGAACAGTGATAAACTAGTAGATGTACGTTACCACTGTTTATCAAATTATAACTAAAACAGTTTAACTGTGACATTCGTGAGCTGATGTTGATGGGATGATTGCTTCATCTATGATATAATATGACATGATTCTTTATTTCCTACAATTTGGAGAGCCAACGTGTAAAAACGTCTAATTGACTTTATTAGAGAGGCCGTTTAGTTACACGTTTAATGGAAATCTTGCACGACGCACATGTAGAATTATTGCTCTCTTTGGATTCCTTCTCTCCGACTGAGTAAAAGGGTAAACAAAAGTGATAAGATTTAGGGCCCAAAAAGGTAAATTGATAGGGGTACAGTTATCCCAGATATCCCGGGCCCTCGGGAAATATCATATTGTCTCTCGAAATAAAACCAATATTGAGTCCCTCTCAGTAAATAACTTTTATATAATAGCATTGTATAACTGCAATATCATTAAACCAATACTCATCCTATACAACTCTTGAGAACGATGTACAACTCCTGGATAGCGTAAACTCCTGAGCAGCGTATACAACTCTTCAACTTGATATATGACATCATAATTTGGGTGGGATAACAAAGGATATACAATATACAATTGTAGACCCCTCTTGAGGTCAACTGGCAAAATTGTATACCGATACTGTAAACGTTGAAAGTACTGTTGATCAAGACCAGATGTCGAGGACACTTTTGCCAGTTGACCGAAAAGAGAGGTTAACAATTGTTCTGTTAGTCCAAATAATATAATAATTGGACGAATATATAATCGAATATCACGTGAACATATTTGATAAGTAAAGGTATCATATTTTAGCAAAAAATCCCCAAACCGTCGAATACTTGTAATTTTTTACACAACTTATTTTTTCAAAATTAAAAAAATTTCAACATTAAAAAAACAATTTTTCAAAAATAGGGGTCAACAGTACCTAGTAGTGGTCAACAGTTTACAATTGTTGACCTCCCCAGAGGCCAACCGGCAAAATTGTATACCGAGACTGTAAACCGAAAAAATAATGTTGACAGAGACCGAAGGTCGAGGTCAACAGTAGTTTCAAGGTTTACAGTCGAGGTATATGATTTTGACGGTTGATCGAATGGAGAGGTCTACAATTGTTTTGTTAGTCCGAGTAAACTAATAATACACATATAGACGACGATCATCAATCGGCATGGCTTCATTTCACAACCTTTTCTCCGAACCACGTTAGCAATATTTTTTTTAGAAAATATGGAGACAGTGCAAGAAGCTTAACTCTGTATTTGGCACATCACGGCGTACTCGTTAGTGAATTAATGTTAATTTTAAGTTTCTATTTGTATTTTTGCTATACTTGTCGCCTAGTAAAGTTATTTTCATCAACATTTACAAAATGTCCGTCTTCCATGTTTTTTTGTGACGTCATGAAACTTTTTTCAGAAGTAGCGGTCAACAGTACCTAGTAGCGGTCAACAGTACATAATTTTGACCGCTAATCACCCAATCAGAATCGAGTATTTCAGTTGAGGTACTAACAATACATTTTGTTGCCCGCTCATCAACCAATCAGAATTGAGTATTTCAATTGAGGTACTAACAACACAAAATGACTGATATCTGTTGTCTTTCAAAAGTTATATTAGTTATTTGTAACAATTTCCATACGGTAAATCAAGGGCATTAAATTTAGAAAATGTATAATCTTTATTTTTCAGATACAATATCAATGAGATTGCCTCCCGAGGATTATCTGTACTTTATTTAGTTTGCCTTGTATATCCTTTTAACTTTGATATAGACAAAGAAACCAAACAAAATACGTTTCGTCCATGTACCACTGACTCACGCGTTTTATTCATGTCCCGACCTACACCTGTAAACAGAACATAAAACAGTTTCTCTTGTTGTTCAATGATACATTATATTGGCGTTTTTGCATCAGCACATTGGTGTTGTTGCATCATCGATAAGAAACAGAGTGGTGTTGTTGCATCAATAGTGAGGAATTAAAACCACGAATTTATCGCTTCTTGATGATGCTACATGTATACCAATGACAGTTCTTTAAAATATAGATCATGTGCTAACTGCATGTGTATGATTATTGAGCAACTCGTCCTAGAAATGGGTGTAAATTGGGAAAACAAAACATCGTACGAAAATCTATCACCGGAAGTCTGGCCATCTTGATGCAACAACACGGTGTTGTTGCATCACGATACCCCCCAGTGAATGTGTAGAGTGCGCTTTGCCTTTTGTCATCCGCTTCAAGCGCTTTACGTTTGCAATACCCGATCAGCTTCATTATACTCATGTTTATTGAATACTGTGCTGGCAATTTTGATTTCGATGCACGGTAAACTTCTTTCCGAAGAAGATGATGTACTCGTATGTCGATGCATGTTTTAGCTCCAACGTCTTACCAAACGAGCTTGTTTAAAGTATGTATCAGAAAACCAGCAATAGAATCTTTGTGAAATTTTACAATTTCGAGCTAGTTGAATGACTACTAACTTTGAGTTATGATTAAAATAGCTGAAACACACAACTTTTCGGTAATAAAAATGACAGCCGTTTGTGAATTTTGATATATATTTTGCCAAAGCTTTTAGATGTTATATTAACATTATAATACTCTTTGTTGCCTGTACAATATCAAGCAAATCAGTATAATATTGAATTTACAACATAAAAAGTGATATTTCAACAATAAATGTGCCGGCCATTTTTAATCTGTTTGACATATTTTGCCGAAACTTGTAGACATTATTGATAACCCATGAGTTACTTAAGATACCTGTACAATTTAAAGCAAATTGGGATATTTGTGAAGTTATGACCAAAACAGAATTACCGTTTCATTTCTGGGTACAATTCTTGGGACACCCGATTCAGTGACCTGCATTTTTATAGTTTGAAAAGGCATGTCTATATGAATTATCTTACTCTTAAAGGATACATTGCAGAAAATGATTAACCCTCAACTAAATAAACTCGATAAAATGTAAGGTACCTCTTTTAATATGCAAAACAGAAACTTGTATAGAAGATGTATGGAATGAGTTATGTGTACCTGGAAATAATATGGGACTCTAATGAGGTAGCCATTTATTTATGAACATATGGATCTACCTAAAACGGCTAATAAGGAAGTTGAATAATGTTTGACACTGATAGTATCTTGGATGACATATATTTTTGTGTGCAACAGGAAAATAACGTGCGATGCGATTATTTAGAAAAGAAAATTGATGTCTCTAAATGTTGAATTCCCAATACATTGTTTATTAGTGAATCGCTTTTTAAATTTCCGATGCACTTTGATAGCAGCTCAGGCATCGGGAAATGTCATGTTTAAAAGGTTATTTGTGTGTGTAGATACAGTAAGATGCAGTGAAGGAGTTTGTCAAGGAAGTAGAAAGAATTGCTAAGGACTGTCGAACGTGTTTCTGAAAGGTCCAACAGTTCTGACGATATATCAGGATATTTTATTTTATTTCAAGGTCATCTGTCTTGCACATTTTTATGTTTTGTATCTTCAATAATTTTTATTATGATCATGGTATCTCAAATCATTTTTAGAAAATAGGATTGTCATGAAACATTGACATATGTTTAAAGATTGACATATTTTGCGCTTTCTATATCCTATGAATCCTTTAAAGATCTCGAAATCGACAGTTGTTGGTATCACGTGCTCATATAGACATCCATTTCAAAACCCTTTTTAACTAATTGTAAATTAAATGAATTGATCAAATTAACTGCATATGAAGGCAACTACATAATTTCTATAGAGTCATCGATCGATTTAATTTTCAATTCGTCAGTTTATCCGGATGATGAGTCATTTTAATACAAGTTAGTCAGTTGAGACTAGTTATTTCTAGAATGGTCATATCTAGTACAACACATTCGGGGAAATATATATTGTAATAACACGGGAACTTTGTATATAATTTAAATAATGAAATCTCCAAAAGTTTTACTTTTCCTCGTTGGAATTATATGCATCATATCGAAAAAGACAATACACTGTGTGGAACCAGTGGAATTCTGGGATGACGACGACGATGATGATTATGTATCCGATGGTGACTATAAAGCTGGTGCTGCTAACAACAAAGATTCTGGTGGTGAAATTAAGAATAATCCAGATGATGGAGGTTGGTGGAACTGGTTAACGAACAACCAAGAGCAAGATGAACATACCGAAACCTCGACCAACAAGCTTGACACTACTCTTCAATCTAAATCGACTGCAACAAGTCTTTCTTTAAATTCAGACAGTACAAGTCCAAGTATTCTAAGTGATACATCAACATTAAATACATTCCAGTCAGCTGAATCAAATGTGGGTGGAAATGATCAGAAACAGGTGAATGATACCAATGGAAATGAAGAAACTAGTAAATCTGATTCAAGTTCTGAGGATTTGACAAGTAGTGAGGATTTGTCGAGCTCTTCTTCCGAAGACCCAAGTAGTAAATCTGATTCAAATTCCGATTCAAGTTTTGATACAAGTTCTGAGAACTCGTCGAGTTTTTCATCTGAAGACACGAGTAGCGTTTCAAATGGTTCAAGTGAAGAGTCATCAGAATCAAATGAATCAAAGGAAGAGGAATTAAATAATGAAGAGAAAATTGATAATGAAAATAATAACAAGATTGACTTTGATGACAAGATTAATAATGATAACAGTAATGATGTCGATGATGTGATTGAAGACGTTGAGAGTACATCCAGTGTGGAGGATAAGGAAAAAGAAACATGGTCAGAATGGTTCGAACATATAGTTGGAAATCTAGTTAATGGTGACGATAATGATAATAACGACGATGGTGATGATGTTTCAGATGATGCTAGCAATGACAGTCTAGATGACAACGCAGAGTTCAACAATTATAATGATGAAGATAATAAAGATGATCAAATAGAGACGAATACTAGTGATAGTCACGAAACTGGAGATGAAGTCCCTGGTGATAACCCTGTTGAACAAGATGGTGACAATTTCAACAAAGATGACAGCACAACGATACCACAAACGACCTCCCAAACGCAATACCAAACAAGCACAAACTACCAAAGGAGTACTGAAATACCAATTGAGACTCCTCTCACAACTGTTGATACAAACTTCCAAACGATGATTCCTTCAGTCAGTCCGGTAAATGATAACAATGATCACATGGACAACGGTCAAGAGGTTGTCGGGGAAGAAGCTCCAGATCTTAATGCTGCTGTATTGGGTGATGACGAAGAACATATAGTTGATGAAGCGGTAAATGCAGGCCAAATCATTCCCGAAGGGGCATTTCCTAATCCTCTCTTCCAAGTACCAAAGGTAGACGATCAGGACACCCTCGAGCATACCGACAATATTAGTTGTAAAGATGTACCGATTGTAGTAGCTGAAACCTGTGACATCCCTGATGTGATCGTAGAAAAATACAACAAAGATATAACAATAGAGGATGTAAAAGATTACATCTTCCACCCAAGTAAAGTGGAGGCTTTGATCAAGGATTGTCGTCCAGGGGAATGGTGTATGGAAGAAGGCATACCTTTAACTCAGATGAACGTGGACGCCATATATGGACTTTGCCCTTTACGCCAATGCCTCCATGAGATAAATGAAATGTGTATGACAGAGGTAGGCATTTTATCAAAGCCATGCAGTTCGATCTTCTAGACTTCTAACAAATTCTGAGTCAGCTCCCTATAATATTTACACTGCAGGGTGTTAACATGACATAGAGATTCCATGTGTGTATGGCTTTTTCATTTTTAAATCGATGGCCATAATTGATTCCATCCCGCCATCTGGTATCATCTGTGTTTAACTATCATATTGAAATGCAACATGTATTTGACTCATATCGATCAAATCACATAGTGTCCATTCAGCTTTGTTGGCTGATCTGATGAAATATCTCATTTTCAAGCACCGTTATAAATGTGTAAACAATGTGCTCATTTCTCAACATTGGAGAACTCTGATGGGAATTATGCAAATATCATATTTTATATTAATTTCGTAATGTATTCATTGAACAAACACTTGAATTTCACAAAATAATGATCGTCCGGTTGTTTAATCATATAATTAGTCTAAACTCTTCGCGTTACCAAGATAAACCCATTCAAAATTTATTTTAAAACATCGTTCAGAATTACTCTAACCTTTATATATTATGTTGTAGGAGAGACTCCTTATTAGGCAGTCTCTGGCTCTTCTCTGTGAACTCCACGCCATTGAGACAGTCAGCATTAATACCAGTAATTGCTGCGATAAATGTCTCGTGAACGTGATCGTCGCCTTGCACGTACAAATGGCTGATCTCACGAGGCAAGGACGGGAAGGTGTTGAGCAGGTACATCAGGGAACTTGATATACGGTTTGATTTCCCAAAAAACTATGAATCAAAATTAAAATGTAAAACATAGATTCAACTCGGTATCTATAAACTTGACTTTGCCCCCAGGACTTTGCCAAGGGTCTCAGTTTAATAATCAATTTCCACGGTGACGTTGATATCTGTATATTCTGACAGCATTGCGTTTATCAATGTATACTATTCTTTAGGATGTTTGCACAGAGAGTGATTTCTATTTCCTCGACACCCTCTGCCTCAGACAACCATGTTCAAAGGCAAGTACTATGTTATTGATTAGATATTAATTGAACATTTGCTTTTACTATTAGGCTCTGAAGAACTGTAAAAAATCCTTTTTAGTTTTTTCATCCATTGTACAGTATAAATCACGATTTGAAATTGTGGTTCCCATTTACCATTTCGAGTTTGGTTTGTTTTTAGACGATGGCAAGGCTGATGTGTCTCCAACAAGAATGTCCAGGCTTTCAGGACCAATTCAAAACGTATGTATGTCAAATAATCTGAAATATATATACATGAATTCCAAGGCTTCGGTCAGGATATGTTCATGTAAAATCAATAGGCGGTATAGTAAACTACATTGGACTTCATTTTCGGAGTTTTGTTCTGAAGAACGCCAGGAAAGATATGTTCTTCAAAATTTTGGTGAGCAGTTGCCTCTCCTGTCTCAAGCCTGGCAACGCCCATGATTTATATAAAGTTTCATTGCAACGGCCATGCTTTGTATATAAAATGCCATTTCAGGGTGGCAAATTATTCTCTTGAGCCCTTATATTGTTAATTATGATTTGTCAAAATTATCATGCAATTTAAACTAAAGGCTATGTATCAAGTTTGAGGTTATTACCAAATATCCTAAGATATGTGTTTTTTGTTTTTCAACGGAGAAATTAGAAAGGATTCTAACGTTATTGAAAACACAGAATTAACCCTACGTTAAGGGCTGAGTATTCATTACCGATGACTTAACAATTAAGATGTCATCTATTTTCATCAGGTTCCCAAAATGGGGCGGTTTCTTCAAAGACATCGATAATATATCCAACGTGTGTTCAGTTGGGAACGCCACTTGTTTCAACAATTCCTTGGAGGAATCCATGAAAGGTCAAAGTGGAATGATGGAAAAGTTCAAAACGGTGAGTTTCATTAGAAATGTATCCAATTAACTTCAATTTTGTCACAAGAAGATGGCAAAGGGTGCAGTTACAAAGCTACAGCCAATTTTGATCTAAATATGAAAGTAAATATATAGCAAACCAAAAAACGCTGATCGTGGCGTAGTAATTTTTTACATTATTCTTAAATGTCTTTGATATATAGACAATGATTTTTACGATTATTTCATTAATAGAAACTTCGTAAAAGAAACACATGTTAAATAGAGTAAACACGTGTTTAAATTGCTCCTGATTAGAGTTGAATTAAATTGATTTAAATTGATTTAGGAATTTTTGAACTTTACGTCAATGACTGTAGGGTAAAGTAAGCCCTAACAAATCATTTCATGGAATTTCAGATGTTTTGGAAAAACGGAAACTGGAAGACGCTATCTGGAGTCGCCGCCCTTTTGGGAATCAGCCTCATTGGCGTCATTTGCGTTGTCTTTATGTATATGCGACGTCGTCACAGAGGACATTCCTATGACCGGCAGGATATCGAGTACAGTGAAGTGAAATCCTATGATCGGTTATGACAACTAAATGACGACCTTGTTGTCATCGATTCCAGTGAACAGTTTTCTGAGTGACGTTGATCACGACAATTACTAGACTTGGTGATGCATAGAAATAAAATCTGCGAGGCAGCCCATTTGATCAGATGTGGCTACAGTATTTATTAAGTGTAGCATCACATAATCGAAAACCAACCAACCAACCAACCAACCACGATATTATCATTGAATATGAAACACTTAATGCAATGATTGGTAGATTATTTTAAACCTGGCTTTGAGTTTAATAGGAATGTCGGATTTTGGGTCACAGAAAGGTTTCAAAAACAACGAAAGCAACAGATGCTTGAAATAGCAAAACAATATCGCGAACATAAAAATAAATGGTTCACCTAAAACATATATTCGTACATGTACAGGGTGACCCAAAAAAATGCAACCATCCATTTCTTCAATATTTTTCTTAAATGGAGGTAAATTGCTCTGACCGGATTTGCCACACAAGGACTTCATTCAATGTGGGATCATCTGGCAAAGTTTTAATAATCATAGTCTTATATTGATAGAGTTATGGTTGTTTCAAAATATGCTCCAGATGTCGTCAATTTCGCTGAAAACAAACTTGCAATGTTCAAGGAAAACTGTTCATAATTAACACGGATGCATTCTTTCCCATAGGTATGGCTCAAATTTTTGCAGCCATTGCTTGTTGGAGTTCTGCAATTGTGGTAGGGTTATTTTCATACACATTATCCTTTAAATAACCCCATATATAGAAGTCAGGGGCATTGAGATCAAGACCATGGGTTCTCCGTCCTAGGAGAGATAATGTTCTCATACTGTCATAGAAATGACTAGTGAGCCAGGCTATGCTATCATTAGAAGTATGAGGAGTAGCTCCATCCTTCCAGAACCACTGTTCTTGTCTATTGAAGCCTCTATGTCACTCTAGAACTGCCTAGAACTTCCTGAGCACCTTTATTGCGCTGTGTGTTGACAGTAACAGTGTTGCCATTATCAACCTCAAACCAAAAGGGGCTGATGATTTCATGTTTGGAAATTGGCAGCCCAAGCTGTGCATTTAACAGAATGAAGGGGCCTTTAAAGCACTTCATCTGGAATTTATGATCCCAGAACACATTACTTCTTGAGTTTACATGTTCAGAAAGAAGGGAATGTGATTCATCCGAAAACCTAACATTGGAAATGGACGGCATGTGGAGCATATTTTGGAACAACCATAGCTCTATCAATATAAGACTATGGTTATTGAAACTTTGCCAGAGGATCCCACATTGAATGAAGTCCTTGTGTGCCAAATTTCAGAGCAATTAACCTCCATTTAAGAAAAATATTGAAGAAATGAAGGGTTGCATTTTTTTGTTTCACCCTGTACATGCATCCTTCAAAATCGGGCTTCATTGCTAGCAGCCCCGTAGCTTGGTGCTGTTCGGGGTGCGGGTGGGGGGGGGGGAGTTCGAGAAGAACCCCCCTGGCCAAAAATTCTTTCAAAATCATGCAGTTTTTCACCATTCTGAGCACTTTTAGGTGATTTTAGGCATTTTTGGGCAAACATAGGAACTTTTCAAAAAGTGAACCCCCTAGGCAAATCCTGGCTACGGGCCTGGCTCTAGCTATGAGTTGGGACAGTAATGCCTGACAGATACATTGCAGAACATTTTGTATACCGAGAAGACAGTCAATGGTTTCGGAAATGTATCCACTAAGACTGGGAAGCTGTTTGTTGAACATGTAAAAATTGTATTGAACATTTATAATACAGCAGGTTAGGAGAAAAGTGCAATTTGTAAATAATTTGAATGAAATGTACATGATCTGACGCATGATTTATACATATAAATATAATCATTATATCAAAAATAAAAACATATATTATGTTAACATTTTATTTCTCTTATAAACAAATAAATATTGCAATTCAATACAAACAGTTTTAACAATTTTTAGATATAATGTATAACGATTATACATTATAATTTCCATTTTACATATAGCCCATAAACCAAGGCCAAAACTTGTTATCATACCAAAGTTAAATTAAAAAATAAACAGGCGCCATGTTTAAATTTTAATCAAAATGGGTTTATGTATAAAATATTTACAGATGAAGACACTGTGGTATGACAACAAAGGATCAACTTTTGTTTATTCCAACTATCCGTTACCCTCGTAAATTCAGTCAATAGTAAAAATCCTCATTATGACCATATCTTTTTTTTTAAACACCCGTCCTAGATTGTCCACATTAAGTTTTTGCAGGAATATTGATATTGAATCTGCGTTGTTCCAAGGTAAATTTTTTTAAAAATATACACCCAGTTCCCAAAGTTTTCCAACTCGAAAGCCTTATAATGCCAATTGATGATTCCCATATCCAATGGCATCATCAGACACTTTTTAAGTGTAGAGAGTTCTTTTTGTGGCACTCTCGATCTTGTTCTCCATTTTGTAATTTTATATTTTTATTGTCATATGCTGTTATTGTTGTCTATTGTTGGGCAGGGTATTCTTCCAGGCGTTCGAGTAAAGCATCAGAATAACCAGGGGAGTAGTATCTGAAAGAGACACATGAATCATTAATAAAAGAAAAAAGAGTAACACCAATTCATTATACATATTACCCTAGTTTGAAATATAATAGACATTCATGAACTAGCTTATACTCAATATCAAGAAAATTAATCAATTTGTAGGGATCAAATGTGAATAACAGCCATATTTTTTTGACAGTGCTCAATAGGATTGTTCAAAGAATGGCAATGATCTAAATCTACAAGGTGTAAATAAATCATATATTCATTTTAATGTCAAATTATAATGGCCAGTTATAGTTGCCATTTAAATAAATTATTTCCGATCCATATATTGTGTCCATCATGTAGGCAGAGATATTAATTGTGTTCACATTTAAACAAAGATATTCATAAACTTCAACAGTTGTTACAATACAAGATATTTCAACTTACTTGACAACTTCTTCAGGATATTGGTTATTGATTGTGTTAATGTATTCTGCTAGAGCACTTCCAGGTTCAGTCTTTATCTCCTGTACCTTCTTCAAGCCTCCACTTGTAACAAATAGTCTCCTTGCTTTGGAATCATGGGGAAGTACTTTGCTAAATTGTCCTACGACGTGTTTCAGAATATTTGGTGGGGCATCGTGTAATAGAGGTTCCAAGGATGGTAAGTGGACACATTTTTGGAGAATGTTCTTTAAAGCCTTTTTAGACTGAAAAGAGAAAAGATATACATGTAAAATCTTTGAAAATAAACTGGATATATCTTTCATACTATTAAGCAGCAGAAATGCGATTTATATGTATATACAGGTAGGAAAAGAATATTGAAGCATTCTTTACTTCATTTAAACATATCAGTTCAAATTAAGCACCCTATATAACCAGATTTCTTGAAATAACTTGTAAGTGAGGCTGAGGTTACATAGTGTGCTTTATTTAAATCTGAGATTCAGAGAAAATGTCAACCTTAGAATATGGAATGGTGAACCAACTGAAAAGGAAAATGATTTACACTCACTTTAGTCTGTAGATCCTCTGAAGATTCTGTTCTCAAGTAGCACTGCAATAGTTTTGGTAGCACATTGGAAACTGCCACGGCTCTGGCATGTTCAGGGGTGTGGCGTCCTATCTGGCCCAAGGCCCAGGCACATGCAGCTTGTATGTGGTCTTCAGGCTCCTCTGTCAGCGCTATTGCCAGCTGTACAACACCCTGTTAATTAAAGTTAAAAAGCAATGAATACAAAGACATTTAAAACATTTTTAAAGCTGAACAGTATAATGGAAGATTTTGAAATGTAATCATTTGATTTATTTGGAGAATCACTTTCAAAGCGCCATACTACATGTACAGTAGCTGATGGATATGAAATTATGAATTGCAAAATTCAACAAAATAAGACCTGGGTTCAAATCCTCCAGGGAGTACTGTTTGCTAAATTACCATGCTGTTAATTGCTACTCCCTTTGCAACCAAAGTCAGGACCAAGTCTCACTTATGCAAAAAAGCTCTATATCATGCAAAGTACTCTTAATAAATCTTGGTTACAACCATGCATCTAATTTCAACATTGCAAACACTGCAAAATGTTATAAAAATTCAAATGAATACATCAGGGGATCAACTGAACATACCTTTGACACAATAACTGCCATGGCTAGATTTTCTGAATGAGCAGCTACATAACCCAGCATCATTATTCCTGGTAGTCGTACATTTCCCTTAGAGTCTCCAACGTAGTCAACCACAGCAGCTACACCTCCTGCATTCACTATCAATTGGGCAAGCTGAAAAATGGAAAGTATCATCAACATTCAGAACTTTCAGGATTTTGAACATATTGTAACAAGCACTTGTCTAAAAATCATTTATTTAGAATTTTTATTGCATAAGAACAACTTTTAAGCATTCTTTACATAAAATCCATTGGACAATCATTCCGATTAATACCAACTAGTCATGTTTCACCAAATTACTGATGGGAATATGTTCTATGTTAGACTGAATGTGAATCCTAGAAGTAATCTATGGGAGGGGGGATGAAGTTATGTCCATGAATATGTACTATAAATTCAACTGTACCTCTGGAGTGTGCTTGGCAATCTCTCTAATCAGTGTAGCTACATTCTTCCTGACATACTCATCAGAGTCCTTGAGGCAAGTCAGCACTGCAGGGAATATCTCTGCCTCCACAACCATCTCAGCCAGATCAACACTGTGCTTGGAGATTTGGCTCAGTGCAGAGAACACTTGACGCTGTAATAAGTTAAAACAAAGTTGTGAAAAATGTTAAACGAAATGCCCAATTTCTGTAATAAGTTAAATCAAAGTTATGAAAGTTCAAAAAAAACATATGCTCAATTTGCATTTGACACTTGTATGTGAACTCAAATAATTGTTTGAATTCATTAAATACATGCATATACATGTATGCATAATGCTAGTATGAGTATTTCAATTTGTTCTTTCATTCAATTTACCTTAAGCTTAGCATCTGGGTTTAAGATCATCTGAGCAAGATGTGCAATGGCCCCAGCATCAACAACAGTCTGGGCAAGTTCAGGGGAGTGTTTGCAGATATCACTGAGAGCACTAGCAGCGATACGCTTCAATGAAAGTTCTGGTTCCTGAATGCAGAGCACTAACAGGGGGACTGCTCCTGCATCAACTACAGCTTGAGCTAGCTCTGTAAATAAAGAAACGCACATACATGTAGTTTCGATATATGTATTATTCAATATATGCTACGAGAGGAAAGAGAAGATAAATGAAATTGTCATATAAAGATCAATGCCTTTGATACACTTCAAGAAATAATCACAATAGTCGAGATAATTTTATGGTAAAACAGATTCCTAATTAGGTACAGCACCGCTAGACAAATTTACAGCACTTCTAGACAAAGGTAGATCATGTTGAAAAGAAATCAGTAATTACCTCCATTATGCCTTGCAATGTAGCCAAGGGCCCATGCAGCAGATTCCTTCACACCAGGGTCAAACTCTTCTAAACATATGACGAGGGCATCAAGGGCGCCGCAATCTACAACTGATTGTGCTAGCTGTGGGGAATGTTTGGCAACAGCTCTAAGCACAAAAGCAGCAGCTTTCTTGTAGAATCTCTGAAGAAAACAAGGAGTGGTTGAAGTTAATAATTAAGGTGTTTAACTGTGAGGACATTGTGTTGAAAAGTTGTTCTATAAGATTTTCATTTCAGAAAAAAAATCTTTTCTAATGATAAAATTACATGAAGGGAAACATTTTACTAATCAAGGGCTAATTATGAATTTTAAATTAGTTTAACAACAGTAGAAATAAGAAGTTACACATACAAAAAATAATAATCAGTCGCGCGTACTAAGAAATAAATGTAATTGCTTACATTTTGCTCTGCCAACGAATAAACAAGTTGTGGAAGAATGTCTCCCTTCACGACAGCTTCAGCCAGATCATCATTGTAGTTGGCCAATCGTCCAAGTGCAAGGGCAGCTGTTTGTTGAATTGTGGGAACAATATCCAACAGCAATGGACGTAATAGAGACATGACTCCAGCATTTTGTAGGGTCTCTATATTCTGAGGCCTTGATGCAAGTTCAGCTACAGTTTGAACAAACTGAGTACGAGCTTTTTGATATTGCTCAAATACTGAAAATTGAAATAATTTGTTTTTAAATAGATGTTACACATACTGTTGTTTAAATAAACAAAATTGTATTTATCCAGTAAAGTCCTGGTACTGGAAAATGATGATTGTATCTTTTCAAGACATTTATGTTAATCAAATACAACTCTAAACACTTTCCATGAACTGAATGTATTATACAAGTTAAAGATGAATATGAAAACAAGTGAATTTTGAATTTCTTGATTAAAAGATCTTTGTAATTGTCTTTTGAAGCATGCAGGGGTAGGTTCAAAATTACGAAAGCAGATGTGTGACATATACGGCATATATTATGTGACATATATTTTCGTGAAATTCCTGATCGAAATGAGTTTGTTGTTCTTTGGCATTCATTTTTTGATGTACATGTATCGGCGTTCAGTTTTGGAAGTTCTTCTGCACAATTATTTTTGTTTGACAATTATCAAGTAAAATGCGTATTTGTGTGACATATTCTGTCGCACAAAAAAGGCTGCCATGACTTAAATTTCTTCAGCAAATGGTGACAAATACGCAAATTGCGGGACAGTTGGACGGCCTGCCAGAGTCATTGTAAGTTGTAACACAAGCACTACATGTATCTGTTGACGACATGACAACACCAATAATTCAGATCCAACCAACCATCTAAAGTTTATTTATTTTTCATCGAGTTATTTACAGTAAGATGAGTATAAATCAAATTTTGTGGTCCAAGCATTCATTTATCTTCTCATCTTTTGATATACAGGTAGCCATATGCTTTTTATAGGCTTGGTTTAAATGTTTACATTTTATGGTATGAGTACGGTAATCCAACACCAAATTCCAATATTCATAACAATACTTTGCACATATGGCGTTCGTGACCAACTATAAAACGCTTACCCCCCATAGTGTTATATATCAAAATGTACCTGTTCATATAGGGGTTCGATTGATCTACATCAAATTATAGGGAGTCAGGTTACTTTTTGAGATATCAGCGTCCATTTATTGTGACTCGCGTTTGCTACCACTTCCTCAATTCTGATATGATGGGCAAACGCGTACTAAACATGCTCACGTCGGAACTATTTTTGACCTACATCGCTATTTTCGTAATTCAAATCAAAGTTGAACTCCTCCTTTTTATTTTGATACCAAATAGTGGCATACTAGGTACCCTAGAAGCCAACTATGGCGTTATTTAGAACAATACCACGAGTTTTTAAATGGACTATATAGGGGTCATACCTTTTGGCGGATGGATATGGAACCTCATACCTTAATGTGTTATGACATCACACTGATTTTTGTCTCTGCAACTTTTTTTGGCAGAAAATATCATTTTTAGTTCAAAAATGCATAAAAACGTCGGAACTGGCTGAATATGTGAAAAAATTATCCATTTAGGCTAGAAAGGGTTAATTTGCCCTACCCCAAATACGTCTAAATATGCTAGTCTAACTTTGCCACTGTGACGTCACAAATCTAACCTGACTATCTCTGAGTTTATTGAAGAAAATGATACGTCTGACAAACAGCTTTCATTCCCTATATGGCACATCTTCTACTAAGGGTTGCATCATTGACTAAATCTAAGACAAAGGCCCTGTGTCCCGAGGATTTTGACTGAAATTTGGCCATTTTCGCCCAAATCTAACTAAATTGCAGTTTCCCTCACACCTGTATTTTTAAATAAATATTGCTACAATGTAGCAATTTGAAGATCACACATGCTTACTGTTTCTGTTGACCTGACACGTGTATCTAGCCTGTAAAAATGAAAAATCGCTACATTGTAGCAATTTCACTGAGATATGGGCCCTGAAAATCATGTAATTTTAGCAAAGAATGAAGAAATAACCTGCAATTTTGACGGAATTTCAGAGGGCTTTCTTTCATTCCAGACCCTCCACGGGCCTCTTATGACCATTCTTATACACACAGAATGGTTGAAAGTGATTTCAAATCATTGTTTGCCCTACGCAGAACGAAAAAAATCGATTCTGTTCTCAAATTCTGCTAGAATATTGGTCTCTGGCCAACTAGCAGACAATTTTAGGCCTCATATTAAGGTATGAGTACCGTAATCCAACACCAAATTCCAATATTCATAACAATACTTTGCACATATGGCGTTCGTGACCAACTATAAAACGCTTACCCCCCATAGTGTTATATATCAAAATGTACCTGTTCATATAGGGGTTCGATTGATCTACATCAAATTATAGGGAGTCAGGCTACTTTTTGAGATATCAGCGTCCATTTATTGTGACTCGCGTTTGCTACCACTTCCTCAATTCTGATATGATGGGCAAACGCGTACTAAACATGCTCACGTCGGAACTATTTTTGACCTACATCGCTATTTTCGTAATTCAAATCAAAGTTGAACTCCTCCTTTTTATTTTGATACCAAATAGTGGCATACTAGGTACCCTAGAAGCCAACTATGGCGTTATTTAGAACAATACCACGAGTTTTTAAATGGACTATATAGGGGTCATACCTTTTGGCGGATGGATATGGAACCTCATACCTTATTAATTAAGAAACTTGAGAAATAACATTTAGAACTTTGTCAATTTAACATGCCTCAATCTTACTAAATGCGCACTACAGAGTACATATAACATCATGATCATTGATTTGGAATATTTATCACACTGTTTTACAACATTGTGGAATATGATATTTTTATTTATTTTTATATTGATGAGTAGATAAAATCTGAGTTTGATATAGCCTAGATTGCATGTACATTTACAATACAGTACAATGTTAGTTTGATTGATCGCAAAATGAGTATGAAATTTGGATGAGATACATGTAGGGCAAAGGGTTGTAACCACGGACATCTAATACGCAGTTCTTCGAACTGCACTGGAACTATATCTATACCAGGACTGGCATCCAGATCCAAGTATTTTTTAAGACCGCCGACTCTCGTTGGGCTATTTATCCCTATTGACTCAGTTGTTCATATAAATGTACGTACCTTAGATGCTTTGTAATCGACGTAGATAGAAAATATTGTTTCCTAAATTGTTCTGGAAAGCGATAATTATAACTAAATGTACTTTGAACAGGTCGACTGACAAAAAAGCCGGGCTTCTGGCACGTCTCGTTCTCGCTCTCAAACAAAACGTGAAGAACGTGACGTCACTTGCGAATCATAGCATTCAAAATAAGTAGCGTTTAATTCCCATCACCATATGTAATATAACGGTGGTCTAGGGGGAGAATCCTCGCTTATCACGCTGGAGGCCCGGGTTCGAATCCCTTACTCGCTCTTTTGTTTTTTTTCGAGGTCGTTATATTCATCGTCTAGTTTACGAATACCAAATGTCGATGTGATGTTTTAATTGATAAATACGAATTCCTTACACATTTCGTTATCTTATTGTGAAATAGCAAACTAAGAGATATCTTTACTCGCTAGGAATTAACATAATATTATTTGAAGCGATTTTAGAAAATTTTGAAACTGCCATCTTGGTAATATTGATGACGTGATCACCATCGGTCAAGGTCAGGTCAAAAGTCATCCATCTTGCCATTTGCCCGGCGTTTTCTTACCAGTCGACAAAAAACGATGAAATCACGTTGAAAATAAAATATACACTTTAAAATTGAGGCTGATCGAATATGACAAGACTCCATTGAATACAGCTGTGCAATTTACAGTCACCAAGATGAGCTAATTTCGGAGAGATTCGGGAATTGAAAAAGGTAAGCCCTTCCGGTTTCCCAACTTCAAAGTGTTTGAAATCCCAGAATTTTCGCCAGAAACATTCCCTCTGACTGTGAATTGACTGATGTCTCATGACACAGGAGATATAGGTATCGAAAAAATAAACATAAATTGAAAGCTGAAAGTCAGCCAAGTGAAAGCAAGCATGGATAAAATGGATGGATTTCGTTGAAAAATTGAAGTCCAACCAGATTCCATGTCATGTAACAAACAAATAACATTATTAGTTTTACCTTGTAAAACCTGACGTTGACTCATCTTTGCTTATTGAAGTATCTTCTGAAATGTAAAATATCCCGGTATTACTGTCAAATAACGCTTACTGATTGAAAATATAACTCTCTGAAACAGTCTTTGTTTTGTTGCTACGGAAAACAAGAGTATCGCGGGGATTTCAAAGAGGAGGTAGTTGATTGGTCAAAAGAGCCATGAGTCGCCACAAAAAATATTATAAAGGACCGTTAGGTGCTGCCACAAGCGGTCATATCAAGAACTAGAAGACCGGAAGTCATGTTTCCAGTTAGAAAATGTTTGCAAGTTTTCTCAAATATCAAGAATGTTACAAATCCTATTAATAAGGTAGGTGTTTACTCATAAAGTTAAGTGTATTTTTTCACTAAATATGTTGTCTTATCGTCAATCATGATGTTTGATTTTTAAAAATTAGGCTAATAAAATAAATTTTTAGAATTATGATGGGGACCTGTCTTTCTGAAAAGTTACATATTATTGATACATGTACATAACATGTCATAGAATCACAGTGACCACTATCAATCTTCATTATTCAATAGTAGACCGGTTAGATATTAGATAAATGGTGCTGGCTGTGCATAGAATCATAAGTTGATAAGATTGAGAATCTACAGTACATGTAACCAACACAGGATCTTGTAGCACCTTATGATGAGCGTTTGACTTAGTTCCACACCATCTTCTTTTAAAAAAACTAAAAGCCTATGGATGTAATGACAATTTTATCTTCTTAATGACATCTTATCTTTCAAATAGGAGAATACAAGTACGGGTAAACAATAGTTTATCCAAATGGTCAAAAGATCGGGAACAGCGTAATGCCAATTTTGATCCTAGCCATAATGGTAGTCATAATTTTACCATAAATGCGGGGGTGCCGCAGGGGTCTGTTTTGGGACCCCTATTATTTCTAATTTATATTAACCACTTACCCGACAATCTCAACTCAAAAACTTTTATTTTTGCTGACGACACTTCACTGTATGATGCGTATGATAAAAATGAAGTCTTTTTAAACATTAATCAGCCATTACAAGATGACCTTGACACTTTACACCAATGGTCATTACTATGGAGAATGAAATTTAAAGCTCAAAAGAGTGCTGACATAACTTTCTCGGGACAACGCACCCAGAATATTAACCAATCTCCCCTAACTTTGGGAGGTGAAGAGATACCCATTTGCACAACTCATAAACATCTTGGACTAGTCCTGGATTGTAAACTTAATTTCAATGCCCATATAGATCAATTAATTGGTAAAATAACCTCCCTAATTAGACCATTGAAAGCTCTCTGTAAAAATTTACCAGGTAAGCACCTTGAAAAAATCTATAATGCCTATTTTTTACCACACTTTGACTATTGTGACATAATCTATAATAAAGCCTCCTTAGCAAAACTACAAGCTCTCGACAGACTGCATTACAGAGCAGCATGCCTGGTGTCTGGTGCTATCCATGGATCAAGTACAGACAAAGTACTTTCCTCTATTAATTGGAAAACCCTCTCCTCGAGAAGAGATGAACATTTAAAAATTTTCTTATTCAAAGCTCGCTTCAACTGTTTCCCACCCTTTATTTGTGACCTAGTTCGTACATATGAAATCACTCATACCAGAGACCTCAGATTCCAGCATGACTATAGAATTCCGAATCATTTGAGTTCATCTTGTGGTAAATCCACTATTTTTAATTCCATGAAGGTTTGGAATAAACTGCCAGCAGCGATTAGAGTTGGTCAACCCATTTCAAGGTTTAAAAGGTCAGTGAGAGAGTACACGAGCCTTGTCTCTGTATCAACTACTAAAATGACTAGGTGCATGCCAAGGCAAATAGAAATCAAATTCAATAGACTAAGAGCTGGTCTACTTTTGAACAGTCACTTTTATTCTCATAATTTCCTGTCGGTAACAGATCCCAAATGTCAATGTGGTGAAAAATTCCAAACCACTGAACACTTTCTAATCAAGTGTCCACTGCTCCTTAATGAACGTGAAGTTCTTCTTGCAGGACTATCAGACTTGGACTGTTTACGAGATTTTGAAGCATACTCAATTCAAAGGAAAACACATTTTCTATTAAATGGAGATGAAAATTTGGACTTTGAAACAAATGAAAAACTGATTGAAATCACTGCTCACTATACATTTCAAGCGATACTAAGTCTGGGACAGGGTAATTTTTAACATTTGAGCTTGATACCACAACTTGGTACTGGGGAACAAGCAAACCAAACAACAACAAAAAAGAAAAAGCTTCTCTGAACATTTTGTGTATTTCTGAATATCAATTTTTATTTATCAAAATGTTTCAATTGCCGATAATGTTGTCCTGTCAACAATGGCAATTTGTAAAAATGTAACCGATTGATTTTTAGAAATAAATATGAAGTATGTATAATGATGACTGATATGGGGCTGCCTAATATGGGGCTTTATATACACTATAGGGCCTATCATAGTGCTCATCTCATATCATAGTGCTACATGTCTCTGTGGTAACCAAACCCGTCTGGCCCAGTTATCTACTCCCGACCTCGTAGATCTGGGCCGGACAATGTCCAATACAAAAAATGGGGTATTTACTCCGGAAAAAACACACTGGTTTTTCAATGTATAATACGTGCTGATAAATTAATAAACATCATAAAAGTCACTTACGTGTTTGTTCCTTGTATCAAACTTTGTATTTATATTAGGTTTCCATCGCTGGATGACGGCTAATAAATAAGAACGAAACGATTAAACGCAGCAAAAAGATAAATTCTTCTGCAATGTTCGTAATCTCGCAGAATATCGAGAAGTCTCGGCTGCATATTTCGTTCAGTTCTACATTTGGTCAGTTCAACAAATTGAAAAATCGTATTTAATGTCCACCATATTTCTTTCCAGTCTAAATACAACACAGATACGTCTGTTTTATAAATTAATCTACGTTTTGATAACAAATCTGCTGAACAAATCGTAATATTTGGAATGTATTGATTCCCGGGAAATGAATTTTCGTTCCATGAAAGTTTAAAAATTATCGCGTCACACTCGTGTTACGTCACATCACGTGACTTTATTCGGTGCGGAGAACTGACGAAATATTGACGAAATGTTGTGCCCATTTCAACATCAAAATAACAAACAAAACACTACATTTACGTGTAAGTTATGTACTCTTTATTTCAAATAAATACTTGAGTTTACATGTAGCCCGATGTTTTGGTTGGATGGCTAATATGGAATGAATAATAAGTGATGATTCAGCGACATGTTTTTTCCTGAGTAAATCCCCCCTTTTTTGCATTGGACATTGTCTGGCCCAGATCTACGATATCGAGAGTAGATAACTGGGCCAGATGGGTTTGGTTACAGTACATGTATATGTAGAATTTTATCCGGAATAAATTGTGCGTTTATGCATAGTGAGTCAACAATCAAACCAAAAATAGCGATTTCAAAGAACCTTGCAAACTCAAGGGGGATTGGGGATCCATGATTCAATCATGATCATGTTCCTCCGTTGACTGATTAGCTAAAATTAACAAAATAAACATTCATGAATGTAACTCTCTCATCTTCATTCTGTTGATCATGAAAATATAAATCGACTTTCAATTATCCATAGACAGTAAAAACGGGGAATGGATTTTGCTGTGTAAATTCGCAACTTACATGTATTGCCTTGAAATGAAAGGGCTGTTAAATCTACTTAAAGAAAATTTTTCTATACATGTAGTTTAAGTTAAGAACTTTATACATGTATACATGTACCAGCATTGTGCATGCATGCCTATATTCTATTATCTAGACATAATGCCCTGTGCCTTGTTTTATTCAACCTGTTGGAACATGTATACTGCTAGTTCGAATACAAGAACCCCATTCATTAAACCACCAACAATTCATTAAAGCTGCCTTTTTCGAAAAAAACGCAATCTTGGGTTGTTCCCGGGGTTCCGAGTGATATTTTGAGCTACAATGTGAGAATATTCAATAATAAACAAATGGGGAAAATGCTGTGCAAAAATACTCACGATAAAGGTGTTATTATGATGATTGGTCCTTGGATTGCTCGGATGATAGACCGGCCTTTCGATTTTTCGAAGATTTCTAAATTTAGAATGTCACGTAATTAGATGAGATCCGTTAAATTACTCACGCTTATAAGTGATGTCGGGGTATTACACTGGTAGAACGCTCACCTAGCACGCAGACGTCACAGGTTCGAATCCCGACACGATTTCTAATTTTTTTTCTAATTATATTGTTAAATGATTTTACGCTTAAAAACATTTTCCAATTCTATTTTATCAGGTGAGCATCCGGGGCAAGTACTCAAAACCAAGACCTTTTGGAAGAAGTTTATTCTGGGATGAAAACACAGACCCAAAGCCTGATGAAACACTTCGCTGGGCACACAGGGAAGTGAAACCGTGGGAGAAGCCAAAAATGGACAGACTGTTACAACCAAAGCAATACACAACAATGGCAGAAGCACCACTTGGAAAAATTTATGATAAAAAGCCTTTTAAATTTTTGGTGGAAGAGGGGAAAACATATGCCTGGTGCACGTGTGGTGCTAGTAAAAAACAGGTGAGAAATGTTTAAATGTTAAACTGCAATGTAACGATGGTTAGGACTTGGAAGTATTATTGTCCGATTCATCTGATTTTACCTGAGGAGATAGACTTTCAAAACGTAAAGATACTTGACAATTCGCTATTACAAAGTGGAATAAATGAAATCAATAAAATAAAAAAGCAATATAATTGTGAAGTTCACATATTAAAGTAATTTTATATGCGATAAGTAATCAAATTGAATGAGTGATAATTGATATTGATATTTTTTTGGAGGTGGTGTGCGTCTTAGATTGCAATGTGGTGTGGCGGAGCACACCATAATAATTGCAACATTCTAAATTCTTTGTTTTCAACATTTTATAATTCAAGGAGGTCATGAAATGAATACCATCTTTTCTGGATTTTATGGAGGAACATTTTAAATGTCATGAGTTATGGGAGGTAGTGTGTGTCTTAGATTGCAATGTGGTGTGGCTGAGCACACCATAATAATTGCAACATTCTAAATTCTTTGTTTTCAACATTATATAATCAAGGATGTCATGAAATGAATACCATCTTTTCTGGATTTTATGGAGGAACATTTTAATGTCATGAGTAGTGTGTGTCTTAGATTGCAATGTGGTGTGGCGGAGCACACCATAATAATTGCAACATTCCAAATACCAAATTCTTTATTTTCCAGCCATTCTGCGATGGAAGTCATAAAAAACTGGATGGGTCATCATTCAAGAAAACAACTCCAATGTTTCGTCCCCATAGATTCACAGCAGATGAAACTAAAGAAGTTTGGCTGTGCCAGTGCAAACAGACTAGCAATAGACCTTTCTGTGACGGTACACATAAACGGGATGATATCCAAGAGAGGAAACTATAGGGAAGTGACAAACACTAATACATATAATTATAAACAGGAGGATTATATTCAAGAACGGAAACTACCACCATAGTGTATCGAAGGAATAAATAAATAATTACTCACAAGCGAAATTTTGTTCAAAAGTTTTGTCTAGGCTACTACAAAATTAAATTATATCAACTTTTGAAATAGAGATATTTTTTCTTGGTGAATGATCGCCACCTTACTCAGCATTGGAGTATTACCGGCCTACTGGGGATCTACTCAAGCTCAACAGTTTACATATAACAGTTTATAATCTACTCAATCATTCGGAGCCCATGACGTGTTACTCTCTTAACAATGGCATAATTTAGTCTCTGGGTGTACAGTGCACATGGCCTCAAGAGCCCAAACTTTTGTACTTGTACAATGCACGTGTTACTAGTACAATGTACATTGTACTTGTTAGCATAAGAATCTGGATTTGAGATACGCACAACATTTGTTTTTACACTGAAACACATTGATACATGTTAAGGACAGGTCAGGAGAGGTTACATATAGCTTTGGATTATTAAAGGATTCCAAATACTCCCTGTCAGAAACTGTTTGTGGATGATCTAATATATATCATCATGATTGTATGATAACAGAGGTTCTGTTTGCAAATTAACAGAACAGTAAATTCCTGAAAACTAGGGTTCAAAACTTTGCACTCTTGGAAAATGAACAATGGAAAAACGAGTTGCCTTTTGGGCAATGAAAATCATTATTGTTGAAGTATATTGTATATTGTGCACTGATATTATTATACATGGATATCACTGAATTAAATATGGATGGACATTATTGTACATTACTAGAATCATTGTGCATAGATATAATTATTCTCCTAAAAAGTGCTGAATAATATCACTACATGTACATCATCTCTCGAAAGCCCATGAAGATACTTAAGATTGTTTCCAACATTTTACACTCTGTAAGGGCATGAAGGGAGTTGCATTAGAATAATGATTTTTAAAATGCTGAAATCAAAGAAATAATTATTAATAAAATGTCATTTCTGTATCAAAGAATATTTGATTTGTTTGTTATAATTATTGAATGATAGGAAGTTAAGTTTACAGGCTACATTTAGATTTGCCCAATAAGGGCAATGATCTTAAAATATTTAACTCATTACGTAGTACAGTATATGAATGCAGTGATCTCCCCAGCATTAAAGCAAGTGGGCGCAGCACCCACCTGAGATTTTGAAAATAGGCTTGCACCCACCTGAAAATCCATTTGCACCCACTTGAAAATGAGAAAATTCATGAAAAATAGGCATATTTTGACCAATTTTGGTCTGAATTGTGAAAATGAGAATTTTGCACCCACTTGAGAAAAAATCCTGTGGAGATCACTGGAATGATATCCTTGAGAGCCCCATTAATTAAACAGATTTATGTTTGACCTTTCTTTCAACCTTGACCTGAAATGTACAATGACCTTGATGAGTCATGTCAGTTGACATTTCAAAACATGCTTAAAATATGATGATGTGATTATTTGAACTGGTTCTGCAACTGGTGCTTGAAAGCCCATAATGAACACAACATGCTCTTAATGTCTCCCCCATTAGTGGAGACATATTGTTTTGGTCTCCCACTTTTTTAAGGCATGATTGATGCTAGGCGTTTGGCCTCTGTAACAAATGGCAGTTGGTGAATTTTTGCATGTTAATGCCATGTTTATTTTCTCATTGCCTAACTCTGGTTTGAACATCAATGTGTAGGATTTTTGTAACTTGTTTGTATTTGTAGTGGGAATTCGTATAACTCAGATGGTATTATCTGCTATTGAGCCCAGTGGGTGTTACTTTCATTTCCGTACATGCACATGTAACCCCAAGCATGTACCACATCCCTATCTTTGATTCCCCATTCATTGTTGATTGCACAGTGACATGTCCCTGTAGGTAGGTCTACCCGGCCACAGTGAGCACTATCAATCTTCATTATTCAGTTAGGCCATAAGAAGTATGTTCTTTGTTTTGCGTCCCCTTGCTTGCACGATTTTGAGTAAATCAGAAAAAACAACACATCTAAATAGCAATCACTAAGTCTGAAAGTACCATTGCATTTCATTCAATCAGAATCAGACAAAATGGCGGATAATTTGATGTGAGTCAAAATGGACAGTTATTGATTACTTTGGCATACATTTTGTATTTTCTTATGTTTAAATATCTTGTATAAAATGTATAGATACATAGAAATTGGTATGTCATCCCCTTTTATGCCCTTGAAATGTATACATTTCTCAGCAAACAAGTTTGTGTTATTTTTCTTTAGTTTTTGTTTGTTTTCCTTGTACCCTTGCATGATTTGGATTTTGCCAGGACGCAAAACAAAGAATCTACTTCTTATGGCCTTATTAGATATTAGATGGTGCTGATGGGTCTACCGTAATTCTTTACACTCTATAATATACTGATATAACATGCTAAAAATGATATTCATCAGATAGTATTGTTTATTTGTACACCCAAAGCACACAAAACTCACTACCAAACTAATTGAAAAATTGGCAGTCAGAATGACAGGTCCCCAATTCTGAGGTCAAAGGTCAACCGGAAAATGGAGTTTTCTGCGGAAGCTTTAGAAGGTCTTCATCTTTCGGGAGATTCAGCACATATCCCCGACCAATCCTACATTAATTTATGTAAACGAGTTTGCGAAGGTGTGCTACATAAGAATGGAGTCAAACGATTAGAAGGTATGTTGTTTATGCTCGATAAATAACTATTTAAACATTAGGTTTCACATATTATCGCCCACTTTGACATTAAATTTATTTTCGATTTGTTCAATATGTAGTTATTAGTTATTGAATGGAAGCCACTGCTCTGTCGTCAACTGAATAATTTTCATGAACGTATCGAAGCTGAACTTCAAGTCAGTTCATTATCAGTATTCATGCTAGTGTTGTCGCGATTAATCGATACATTGAGATATACATCGCCAAAGCTGATTCTGGCGATGCATCGATGTCTGAAACAAAACATTGATGTTTTTTGTGCATCTATGTTTACTACTGAAAATTGCCGATGCATCGATGTACGATTATGGCACATCGGGACAACACTAATTCTAGTTCAACGTCGTTAAACTCAATAATTGCGTTCTTTACTATTAGGAATTTTCTTGGGGCCATAATTGAGTTTAACCTCTTTACTATTCTTTCCTTTGATGCAAGTTCTGGATCCATCGAAACCATTTTGCCGCGATAACATGCAATTGATACTTGACAATAATATAAAAACACATACATGTAACATCAAGCGATATAACACAATATTATTGTGTTTAATGTTCATTTATACTCGTAAAATGAGGCTACACTTACCTATCTCTAAAATGACATTTCCGCATGTCCGTCATTGTGTCTGTTCGTCTGAGTGTCCAGGATCGTAAAATTAAGCTACTAGCGAAACGAAATTGTTGTAAAATAGATTGATAATTATTTTCGCGATTACTCGCATTAAAAGATAAATTTTGAGGATAACAGGTATCTTTGATTGATTTATATAGCGCGTGTATACACGCAAAATAGTTATTAATTGCAAACCTACTGTTTGTAAATGCAGTGCCGCGATGACGGTTAATTTCTTATACGATTTGCAATTTCGATGTTACCGAAACTGACCGACATTTTCGTTATATTCCAAACCTGTCTCCAATATTTTCGTAATTATGCATCAATAGGGTCTAAGGGGGATACGGGATGGTGTGTATGTATTCATAAGGTATGTATACATGCATGAATCACATTCTTTCTGTAATATTACCATGGTTTCAGGGTTTAATTAGTTCCGCTTGTCGAAACCTGCGGAACGATTAAATTAACGCATCAAGGGCAAAATGATCATGGAGGTTAGACCTAGCCGGGGCCATAAGACATGTCAGATAAGAAACGAGGCCCAGGCTAGGTCTAATGTTGTTGGACTACACTAATTCATGCCTGTATATTGGAAATACATGTAATCCAGTAAACCTTGCCTCTACTACTGGCTATATTTGCACATAGCCATCATTTAGATACCCTGCGTGCAGAGTCTAGTTAAACTACACTCTGCCTAGTAGAGACCATATTACAGTTTAGTAGTCCCGCCCCCACGACGGGTACCGGTGACAGTTTGGGTAATAAATCACTTCTGACCTACGCGCTGACCTTTCTTCCACTAATCAGCGAGCTTGAAGAAACATACGCCAAATGCGTTCTAATTAAATATGCGCATGTCATTGGTCAATTCCGGGCTCAACGATGACGTCAGAAGGAATGACCATATATAGAACGTCGGTCAAATTTGGCCGACGACCACTGATTGGCGCGGTGAGTTCACAGGTTTATTTTAGTTTGAAAGAGTGAAGACGAAGCTCTCTTTAAGAAGTGAAGTCAAACGAATGCAAAGGGTATCATTTAGATTGATGGCTATGGAAAACTTGATATTCCCAGTCCATTTTAAAGGTATTTTGTAAAACTGTAAGAAATCTTTGAAACACTTACTCTACTAAGACTTCAGTAGATGCATAACATTCTAAAGTATTGTTTTTCTAACCATATCGGGCTATCCGGAGTGGAAGAGCAAATATATTGACGAAAATCTGATCAGAGTTTATCATTTTCAAGATGGCGTTTCAGGAAGTTGAGTAATGCGCATGCGCCTCCATGCCATGAGATTTCCGCTTCCGGTTATAAGCATGCCCATTGGCGAGTGTTTATCATTTGTAAGTTACTCAATTTAGGTGTTCCCAAGTTGACAGGCATAATATCCAGGCAATATTTTTGTAAAATTATACATATTGAAACTTAACCACTTATCGAGTGCAACATTCTCTCAAAATCATTGGTCAATGCTGAAGTTGTCTTTCTGCGTCCCATGATGATCTCTGTTCAACATTGCCAGCCATGCAAATTATCCATCATCTCAATTTTAAAGATGATCTTCTCCAAAATGATTATCATCTTAGTCTTTCATCCCACATTCCTGTACCTTTCCCTACAATATAGTATCATCTTCAGACATCATAAATAATTTAATTTGGCATTAACTTGATTTTTGGTTGTTAAGAATGAATACACTTTTGACTCTTTCATTCAGGTGACAAACAGCTTTCATCTCTAGACCAAGGTGTTGTTAAACAGACGTATGCTGCTCTTGCTACTTTAGTCCTAGAAGCTGCAAAACACGATGCTGACTCTAATACGATAAGGTATGATATACATAAAAGGTGTAGCGGTTTGATAGGGGGAAAACGAACGAAGATAGTAGGCAACATTTTAAGAAATTATAATTTTAACATCGAAACACTTGCTAATAGACTAGATGCGAGTAAAAATAATCTTGATTTTTGTCATTAAAAATTCAAAATTCAGTCAAACTGATGTCATATTTGGAATCTACATGTAATTGCATCTAGAAATGTGGTTTTGAAAAGAGTTTATCAACTTTCAAAATTTAATTTTCTTTGAAAATGTGACTTCTAGGTTGGGGAGATTCCCCATAGACCCCATGTTGTAAAATCACAAAAAGTGAAATATCTTTTCTTGTGTTGGGCAGATAATATTTTCCTTTACTGGACATATTTTAATTTTAATTAGGGTAATATGAAAAGTAAACCAATAAAAGTGATGAATATTCAAGTTTAAGGGAACTTTATAATACCCTGCTATGTTATTCACCCCGAATCAGCCACCTGGTGGCGAAACTGGTAACTACCTACTCGCATTTGAGTAATTACAGGCAGTTAGCACTGTGCAACAGCATGATGATTTACTTGAGTAAGACAAAATTTGTTTGATATAGATAAACCTTCAAATTAATCTTCTGTTTTATATTTTCAGCGCAGTTTTAGAAGATTGTAAATATAATACTGAAAGGATTAAAGCTTTTAACAATACATACTTGGTAAGTCATGTATTACATTTGTAAATTTTTCATTATATCCCTGCTAGTTAAAGGAGGTAGAAGAGATTGAGAGTATACATGTATAAATGTTATAAGCAATCTTCAAAAACATGCCATGCCAATGTTTTCCTTCGCAATCCAAGGAGGATTGGCAGCCATTATTCAAACTCGATATTCTGTTGCCTGGCATGGCGTGGAACAATTTAGTAAAAATATCTGTGATAGGTTCTCTCAGAGACATATAAAACAAGTAATTTGTTGGAAGATGGACATTACGAATATCATGGTAATATCTGCATGTACATGTAAGCTTCCTTGACAGTTCAACTCTTCAGAAAATGAGTAATATTTTTACCAAATTGATCTACGTTGGACAACAGAGTATCGGGTTTGAATTACGGCTTGCAATCCTCCTTATTTGCAATCCTAACTTTATAATGTTGAATGAGTGATATGCCATCTATAAGTTCTAAAGATATATATGATGTATAATTCTGCTATGATGCTTTTAGTTAAGCTGATCTTTAATAGATGGCATACGTGTACATATATCTCATTAGAGTCTCTTTCATTGAACAAAAAGCATGACATTTTATTTCAAATGTTATCTCACACTCTCAAAAACATTCGATAAAGATGGACTTTACCCATTAGCAGATCTGACCCCAACTCCAATAAGATGGGACACAGGTTTTTTTATCAATTTCTTTTTTTTGCCTATAATGGGCCTTATTTTCATAAAGGCCTTATTTGACATATTGTTTTTGTGAGTGTAACAGGTATTTGTTTGAAAGATTTTAAAGTAAGAGTTGATACTCGTTAACATATAATTTATTACTTACATAGTCTCGACTCTAAATATTCAAACTATGAACATCTGTATCGATTCATTTTGTTTATTTTAATTTTTACTTATAACTCAGATAAAATGGAAACATGTATTTACTGTCACAAACGACAAATAAATTAGGCTAAATGTAGTTTTTTATGGAGACTAAATGTTGTTTTAAAATGGCTCAACTGTTTAGAAATCAGTTGACTGTTTAGTTTTGCGTGCCAGGTTATTCAAAATCCTATATAGTTCAGTGCAAATGTGTTTTTTATCTGCGGAAAGAGAAGGGCGGGGGCATAGTGGTGGCATCTCAATTTTTTAGTCTGCACTAGATTTGACATTTTCAGAGATGTTTCTAGGGTGTGAAAATCCAGAGTTGGTTAGTTTTTCTGCATGCTGGGTAGTGGTCAATTGTGTGTGATATTTAGGTCATAACAACATGGTTTAATGTCTTCTTACAAATTGAATCTTACCTTTTTCAGGATTTTGAGTATTTTCTTCATTTTAGCTATAGCATATGATTTTGCCATTTTAGTAAAAGAAAAAAGTCTGGTCACTGGTCATTTTCCAGCTAATACTGACAGAGAATAACCGGAAAGGTGCCCGATAGCAAAAATAGTTGGGTTGTACAGCTCGTAGTGTATGGATGAATATATAGTCCTATGTATTCTATTTTTGCATTTTTAGTTCTAGTCCATATTCTTGATTTAGCGTGAGATCTCCTCATATTTAAACACTTCATATCTGAGAATGGGACATACATTTAAAGGGGCAATAAGGACTGTAGAGAAAATAGGAAAGTTTTTTCATTTTTTCTGAGCTATCAAGGCAACATTTGGTTTAACATCTTCTTTGACATACCTATTTTCTTAAAATGTATGGATAAATTATCAGTTTCAGCATTAAGAAGTGTAAATTAAGTTCAAAGCTTCAAAAAGGGGACTTCCACTTTAATATTTTTAAGATCCACCAAGTCTTAAGAGGAATATCAGCTAAAATAATGTTTATCTAGGGGTTTCTTTGTAGATAATAAAAATAAGTGTTAGTCTTGATGAAATATCCAAACTTAAATATATTTTGACACTGGTCCATGATCGTTGAATGACCCCTCTGCACTAATTATTGCACCTTTAAATAAAGGATGTTCACATTTTCAGCCACAGAAACCATACCTCCAGTTGATATTAGGAAACACAGGAACCAATCCACCACACATAGTTGATGTAGACTGGAGACTGGACTATTATATAAAGGTATGTAGTTATACTATTCATGAAATGTAATCCCTATTATGCTCCCACCACAATGCAGTGGGGCCATCTATTTATCTGGCTTGTTTTAGATTCATATGTTTTGAATTGTTTTCTCCATCACTGATATATATCCACATATGACAGAAATCTTTTGACTTATCTGATTTTTTCTCACATTTTCATTTTCTTTCATTTAGAAACAAAATATACTTAATGCCCAATCCTTGTCTACAAATGTTAAGATAAGGGATTCATGGTTTTTAAATTTCTTCAGTTCATTTTATTTTTGACCTGTTTTTTTGTATATTTGTACAGTACATGTATGTACTCAATCATAGTGGCCATTTTGAATTATTAAAAACTTGATGTCCAATCATTTTTCTATCAAATAATGAGAAATTTATTTTAATTATAACATTTTTGGTAGCTGTTTTTAGATAAGATTCGTGATTAGGCATCTCTTTATAAATAAATTCTTTATCCTCGCTAGGCAGTGTTCATATTTATTTGATCAAAACTAGTCAGACCGATTATATTAAAATCGTTTCCAATAAATAAATAAAAAATATCAAATCTCCAATTATCAAATAACAATTCATTGAATTTTTGGGAGTACCAAAACCATTTTGATTTATTACAAAATTAATATTCATTTGCCACAAAGATGGAGTTAGGAATAAATGAATGTAGATGACCACCTAATATTGTATATTTACATCCATGGAATAGTGATATGTTTTCCTACCATTTAACTCCCTTTATTTTGACAATTTACAATCTAATTGCTTGTAGATATGTATGGTTTATTTATACTGGGACAAAGTTTAGATTTATTACCAGACAACAATTTAACACTCCGAGTTGTATGTTCAAAGATCGTAAAAGAAGAACATGTAAATGATAATTCACTTCAAACCAATGATTTTATCGAAAAGCCTGAATTTCCGTTATCTAAAGAACTTCAATTTGTAGAAAAAACATTTACATGTTGTTGGTAACAGCAGCTAATAAAATATATTTTGTTGCAAAAACAATAAAATTTATTTCGTTGATTTAGTTATAAATAAATAAACTAAAAACTATGTTATGTTTTCAATAAAAATGTCAGCAAGTAAATAATTGTTAAGTTTTATTTTGTGGATACTCATAAAGTTCTCACAACTTTTTATTGAAGGAATTTTAATGCCTGTTCATCTATGTTTTTTAGAACAACCATTTAGAAAAAGTGAACGAAGCTGTGTATTTGATATCATTAAAAACAGAGGTAAGTCGACATTTTGAATTATATTATTTTCTTTCGATAATGAACACATATTTTATGTTTGAAGATTACTAACAAAATTTTGCTTACCGAAACATACACTCTTTCCATTTTGTCAACCAATAATGAATTGTGAGCTAAATTTATAATTTATTCACATTTCATACCTCCTTTTTATTAAAAAACAAAAGCTCAGCATGTGAGCTAACAACGACATGTTATCAGTTATGCGTAACTTTAATTCCATTTTATTAATTCAGGATTCACTATATAAAACCTTGTCATAAATGCTACATAAAGATCATATTTTTTTTATAAAATGAAAATTTAAGAAGTGATACGAAACATTGTTTATGTCTATTATTTCATAAAATGATCGAAACGGGTGTATTAAATGGACTGCCCTATGTGAAACTACTTTAAATCCAATTGACCTGGCATACCAAAAGCAGACATTAAAGATATGGTAATTTTATAGTCTCCTGCCAGATTTTATTGGTTAGATATAGCAGTCATATCAGGTTGAGATAATTTATGAGATTTCTGATGCAGTATGGTGCTGCCACCTTGTGGTCAGTTTGAGAACTAAATGCAATCCTTTGAGGATGGCAAAAAGTAATAGATCACTTTTATCGTGGCACATTTGACACAGTGACCTCTCAATGACATAGTGCTAGGTGAAATATAATACCACTACGTAGCTGAAGGCTTCAAAAACTATTAAGAGCTACAACAGCCAGCCGGGATCACCATCATTATCATCATTTTACATTTGAACTCGTGTGAATGAACTATACATTAGCGCTAGGAAAGCAATATACTTCACTGTAGCATACGTCATTGTAATAACCATTATTGTAATGTTCGTATAAAAAGGGCATGATGACCGCAAAGTTCAGTGCATTAATGCTGCGATTAATTTTACCTTGAATAGAGAAATACGTAGAATGTCATAGGATCAATTAATTAAATTGTGGAAATCTTTTTCTGATGTAATGTGATGATAAATACACAATTAGAAAATGAGTGTAGAATGGAAAAGGGATCAAGTTTATAATTTAGATGCATAATTCATGTTAGTCATGACACCTTTAGACATATTAATTTACAGTAATGAGAAAAACAGCTTAAACAAAGGAGCCGATGTGGTGCTCATTCTCATTAGCACACTGGGAAGTATATTCTTGATAAATAGTGCATGGGCCATGCTAGTGGGTCAGATTATTTATGATATGAAAGAGACATAGTTTTCAATATCGTTACTTACATTATAATTGGCAACAACTGATGTTTACAATCCATGTTAACCATGGTAATAAGTTATATGACACTTGATGGTGGAATATGGATGGGAAACCCTAAATGGGGTCATTTATGGGATCATTTCACAAAACACTTATCATATGAAAATACTGCTTTGGATATAGGACATGTTAATTGTAAATGAATCATTTTACTGATGTTAACAGGATCTGAGGTGAAGAGGGATCATCACATGTAAACAATAAAAGTCACATTTAATGTTATTGAAGTGGTCATTTAATTGAAGTCACATCACATTCCTATGATTTTAACTATACAACATTATCAATTGATCTACAGTGTATTCCAGTTCAAATTATGAGAAAACCACATTTGGTAGAAAAGCCGGTTTGAGATGTCATCAATATCATGAAAGACTTGTATCCAAAACTGCTTATAAATAGTACTATACTAAACACTCTAAAGACCTAGATTTTGATAAATGAGGTTCTCCTATCGGCTAGTTGTTTGATGTTTGAAAAAACGAATTTATTTAATGATAACTTAACATTGATTTATTTTATTATCTTTTTAAACATTTATTTAATGTGCAATATTTTAATGCCTCAGGAATGTTATTTGTAACATTTACAACCAGTTCAATCCTGGCAAGAGGTTATCTTTAATTTTTCATTTTGTTCTTTGATATTTTATCTGATTGATTTCATGCTGAATTTTGAAAAATTGAGGTTGGATGTTTTATACTAACATTACACAGCAATATGCCGTATAATAGTGTCTTAAAGGGGATGCATGAAAAGCAACACGTATAAACCATTCTGAAATTCATTCATCACATCTTTCTGTTTCAATAGAAACACACATTAAACAAGATAATATGTGAAGTCATTGGTTATCAGGATGCCTTATACACTTAAAATCATATAAATTCAATGAGAAATATCAGCTCCATTGTAAATATAAAAGGTTGGTCAAAACGGTTTAAATCTTAAAATTGCACAATGATTTAAAATGATATACCAGTGGAAAGCTCATTTCACTTCTAAAATCAAAGACATATAAAACGAAAGATTCAAACATGACTACTTTGATGATAGACCCTTATATCCTTATACCCTCTTTTGGAATTGCATGATAGAGCACACCACATGATATTTTTCACTCCACTCTACCCCACAGTATTTATAAAACAATTAATTATCACCATCTATGATGCTCTTGGGATATTTTAGTACAGTACAGTACTAAATTGTAAAGTATAAAACAGCCAGAATTTGCTAAGGGGTTCACTTTTTAAAAAATTCCAGGGGGGGTTCAGTTTGGACAACTTTTGCCCAAATAGGGCCAAAAACACTTGAAAAGGGGTCAGAATGGTGCAAAACTGTGTGATATTGAAAGAATTTTTGGCCAGGGGGTTCGCTGGCACCCCCAAACCCCCCAGGCCATGGACCTGACAGCACAATGCAGAACAATATAGTACTGAACAGTATAGTGCAGAACAATACAGTACTGTACACTACAGTACAGTACAGTACAGAAATGTACAGTACAGAACTGGAAAGTACAGTACAGTACAGTAAAGGACTGAACAGTAGAGTACAGAACAAAATAAAACAATACAGTACAATACTGTGCCATACAGTACACTTCAGTAAAGTACAGTACAGTACAATAAAGTATAGTATCGTACAATATAGTACTGAACAGTGGAGTAGAGTGAAGTGGAGTAGTACACTACAGAACCAAACAGTATGTTGATAAATGAAGACAATGTATTGTATTAAGACAAACGCTTTAGATGTTCTTTATATTGATGGATGACATTATGTAATGCTCGATATGGGCATCTGCTAGAGGAGTCTTGATTAAGTCCTAGTTACTTAAATATCATTATGGTCATGGATTAAAATGCAAATTTGAGTGAAAAAGAGAGTAATCAGGGTGAAATAAAGTGAACATGTCATGGTTAAATACTTTAAATATTACAGAAATATCTGAAAATGAGAAACTTTATATCAGCTTAGTATACAGTAAAGCTTGTATATCTGAACACCTCTCTAATCCAAACACCTCAAAATGAACACTTTCTCTCAGTCTCAATTTTATAATCTCCCATACTCCCGTTTTAAAGAAACCATGGAATGATATGAGCAGCTGCTTTTCTGAACACTTTGGTCAGTCAAAATGGAGCTTAGTACAGGTTTTACTGTACATGGAGTAATCATTAAGAGAAAGTATTTTTAGGTAGTTTATCATTATTTAGTCTAATATGTGAAGTTCATGATTATCCTATTTTCGTTATTAATCCCGTTCCGCCACCATGAATTCAATAATTGCATGGATTTACATTATGACATATGATATAATTCTTAATTAATGCATGGAGTGATTAAAATTATGCTATAACTTTGTATATCCTTTCTCATTAATCATATTTAGACCTGCAATAATGGGACCAACTAGGATAAATTTTAAGATTTTAAGTATTTGTTAAAACAAAATCACAAATGGTTGGGTGGAAATTATGGGCAAAATGACAAACTAACCTTAAAGGTGCCCGAAACAATTTTTATAAATAGTATAAAAATATATGCATGATAAAACAATATATTCAAACTTTACATAGGGCCTTAATGTCACATTGACTCTGTTCCATTAGTAACACATGTTTACTGTGAAATGGTATTGCATTTTTGCACAGATGAGGCTTAGCTTGAAGGGCTTGGCAGTCGTTCCACTTGGATGATTATTTAAAAAGTATTGATATGCATATTGCCTATTAAATTATAATAGCCAGATCTGTTGTGTAACCAACCCATTCCATCCAATTGAACAAAAGTCTGAGTGTGTTTCCCCCTCCTAGTATCTAAAAATAACTTGATACAATGATGTTTTACCCCACCCTCTTACCACACCTATGGCCGCTATCATCCCCTCATCTTCGCCTTGAGCCCCCAATTTGGCCACAGTCCTCCCCCACTTTGGCTACAGTCCTCCCCCATTTTGGCTACAGTCCTCCCCCACTTTGGCTATAGTCCTCCCCCACTTTGGCTACAGTCCTCCCCCATTTTGGCTACAGTCCTCCCCCACTTTGGCTATAGTCCTCCCCCACTTTGGCTACAGTCCTCCCCACTTTGGCTACAGTCCTCCCCCATTTTGGCTACAGTCCTCCCCCATTTTGGCTACAGTCCTCCCCCACTTTGGCTATAGTCCTCCCCCACTTTGGCTACAGTCCTCCCCACTTTGGCTATAGTTCTCCCCCACTTTGGCTACTGTCCTCCCCCACTTTGGCGGCTTGAAAGCCCCTCTACTTAAGCTCCCACTTAGCTACAGTTCCTTGAGCCCCCTTTCTGGCTAAAGTCCCATGAGTCCTCACTTTGGCTACATGTCCATGACCCCTCACTCTGGCTACAGTCCTTTTAGTTCCCACTTTAGCTACAGTCCCTTGAGCCCCCACTCTGGCTACATGCTCTTGAGCCCCCACTCTGGTTAGAGACCCTTGAGTCCCTACTTTGACCCCAGTTCTTGAGCCCCTACTTTGGCAAGAGTCCCTTGAGCCCCCACTTTGGTGAGAGTCCCTTGAACCCCCACTTTAACCCTAGTTCTTGAGCCCCCACTTTGGCAATAGTCCCTTGAGCCCCCACTTTGGCAAGAGTCCCTTGAGCCCCCACTTTAGCAAGAGTCCCTTTAACCCCCACTTTAACCCTAGTTCTTGAGCCCCCACTTTGGCAATAGTCCCTTGAGCCCCCACTTTAACCCGAGTTCTTGAGCCCCCACTTTGGCATTGTCCCTTGAGCCCCCACTTTGGCAAGAGTCCCTTGAGCCCCCACTTTAGCAAGAGTCCCTTTAACCCCCACTTTAATCCTAGTTCTTGAGCCCCCACTTTGGCAAGAGTCCCTCAAGCCCCCACTTTGACCTGAATCTTTGAGCCTCCACTTTGGCTACAGTCCTTTGGACTATGAGGCTGAAATAGAGAGCAGTGTGTTTAAAGCATAATTTCCAATTCAAGTGGGTGTTTTATCTAGAATAGACTAATTAATCAATCTGAACAGGGATTCTAATCCTATTCTCATAAATCAGTCAGATATTAGGCATGGCTTGATGGATTTATGGAGTTCAGTCTTATCAGGGCACAATAACCTTACATCCTTTAGATAGGAATATTCTTGTCATAGGAAAATTAAATGTCAAACGAGGCTATTGATTCCTTTTTAAAGATTTTACTGGAGACAGAAAGCTGCATTTTTCAAAGGTCATTCTCATGGTGAAGAGTTTAATAAATTGCTCATTGTTACTGCAAGGGTATTTAGAGAAAAGACTTTCATGTTGCAATATATCCTATATCCAGGGTTCCCCCTCCCATTCAGATATCTGATTTTGTTTTCAGGAGTGTGGGTTTGAGGGAACAAAGAGCATAGACTTTGCCTGTACTGTGGAACAGCTCCAGGTAAGAGAATAGTAGATAAGAAGAATACAGGGTGTTCCATTTGTTAAAATAAATACATGGTCTTCCATTTGTTAAAATAAATACAGGATGTTTATTTGTTAATAGAAATACAGGGTTTTCCATTTATTAATAGAAACACAGAGCGTTCCCTTTGTTAACAGAAGTTCCATTATTTTAAGAGATACAGGGTGATCATCCATTTAATAGAAATACAGGGTGTCCCGTTGGTTGATAGAAATACAGGTTGATCCCCCAGCTAATAAAATACAGGGTGTTCCATTGGTTAATAAATGTAAAAGATGTTCTCTTGTTTGATAGAAATACAGGGTGTTCCATTGGTCAACAGAAATGCAGGGTATTCCATTGGACAATAGAAGTACAGGGTGTTCCATTGATTTTTTACATATACAAAATGTTCCATTGGTAATTGCACTCAAAAACAATTTATTCATTAAGAAACATGAAATTCACACCAATTCAGAATAAATTTGTATCATTTTCCATATTTTGTTTGACACTTCAAATAAGAATGGTTCACTAACAGTTGCCATTTCAACCAGACCATGATTGTGCTTAATTATGGAAGACCCTACCATTGACTTAAGTACCAGTGTAGCCAGTACATAATGTAAAATGTTTTTTCTAATTTCCTGAGATTCCCATTATCCGTGTCAACCTTATAATGTTGACATATTCATGCAGTGCTGATTTTATATGGTATTGACATGTTTGTTGAACTCCCTTTTTATCTTTCACAGATTGACATTTTCACAAACATATGTCACTGGAACTTCGTGTTTATGTCTGTGCATGTCACATTTCACTGTGAATTCTCATTTATTTTTATTTTGAATTAAAATGGCCATTGGAAAACCTCAAAGTTCTACATACACTTCTCCTCCAAATATATTTCAAAATTAAAGGCCCAAAATGAAAAACAAGAGATTGTTTGAATTGAAGGTTATTTCACTAGAGAATTTCAAATGTGTTCACTTATTTTTGACGTGTATGTATGTATAGATATAAGGCTATTTAAACAGGAAAGCACATTGGACAAGAAAAACACAAATAAGTGAAAAATAGTAAAAGATATTTTAGTAAGATATCAAATAGAGAATGATAAAAATTAACCTTCATTGTATATTATATCATGCAAGATAAAGGGGCAGAGTTAAATTCTGTCTTCATGTTGAAGTGTTTGAAAATCATTTCATACTTTGAGTCAAAATCATTTACATTTCTCTCTTCTTTTTTTCCTTTGCATGACATGTTTAGGTAGAAATTTTACGCTTAGTAATTTCCTTCTTTCATTAATTTGGCTTCAAAGAACAGTAAGCACTCAGTTTTATCAATCAAACTTTGAAGGATTCAAATCATTTGGATGACAGTAGGCTACAGATCTTGTTTGTTTTTCTCTGGGTGACTTTGATTAATATCCCAGTCAAAGGCTGGTGTCAAATTACATGGAAATCTCTTGAAGTTCACTTCAGTGAGTAACATTAAACTGGGAGTTTTTAACTAACTCATATTTGTGGTTTAGTCTTTTTATCAGCCAAGGAGATTTGGTTTTCTGAAAAATGGTTCACATTATCAAATTATAGCCTGGGGATAGTATTTTGCTGTTATAATTACCTACACTAGACATTTGGATCTTTCATTTAAGATATATATTTTGTTCTTCTGTATTATTGATTGAGGTGACAATATATTTGAACTACATATTTTAGCCACACATTCCCAGTGAACAGGCTTTTGAATATCTCACATTAGACACGTATGAGGCGACAGGATTAATGATGCATGTAGAGTAGTTAATTTTTATTGTTAAGTATAGTGTAAATATTATGTAAATTATTAGCATGTTGGAATTAACAATTGTTAGAAATAGTTAATTTTCTCTTCCAGGATATGGTCGGCAAATTAAAAGACGCTTGTAAAAGTTTAGAACGAAGCAGCCAAATGTAACAAGACAAAACAATTTCAAAGTAGAATATTATTAATGACTAAACCTTGGTCTATTCTCTCTGCCAATTCTTGCAAAATAGCAGAATAGTCTGACTATATACAATGTGACTGTGGACACTCCCTTTGTGATATATCTTCATGTCTGGCTTGAAAGACTGATGCTGTTATAGATTATGGGCGGAATTAAATTACAATTCATCCTTCCACATGAATGGAAAAGATAATCCTTGTTTTTTAATTCATCATTCAACGTGAATGATGATCACCGTAAAAATGACATAAAATTCCTCGGAACATGAGTCGAGAGAAGCCAATGTGTAGGCTTTGGAATCATCCCTTATTTCTCAATTAAGATATTTTCAAATTATACATATATTACCATAAAAGGCGTGATGTGCGTAAAATATATGAGGAACAGGATGACATAAGGTTCTGTGTGTAATTCAGTTGCGTCAGGCCTGATAAATTTGGTTAATGAAATAAAAGCGAGCGGCTCCAGGGAGTCTGAAAGGTGTCATTTCTTATTGTTTTGCACTGTGCAATAAATATTTATCATATTCCTTATGTACTCTCTATTAATACCCGAAGAGGGTCTTCTAACAGTATAATAATGCCTCTATGGCTTCATCTAGACATCGGAGTGACATATATATGTTTATATAATACTCATTAACATACTTGATAGAGGCATTGTATTTTACTGAATTCATCAAAAAATTAACTCTCTTATCTACAATTAGAACAGATGAAATATCCAGACGTTTTTTGTGAAATTTTCAACTAAAATTACAAATATTCTCATGATTATTACTCACGTGGTCCTAACTTTGACCGTTTATTTGAATTTTTGACCTACCGGATGTTTGAAAATCAAGGATTACGAGTCTCATACTGCACCGTTTTTCTTCAAACTTGCTCCATTCAAAGCATAACACAAATCCCTTTCTGATGGTACATTATTCTCTTCAACAGAGTCGCTACTTCCACCGGCATTTTGGTCCCCAGCTGTAAGAAGGCCTTCTAACAGCTGGGGACCAAAACGCTGCTAGAACGAGGGACTCTTTACAATGAAGTAATGCACCGACAGAAAGGCAATTTTGTTCTGCTTTTAATGGTATAAGTTTGAAGAAAAACGGTGCAGTATGAGACTCGCAATCCTTGATTTTCAAGCACCTGGTAGGTCAAAAATTCAAATTAACGGTCGAAGTTAGTACCGCGTGTTACTGTGAATGGGCCAAACAGAAGAAGAATATCTATGGTACTTTAACTAATCTTTTTATGATGAAGTAAATTAAATTTTGCCATGAAGAGGTTTTTTGTTATGGGTTAAGATGTGACATTCCAGTCTTTATGTTTTGTTAACATAACAAGGTTTTCTGATTTGTATATATATATAAAGTAGTTTTCAGTCATGCTTGAGAAAGAAGAAGAAATCGTTATCCATCATCTAATTTATACTTTCTCATGATTATAAAGAATCAGTTAGAGTTTTGGCATGGAGCAAAAATATTAATATACATGTACGCAACTAGTACGATATGGGTATATATTTATGGAAGGTCCTCCATTCTTTTGACTCAACAAAGAAATGAATAATGATGTTATCAGAACCCATTTGTACAAGTGTTCCACTTGATTATAATACCTTCAATGTACCTGTAGTGTCTCATTTAGGCAAATTATAGCTTAAATTTTAATGTAATGTAAATATGGTAATGTGTTTACCAATAATATAAAAAACATATATTTTATAAATGAATACATTTTGTTTATTTTTAATATTACATGGTTAATTAAATCATTGTACAACATGTGAACAAATGAATATCACATGACACAATAGCAAACATACACAGCACCATGACAACAATATTTGCAAGCGTCTCACTGGCCAGAACTTGAGCATTAAATCATAATATATGGCAGCCAATTTGTTATATTATTTAGGGACTGTGTCAATACTTCAATGTTGTCCCTAAAACGTAATAATTTACATTTAAATTTGACCCCTTCTCCCCCAAATTTTTAAGTGCATATTTGTTTATTCTTTTTCAAAGTTAAAGAGAATTTGTCAAAAAATCACAATCTCCTAACAATATTAAATATGTTTGTTTGTTAGCGTACATTGATATATTGACTTTGTCCCCTAGACACATATATTACACCAAAAATACATACATCATCATAACTGCATAAGAAGTGTTGTTGATGGCATCGCGATTTTCTTATTTGAATATCTTGATGGAAAGTTGATCAAAATATGAGACAAATATTTTATAGTTGAATATAATTTGTTAATTTTTAATATTACATGTTTAATTAAATCATCATACAACATGTGAGCACATGATGATCACATGACCACATGTTTTTCAATGATGCACCTGCTCTCATTTTCTCAACATGCAATACTGGTCACATTAAGTCATTAACTGTGACAAGATTTTGTCAGTTATGACAGTGACATGTGGACACTGAGGGTGACATTTAGTGAACAATTGTATTAATTGTTATCACATTACCACTATTGCTGTCATTAGTCGTGTTACCTTTTTGGATTAAAGTAACTCGGAGGGATTTAATTTCAGCATTAATGATTGAGATATTTGATCAAATAGAGAGGTTATAAAGTTAAGGTACAGAAATGTCCACATTTATTGGAATTGAAAAAAGGGAAGTCCCATTTTCATTTTTTGATCATCATAAAAAGGAATACCTTGAAGTGAAGTGTGAAATGAATATTGTGACAATTTTTGTAAAGCTACTAGTCTAGCCTCCAGCCTTTCTACTCCATTTAATTTCCATGCAGGTCCAAAATCATTACACTTTTCCATTTTAACCATGAAAATTATTTCTATTTTTTATCAACCTAGTAACAGAATCCACTAAGCTAAGTGCAACTATTGTTGACTTTTATGCTGAGGGAATTAAGATTAGATACATTATATAAAAAAACAGACAAATGTATTGTTTTTTTTTGAAAGAAGAGACACACTTCCTGTAATTTGTCTCTTTAGTACAGTAAATTGCAAGTAATTGTTTGCAATTTTTTTCCAACTTTTAGTGAAATTAGTTCATTCCCATGCATAAAGTTTTAGTCATAATTGCACCCAAAGCTCACTTTTTTAAATAAAAGCTTTTATTTTCAATTTACCATCAAGAAGCCCTGATATAATGTAAGTCACCATATTTTGTGATCCCATATTTGCCATTTTTCCAGGTTTTGACATTTTAAGAAAATGCCTTCACATTATCACATTTAAATTTCAGTTATTTTATAAAAACCATATGACTTCACTAGTTTTCTTTTAAAATAAATAAGATGTGTATTCTGTCTTGAAGCGATGTGAACATGTCATTTCATGTGATGGAAATACTGTATAATAGCAACTGGGGGAGGGGCAGAAAGACATAGTGCACTATTTAACACTATTGTCATGAGTTTCAGCACCATATATAAATGTAAAAATAGACTTACTAGAAAAAGTAGAAAAGTGTCATCATAATATTGCAAGCATTTTGTTGAATATAATATTGCAAACAATTTCAATGCTGTTAGACTGATTAGAATCAGTTTCATAATGTTACAGTTGTTATGGACAGGAATGTTCTAAATGGATCATGATGACAACAAATGGTCTCTATTTTGAAAGGTTTTGATTGCATATTTCATATATCAGGCACTAACCAGGAGTTTCATCAGCAAATATGTGAAACAGGAGATTTCACCAAAATTGCTTGTTGACTTGTGGAATTTCATGACTGTTTCTACGTTAAAAGTATAATATCCATTAATTTTTTCTGATGAAACTCCTGTTTGTATAAAATATATGGCAGATGAGTTACATAATGGTCGGGTAATTTCAAATCATACATCACTCCTTGTTCGTTTGTTATTCATATTTCTGCTTGAGTCAGTTGTAGAATTGTTCACATTATTTAGTATGGTAGGTGTGGTCTTCGTAATCACACTCATCATGCCATTCAGTTTCTGATACTTGGCAGGTCGGCTCGACATGTGGCCGTTCACTTTTGGTAAAGCATTCGTTAAAGTTTTACCCATTATTCCATATTGAGGTTTTGATTGGATTAATCCATTAGGTTTTGTTGTATTATTTTCTGAATATTTTACTCCATCTTGTGGCTTCAAAGTACTATTTAGTTTTTGAATGGCAGATTTTATATAATCGGATGCCATGGGTGTTTCCTTTGGTGCCGATGGTCTGTTCAAATGGGCTGGGATTCTGTTTATTAATGGCTGTGTCCTTTTATTTGCCTGATTAGGTGGTGGGCGAATTGTATTCCTGCTTGTATTAAGTCCATTCTGTGACGTAACAGGTGTCCTGTGGGCCATTGAGATTCCACTTGTTACCAACCAATAGGGGTTTTCAGTTGGGGTTAGAATAGGCATTTGTAGCATTTGTTTGATGGCCATGTTCCCCCCTGAACTGGTCGGTGGGGTTGACAAAAGATACGCACTTGTCTTGCCTTTAGTTCCTGTCAGGCTGACTGGCAGAGAGATTTGTCCTCCATTCATAAGCTGCTGTTTAGGTATGCTCAGTAATTGAACTGACGCACCTGATGTTTTAATACTATCCAATAATGGAGTCATCGATTGTAAGCTTTGTGGAGTAATTAATTTTGTCTGTTCTTTCTGTGCAGCTTTACTATATATGGTATTTTTTGGAGGGGTTCGGGTTCTTGATTTCCTGGAATTAGTTAGGAGTGGGGTCTTCCGGGCCCCTGGATGTTGACTAGATACCACCCTACCTCCAATGTATGAGGAACTGGTAATTGGGGATGGGTTAGATGTGAATGAGCCAGATGTGAACTGTGGCATAGATAAAATTGGTATAGTAGGTGACATAGATTCTTCATTAATATTTTCAATATCAGTTTCACTCACTCTTTCTTTGTCACCAGTTAAATCCTTAGGAGATGTTTTAATTGTCAAATTCAATGCATTTGTTGGTTCTGGAGTTTTGTTATTTCCTAATTGTGGCCGAGAGTCTGCTTCTGATTCCTGTTTGACAACAGGATCTTCTTCAACTTGTCGTTGAGGGATATTCAACCCATCAGTTTTCTTAAGACTGACTCCAGCGATGAGTTGAGATGCAGTTACTTTAGTTGTTGGCTGCTTTACACCAGCTGCTTTGTTCTTACTTCTTCTCTTTCTATTTTGATAACCAGATCGACCAGTTTGGGCACTCTTTGCTTTTGCTTTAGCTACTCCAACATTTGCTGCATTAGCTGCACAGCCATCACATTTCTCTAATGATGTGAACCCAGGACTTGTAGAACCTTTGTTATTGTTATCAGGACTGCTCTCTGTGGATGAACTTTGAGCTTGTTCAGTCTCTGAGTCTTTACCAGTATCTGGTGTGCTATTTACAGATTCAGTTGTGCTTGCTATAGAAGTGTCCGGCACTGATGTTGTTGTGGAGAGGTTCATAGATGCTGGGATGGGTGTATTATAATCCATTTCTTTGAGGGCTGTGTGATTAGTATCTTGTACATGATTGTTCATCATAGTATCATTCAGTGTTGTACCATTACTGTTAACCAATGGTAAGGTTTGGTTGTTAATGGCTGATGGGGTCAGTGTTTTGGGTATTAAATCCATTGTAGCGCTGGTTTGGTCCTTGGTGGGTTTTAACACAGTAGGTGGGGTTGGGTTGGGTATAATACCTAAGTTATTCATTGTTGATGGTGGTATTGTGTGCTGCACTTCCATTGGATTTGCAAGTTTGGTGTTTTTCATGCTGACCATAGGATGCATTCCTTGATTTTGTGGGGCTCCAATATTATGCATTTGCTCTGGAGGTATTGTGGTAGGTAAACCATTATGAAGTCCAGGGAACCTAATATTTTTCATATTTTCCAAAATATTGTTCATTGCCTGTGGATGATTTTGTATCATCGGGTTGATTTGAGTGTGTAGATCACCATGGATACGATTCATTGTATTTTGATCGAATAAGTTCATTGCACTCGGGTTGTGTAGAAGCATATTTATTGCATTAGTGTTGCTATCCATAATGTCAATTAGAGGGTTAACTCCATATGTACTAACCAGTCGGTTAGTGTTCTCCATAATACTGTTCATAGTTTGTGTGTTATGCTGCATTAAAGCATTCAATGGAGGAAGTGCATTCTCCATTATATGGCTGGGTTGAGTTATCACAGGGTGGGCTAACATTGGATTTGGAGGTGGTAAAATATTCTCCAAGATTGGAGAGTGAATAGGACCAGCTTGAAGACCCATATCCATTTGGTGAGGAGCTGGTACTGATCTCTGAACCCCTGGTACTTGTGTGGGGTCGTAGGAATATGCAGTATCACCATTGATCACATGGGGCACATGTGTAGCACCTATATGGGTAGATTCATGTCCAGATTGTGCTGGTTCATGAGTATTGTTTTGAGATATATCCTGATTAGCATGAGTCACATTACAGTCAGTAAGTTCAGATTCAGGAAGAGTTTCAGATACCTGAGAATCTGGTGTACAATCCATGCCATTAGAGTCATTGTTATCAGTTGCACTGTCTATACTATCCAAATTGATTTGCAATGGGTGATCAGTATCATCTGTCTCATCATTTGATCCACTTGGATCAGTGAACATAGGGCTTTGTGGGGGATCAGGGCTTTGAGGAGTTTCAGGACAATAATCATCATCATCATTATCCATTATATTTATGTCAACATCCTCTTCATGATCACCATCAATATTATTTTGAGATTCAGGGTTCAAATTAGTATCCATGTGAGAGTCGGCATAATCTGTGGATTCTGTGTGTGTTTCATTTGTTATACTTATAGAGTGAGACTTCTCCACAGTTATGTCAGGGCCATTATGTTTATCCGTAACTGTTATTTGAGGCTCTCCCGATTGATACACACTTCCTGAATTATCACTTACTGGTAATTCAGTGTCATTTGTGGTGTTCTCTTTTGATGAAGCGATTTTATTTGAATTGTCAATAGTATCCACACAAGGTGTATCAGGTACTTTGTTTTGAATCATAGTGTCTGCTTCTTCAGTTACATTTTCTGCTTGTTCCATATTACCGTTTTGTGTCCTTGTGTTAATATCATTGGAGGTCCCTGCTACTGATTCCTCAGTATTTATTTTGTCCATATTGTCTGTTTTTGTATCACTGCATGATGGGGCTTCATCAACAATGATTATGTCTTTATCAATGGCACTTGAATCACTAGTTTCAGAGGCTTTCACATGAGCTTTCTCTGATGGCACTTTCTCTGAGAGTATAGGTTGGTGAGTTAACTTCATTTTCTTTGTAGGAGGAGCATCTTTAATGTCTTCTATGGAATAGAACAGTCTCAGTGGGTTGTCCTGAAGATAAACATCAAAACATTCATTATTTTTATGGGCTGTTAATAGCCAAACCTGTAGACTTTAATTATAGAGGTGAACATTTATTTCAATCTGGCTTGATTTTATGGACTAGGGCTTTTTGTAATAGTAATTTATGCACCATCAAAGAAATGACTGGTACTCACCCGTCTCCATGCATAGATGTAGCAAATATCCATGAGAGTGTAATCATCCTTTAGCACTTCTTCTGTGGCCTTATAGTGCATTATATCTACCTGTAAGAGTAGAACCATATTAGGTAACATACTTCTTTTTAAGGTTTTTATTAAGTCTTTTTCTGAGAAAAACTATTTTGCTAAGTTGTAGACTATAATCAATACAGTCAAAATGAGAGACTATTTAAATTATTTTCTAATTTTAACTTCAAGGGCATCGTTATAAGAACACAGGTGATACGCACATAAAACAATTAGTTAAAGCACATTACAATTATTTACCTTTGACTTTTTTGGTAGCTGGAACTTCATCCTAATGAATTTCTTCAAATGGCACACAAGGAATCCTGCAGGACATAGCAGATACCTAGTTGACCAATGCTGAAACCCAGAAATTGATACATATTGCAAAATTTATACTTTTCCACCATAACAATTTCCCTAACATATAAAAAACATTTGCTAAAAATAATTTATAAGAAAATAACAATAAAACTAAACTAAACTAAACTATACATAGAGGTATCTGATGCAGTACAATTTCCAAATATTTTGCATATTTAAATTGCATATTTCAAAATTGTGCAACTTTCAAAATATGTATTTGAAATAGGACTGGTTAAACACTGGATTGTAGAGATTAAGTTTTTTATTTAACTAAAGTTACAGGGAATATCAAAATTATATTCAAACATTAATAACATATTATTTTAAAGAAGAATCCTAGAACTGTGTTGAAAGAATACAGAGAACTATATTAACATTTACACTTTCTAACTTTATCTTTTTAGAAAATTGTCAACTAATTTTAAGAAATGTTGAGCACCCCTAAACTGTTTGACCTCGTATACAATTTAAATTTAAAAAAGTTATTATTTATTTCATTTGTAAATTAAATTTTTACTATCATAAATAAAGCATTTGTCTGGGAAAATTATAAACTTAGCTTTAACTGTAATTTATATGTGACAGTAGGATTTGGCTAAGACAAATCGACACATGCCAAAGTGGTGGCCTAATGGTTTAAAAATGATGACTATCATTTTGACAATAATGAAAAATGAGGAAGTGAGTTCTAAATGTCCTCCCTGTTTTCGATTAGAAGTGAAAAATAGAAGTCTTAAATTAGCTTGTATAAAAGAGCTCTGTTATGATTAGTATAAAGAGGACCTGAAAATGACTGTGGTGAAAAATGAATGCATTAAAACCATTCATAACAAAGCTCTACAGCTGTTATCTAGGAGGATATATATCTTGTATTATGATATTTGAATGCCTACAATTTTAACCATCAAATATTTCAAAAATACCACAACATGGAGAATTATTAATAGAGCTCAATAAATAGGGAATATTAAGGACACAGGCTCATGAATAGTTTAAGACATAAGAAGCGACGCATAGGATAATACAACAAAGAAATTGAAAAATGACAAGACAAAGGTAGGAAAACAATTTTCAAATATATGGCGAGTAAATAGAATCCAGAAACTTTATCACTAGGCTAAAACACTCTTAAAATAAAAGTGCGATAATGGAACCAAATTCTGAGTGAGGTTTCAATAGGCCTTAGAAATTTATTTGTCCCGTATATAGCGCATAGCACTGTTAATTCAATTAGAAAGTACCGAAGTGTGTAGAAGAAGACATTAAAGTTTTTAATATATTAAGCAAGGTTAACTTAGTCAATAAATTATCCTTAAAGATAGCAACTACACTTAGATATTACTTTGATCAGTGGGCATAAAACATAAACTGAATACAGCAATCATGTGAATCTAATATAAACAGTTATAATGACAGAACAGTGAATTGCTTGGCCCAAACCTAAATTGGCTGTCAGGTCACCCCTTTTCTGCACCTTTTCTCTCTTAACAAAGACTATTGAATCTTATTTTCTGACATTTCTCTACAATTTGGAGTGTTGACTACATGCCGGTAAAACCTATTCATTGCAGATTCCTCTCCTTTTATGCATTTTTGAATATTCAAATGTAAACACTGTGAATATATTTGTTTGGCTATGCTGGGAATATGATGAATGTATATTGGACTTCATCATTGCCCTGTGTTCAGGATATGCAACAACACTTCTTAGGAACAAGTACAAGTCTGGCACTACCCTTGGTATCCATACACACCTATAGACATATTTGACAATTTTAACAACATCTCGATTCTGATACTCTTTATATCTGGTAAAAATCGATACGTTTGTATTGATTGTAGCAGTGTCAATGCCTTGTGATTCTCACTGTTTAGTTATGTGTCTGACAGAGATAATCAAGATGTTTATAAAGGTCAATGTGTGATCGATCAACTTGACATACACCATAATCCACTACCCTTTGCAAAACTTTGACTGCTTTAACTCTATAATGATAATTATTTGATCAAGCATTTGTATAAGCAGATTATTCCATCACAAAATTGTGACAATATTTTCTGGATGTGAAATCCCAGACGTTCAAATGTCATGGAAACTAAATTAAAAATTGTCTTATATCCTATCACCATCAAAACTAAAGTGTGTTAGTTAGAGGAAAGTGTGACTTGTTCATTGGTAGTCAGAGTACATATCACAAGCAATATGAGGAAATAACCAAAGCAATCTGTGAAATATTAAACCAATTTCTCCAAGGCAAAAGTTCACATGATATTTATCTTGACTGAACAGAGGGAATGGACATGGGTAGAATTAGTGACTTCTGCAATAAACAGAGGTAGGATCATTTTCCTGGAGGAAAAATTAGAGATATATGAACTGAGGTCTTGTTAAATATTTTATGCCCTTCCACATTGATTTTAGGATGGTGAATGAGAAAGAAATGTAGTTTACAGGATTTACCAGTTTCTTGAGGAGGCATTATAAAGGTCAGATTTAATTTTGTAATTTGTTTTTCTTCGAAATTACTTTTTATCACAGTTGTACTGTTTGGTTAGAACATGAAACATTAACTCAATTTATGAGCAGTTCCTAGAATTAAGAATTATAAGAAACTACAAGGAGGACCTTTTAGTGCATAAGCACCTTAATATTTCAGGATATTTTAAATGGGTTTTTAAAAAATAGTGTTAAAAACATCTGAATGTGCTAACTCCACATACCTGCCTTACAGTCGCATCTATGTGTTCTTGAACAGGATTCGTCTCACTGAAAAGAAAGGCGTACCATTGTTTTATTGTGTTTTGAAAAAAACATTATTGGGTCATATGTATTTATCCTCTGTCCGACTACAGAACTCAAAGACCCAGAATATTTGGACCAAGTTCTGTAGCCCTGTGTTCAGATGATGCATATATTTTACATGGGGACTTAATAGTGTTAAACAATGGTGTGAACCAGATGGTATGCTTAGACAGGAATCATGATAGATACCCCACAGTCAGGCAAATCATTTTCAAATGACATAATAGCTGAAACTCATAGGCACTTAGGTTATTACTTTTAACTAGAATCAGAGAAATATTGAACTTGTTAATATTATTTTACATATCTCAAAGGGGTAAACGATATATAAAGCGGAAAGTCTCTAGATTTTAAATGCATATCCAGTCAGAACACAGTCCCAATTTACAAACACATGAACAATATGCTGAAGTAAATGAATGGTGGTCTGTATTGAGAAATTTCTTGTGGTATAGTGTCAGACCAGAGAATTATTTATGTGTCTCTTTTTAGACATTCTGAGGGAGAAATTAAAAGAGTGAATTACTTGGAATGACTGAAGTATTCTAGAGAAAGACTGATTTTCTCATCCAGGGTGTGAATGACATATTCCTCTTCCACCTCTCCCCTCTCCTCTACTGCTCTTGTAGATGGCCCTAAAATACAACCAATAACAAAGCTGAAGAATCTTGTAATGCTACATAAGGGCCATAAAGGCCTTAGCCTGGACTCAAGTATAAAGTGTTATTATACAATAATGGTGAGATTTTTTCGGAAAATATTCTTTGTGACCTGAATCAAATATTAGAAAAAAAGGTTTGGCATACACACATAGAGCAGTCTTGGAGAACTGGTATTTTGAGTACATGTTAATTGGGAAGATATTTTCAGGGAATTACCAATGGTAGAAGAAACTATGTAAGAAACAGATAAAACATCTTTAAGTGCTGATGGCCTCATAATTCATACATTCTCTTGAGACAATCTGGACCCCTATTAGATACTACATTCACTATGGTAGGACATGATTAATGTAATGTAGAACATGAAGAATATAAAGAAGCATTTCAGCATTGTTATACTAACATTAACGATTTAACAGGACTTCATATCATAATGCACTCACTGGAGATATTTGAAACTTGAAAAATACAGTGGAGCCCACGTTTTATTCAATTTTTCAATAGCTCATTAATAATAATGTTTTCAATGTTATTCAGAACCATTCAAACATTGAATTGCCTTTTGAACATTGCATTGGATATCAGTACTAAAATGGCAATGCCATTTTGTCTTTAAGTATAAAGTTTATTCTGACAATTATATGCTTTACATAAATAAAGTTAAGGACAAAATGTATAATACAGAATAGATGATGCATTTGTTATTAAATACAAAGTCATGTGTGGCACAATAAGCTATAACTATTTAAACACAAGTACAAGTCCTTGAGGAAATTGCAATTTAAGGCAGACCTTGGATATATAGTTAAGGAATAATGCACTTTTATCAATTGTCAGAAAGTCCTTGCGGAATTTGCAATTTATGGCAGACCTTGGATATACTTGGTATATATATAAGTTTAAGGAATAATGCACTTTTAGCAATGGTCATATATTATCCCTTAGAATTGATGCTGAAGAAAATGGTTTAAGTCAGTAGATGTGATGCATTACAGTTTAGCTCAGGGGTATTACTGCCAGTGTTATTTTTCAATGTCAGAGTTCAAGTCATATCTCTGACATTTCACAATTTAGAAAGTGGAACTGCACTTCCTTTATTCAGGGATATATATTTTTCAAAATTGATCTTAATAACCTTTGTAAACAGAATATCAAAGGCTTTATTTGTTGGAGATAGGATTGTTGTTATTATTGTAGCTGTTTACTGTTGAATGTCTCTTGTAAAATGTAAAATGGGTAATGTGTTTATTTTCCCACAAGTCTGCATTTATCATGTGTCAAGTGAAGTATGGTCAATCCTTTTCTAGATGCCATATAAGAATGGTAAAGTAGAAAAATGACAGCATAATAAATGGAGCAGAACAACTGCTATGTCATATATAGTAATTAGGTAATTAAATTAGTCTAGGCATCATTAGCAACCTGACTGATAAGGCATAAAGGTTATCTGGAATATAGCTTCAGGTTTGTTAACTCAGAGTTGATGGTACAGTAAGTTTATGGCCTACTTGGAATGTATGGGTATATTATGCTAAAACTGTGATAAATATTTTCTTAGGAATACATCATCTACATTTCATGATTTCAAATTGGGTAGATAATGATTATACAAAGGATGATAATTTGATAGTAACACACATAGGACAATAAGTTGTGGATAATCCATTGGTCAATATACTAAATGATTGTTTAAGACATGGCCTACCTGCTTCAGGATGATCTGCGTAAAATTCACGTCTTCGTTTCATTTCGTCTAAAAATTAAATGCAAATAATAAACAATAGAAGTAGTTGTTAACAGTAGTTTTTGATATTTTGTATCAATAAATGGGTTGTAAATATACCAAAAAGTCACTTCTATAACATATAATATCTTGTTTTCACATTGAATGTTTCTGTCTATGCTTGCATCCAGGCACCAAACAAATATAATAGTAATTTCTATCTCTACTGTATCCAAAATGTTACTTTATTGATGGACATTGATTTGACATACTATGATGTTGGTATATAAATTGTTTAACAAAATGTTGATATATTTATTTGTTTTGGGTATAGGGATAGTAATGATTGGTTCTTTCTGCTCTCATATATTCTAATCATATATTTGGTGTTGTTTTGTAATTTTGTTTTCCTCAAACTCAGCTAACACAACCCTATACGATTTCTCATTTGTTAAAACCACAATTTTTTGATTGAAAAAGCTACAAAGTAAACACACAACATTATGAGGCACGTCACAGCGACATGTAAAATTTAACAAATGAATAATGATTAAATGGAAGCGTTAATTCTAATGAAAATTTCATGAGATAGATTATGGCATATGGCTGAGGTAGAACTTAAAACTGTTAAACCACAAATACAATTTATCTTGGCAAGTTTTGGGAAATATTCCATTTGGCTAAAACAATCATTAAATTTATTTGCAATAAATTAGAGCATACAGTGATATAAGAGCCCACTTTAGACAAAGCATGTTTTCAATGAATATAAAAAAGATCAATCATCTAGTTAGTTCTAGTTGAGTTGGATTAAATAAGATTAACTCAATTAGCCCATGATTGTATTTTCTATTGAAAAGGAGTGGTTTATTACTTTAGCAAGATTTTTGTCACTTTGCTCCTAGAAATTACACTAATGACGGAAAAGTTGTGGAAGAAATGTCCCAGGCATGTGGTATATTTCATAATGCTTGGATTAGTTTCAATTAAGTAAACATGTTTTATGAAATTTTATCACCTTTATTGCTGCAGACTTTGGGCTTAAATCAAAATCTCCATCAAAATAACATTTGTCATTGGGCTCTTGATCAGTAATGTTTATTCATTGTATTGTTGAAGCAAGAGCACCGGTGAATCAGTTTACCACAATGCTATGGGGAATGTTGAGCAGTACCCCATTAAAGATCAGGTCCCACCGCTGCCACCAAACTTTCATTTTTATTAATAAAGGGTCATCAATTGATCAAGATGAAGCTCCCATTGAGACTATGAGAATGAATTATTCACAAATAATATGTATAATTGACACTCTGGATTTTAGTCAGAATTGGGAAATTTTGGTTTTGATCAGCTCATTTACAGTTGTGTTGTGTTGTGAATTTATTTAGTTAATCTAAAGTTTGCCAAAAGACAAATTTCAGTCCACACATTCATATTTCTAATGATATTATTTTTGCTACCTTTGAACTACTTTGCAATGACTTGAAAAATAAATAAATGTGTGACTTTTTGATTGATAGATGTGTAATTAATTTATTTAGTATGCATGTAAATGTTTAGCATATTTAACAATTGAAATAAATGTTTAATTTAAAACCTTAATGTTCAGCCAATTGAGATTCTCTAACAAGTGTTCTCTTTGATGTGTAGTAATTTTCAAAATATATATAAATTAAACGAAAATGAAAATGATCTACTACATGGCTATATCATTTTGTGCCTGAAAAGTATTCTCTCTGAATTCCTTCCATTTAGAAACTTCGTTCCAGCTGATTCCTCTCTTTAGTTTTACTCTTCTTGATTTATGATATATAATATGAATAATATGAATAGTGTTTTAAAGTTGGATTTATACTGTTTGTTTGGCATTAAATTCTTAAATGGATGCAAAATTCTAATTTGACAAATTATGCCAAATAAATTGATAAACTTGGGCAAAATAAATTGTTGCTGTAAGGTTAGAAGAAATTCTTAACTGGGTGCAAAGTAAAAGCCAGTTCTTAGTTTGGTGCAAAAATACATTTTAAAGCAAATTCTTATTTGGGTGCAAAATACATTTTAAAGTAAATTCTTATTTGGGTGCAAAGCTTATTTGGGTGCAAAGTACATTTTAAAGCAAATTCTTATTTTGGGTGCAAAGTACATTTAATTAAAGCAAATTCTTATTTGGGTACAAAGTACATTTAATTAAAGCAATTTCTTATTTGGGTGCAAAGTACATTTAATTAAAGCAAATTCTTATTTGTGTGCAAAGTACATTTAATTAAAGCAAATTCTTATTTGGGTGCAAAGTACATTTAATTAAAACAAATTCTTATTTGGGTGCAAAGTACATTTAATTAAAGCAAATTCTCATTTGGGTGCAAAGTACATTTGTCAAGCAAATTCATAAATGGATGCAAATAAGCTGGGTGCATAGTAAATTCTAAGGTAAAAATTCTAGACTAGGTGCACTTTTATTTTCAAGCCATCGCTGAGTTGCTGAATGCTTATGTACCATTTTAAATATAAAATTGTTCTCACCTTTAAAAAGGCCAGGGACAAGTTTGTAGACTAGTGCTTGCAATTGTTTATCAGGCCTGAAAACAGTAAACAATGAACTGATAATAAATACTAATAAAATAAATAATTCAATCGTCAAGTACTATTCAGAAAACATTATTGATACTTACACAAATACTTCAGATAATGTAGATAGGCTTCTGTCTGTCACCCTGTATATTAAACTTCTCACATTGAATATTAAATCTAACTGCAAAATAAACCCAGATTTGACCACATTTAATCCTGTTTTTAAACTAGAGCACGAGATCCTAAACTTTTGCTTGCTTAATTTCAGTTATCATTTATATCTGGTGAAAAATTCATCAACAAATCCATGTTGTCCTCCCGTTGATGATATACCAAATGAATGCGAAATTTCACATACATGCATGAGATATATAAAGGAAGATAAGGTAATTAATATAAACACAGACCGTAAAGTGAATACATTGTGACATGTTCTAGATCATAAATAACACCACTCTTGGCTGGCTTGTTGGGTTGGAAGACTTGAATAGTCCAAACTCAAGTCATTATAAAAACGCACATAGAGTTCTATGAATAATGTCAATATGGCCGGCTATAATGATCTATAATATCAATCTTCATTCTTTCAAATTCGGCGATGATTACTCCTTCTGAATGAGATGAATGACAGGGCCATATAAATCACAATGACTGAATTCAATTCATATAAATCATTGAATAAATTGAACCGACAAATTATTTGTGGAAATTATTCAGCGGGACATAAAGCAATGTTTTGAGACAGCTGTTGTGAACAGTGCTATTCTCAGACACCAGGTTCGGAATCTCAACATACGCTATGCCCCTGGCACTTTCTTGTATTCTTCCTCCACAAATGCCGCTATGTAAACCTCTCAAAGTTGCATAACGCTGATTAGAAGAAGATTACAAGTATACTTTCACCAGTCAACTGGACTGATTTATGTCCGCGATACTATCAAGAGAGGTCGACTTCTCTCAAGGGCCCCTATATTACAAGCACTTCAGACTGCTACTGAATGTGTATCTCCGTGCTGACTTAGCAATTTGCGAATATTCTCAAAGTACCTTTCTTTATTCTACGCTAGGAAAGGTCGCATCGACATTCAGATCAAGATACGGATAGATTTATTCGAAACTATTGTGAGGCTCATAATAAACCAAACAGTCTCCTGTAATCTTTACACAAACGCATGCATTCAGCTTCCATTTTGTTTTTATTTACGCTTTCTGTCAGCGATAATGGCTTGTATCACGGATTCCTGGGTTCCAGGGATTGTTTTGTGACATTTATGGCCAGTTAAATGTTAAACGCTGAGGTGATTCTGGAGTGGTTTCCCATATTGTAAAATCAATTGTCATTTAAGAAAAAACCAGAAGAAAACATTAGCTCGCCCGGGATATTATCCATTTATTTAATTGACTGTGGTATGAATCTTTAGGTGATCTATTTGGTGAAAGCAATTAAGTTTAGATATGTGGTTCCAAATACATAAACAAGGCATAGAAAACCAGTTGTCTAAACACTGGACATTTACCAACACTAACCATAGGCATGAACATTACTGGACGTTGGCAGGATTATAAATGAGATGGTTTTAGTAATCTTTACCGGCTAGTCCTCTCCTTTACACCGATAGAAAATCAGTAAAGTAAATGGATCGCCCAATGGAATGGACTTTTAGTTGTCTATTTGTAAGAAGTAATGACTTGAACCGCTAAATATCACATAGCAGTAATTAAGCCTCATCATGACCGACCCGTCCATCAACAAGAGAGTACTCGATAGTATTACCATGGTAACCCCATCAATCTCGGGAAGAATTCTCCAACATATCAACCTCACTTCAAACCATCGTGCACACAGGCGCCACTCGCTAATAACCACCATTTTGCTTTTTAAATTGGAAATGGAGATCGATGTGATTTTTGAATGAACATTCCAAGCAGGTGCTACAGCAAACAGAGCAAGACTTCTATCAAGGTACTTGCTATTTGATTCTTCTTTATACACCTACTAGGCTATATATCTCAAATACAAATTTCGATAATGCATACGTTTTATTTTCTCGTATGACTAACTCAGATTCAGTCACGGTCATCTTTCATCGTAAAAAGTCAAACATGCAAAATGATTTTTGTGGCATCACTTGTTTATATACAAAAACATGGCAACGGAAGCACTGTTGCTATGGATATCCATGTTTTCAATAGGATATTTCTGTCCAAGTGTATGACAACATTATTTTGACTTTGTGGTATCCAATCCCGTCACCCCTTCCTACAAATGTATCCCTCTATGAACAAGTTACAATGCCGTAAGTGTAAAGTAAACGTATCTGACCACACATACCGTATACTAGTGTTACATTGGCCAATATAACAAATTTCTTTTAATTATTAAATTTGGTCAAAAAGTAAATTGATGAGTAGGCCCTTTCTTTATCCAGTTCCTCCTTATCAACCCGCTTGGCCCTTCAATAACATTTATGCAACATGAACAACTTGAGATTGTAACTAGTCACCCTTATGACTGTTAAGCGCATTGTCTTTTGATCATTGTTGAAATGTAATATTGCAATGCAGTATGATGGAGGCGGTGTTTCTTTCGAACATGTACGGGAATAACACGCCGAATGTTAAAACATTTTTTAGTTCGTGAAATCAAATATTTTATTATAAATCGAAGCAAGCGAACATAACTCCTAAAGGCGATTCCCTAACATTTTGCAGTTAACTTATTTAAAAACTGGCGTTTAAGAAGCATCGATTTTTGAAAAAAGAAGGGCAATTTTCTGAAATCTGAAAAGACCCACTTTTCCTGAAAAGGAAAAGATTTGTCAATCACCCCCTGCATTTCGTATGCTCCTTTCCACGCGTTCACTTTAATTTCCTGAATTTAATGATAATCCCGACACTGCCTAACAGTCGATCTGGTTTTAGCAAAGAGCTCGGTCGTTCTCCGTTTAAAACGCCCCAGAAATTCTATGAAAGAACCGTATAGATAAAGCTTCCTTTATTTTGGAGTAGTGAATTTCTGTTAATTGGGAAGAACCAACCGATTGTGACCACATACTTGCAATGCGCCTTATATTACAGGCTCTTGTGTTCAGTTCCCTGAGTCTATAAATGCCATCTTAAAATGAAAGCATACCACAAAAGACAAAGACACTATTTTAAAGCCTTGCGAATGTTCACCTGTTCACGCATTGACAAAAATGTATACAATTTCATGTAACCGTCTGAAGATAGTGATTATATATTTTGAAAGTGTTGTTGTAAACCCAGCTTTATTTCCACGTGTGTTAAAGATTGTCACTGTCGTAATTAATGTGTAACCAAAGATAAGAGCTACATGTGAAGTGTTACGGTTCTTGATTATGATAACGTTAATGAAAATATAGAAACACCGCCCCTCCCTCCCTTACATTATTAGGAAAATAGAATTATACTAAGCAAAACATTACCTTAGATTGACATGCGGCTTTGTCTTATGGACCATTACATCGCATATTGGACAGTATTCACAGCTTTTCAGGTAGCTCACTATACACGTTTTACAAACTGAAAAAATAAAAAATACTGATTTATGTTTGACAGTCAGTGGTGGAGACTTGATGTGGTGATGAGGGTACGGTGATATAGTAAACTAAACTGTCATATGGGCCCCATAAATATAACAAATAATATCTTGAAAATGCAAATTGCAGAGACTGGCTAGAATTGTGTTTTATCAGAATTTGTGCGTCCAATACTTTTTCAATCGACCTCGTCTCTCCAATGTGCTCATAGCGTGTCATACATGTCATACGGTTTTAGGAATTTAGGTTTAACCTAAAGAGGTATTTGATACAAGTCATATCCAGTTATTTCGAAACCCACATCGTACCTTCAGTCATTCATGCTTATCAAACTGTTAAACAAGCATATTCCTTCACTCGTACAACCAGAAAGTGGCTCTCAAACTTGTAATTGTACAAAAGTGACAGTATATCTCTCTATGCATATATGTAATAGTCCAATGAATGATGTTTGCACATTATTTACAATGTATGTGTGTACATGATACAAATAGAATATATAGAGATTATCCTATATGAGGTTCAGGATATTGGGATTATCCCGAGGCAAATATAATATATTTGCCCGAGGGCCGCAGGTCCCGAGGGAAAATATATTATATTGGCCAAGGGATAATCCCAATATCCTGAACCGACTATAGGATAATATGTTTATCCCATACCAATCTTGGTCATCTGGTTCACATTGTTCAATCGTGGAAATATTTTAGAATATTCATGTCCAGTTTTGTTTTCTTGGTCGTGGGCGGATTTCCTGTTCTCTCACATATTCCCACATTTATTTTCTCGAATTTTTGATTGATTAAGTGGATGCTCCTTTCCTTTTTTAAACCATCAAACAGATCCCGATTGTCTGTGTTTTCTCCATTGTCGTTTACAGTCATTACGCGAACGTTACAAATTATGAACAAATATGCGAGCGGCGATTATGACGTAGCGGGCAGATATACTATATCTGCCCGCTCGGAGCGGGACGTAAAGCTATATTTGCCCGCTGATGAAAATATAAGTTTTTACAAACCGGCTTTATGTACCTGTAACACGTCTAAGTATGGGATAAAAAAATATACGATTCATATTAACTTTCTATTTTTACACTTCGAGATACGATAGACGCTTAAATTGCTATTTGAATGTTTCATGTTTTATTGCGGTTAATGTCTTTCAAAATGACTTTACTTGCGTCATAAGGACTTGCTGTGCAGAGATACAGAGTTCCACGGACAATTTATTCCCTTTTAGTATCGGGCGTGAATATCAACATTCGACAACATTGGCACATACAATTTTGAGTAATAAATTTATCCCAGTGTTCAACATGTCAAGGATGACATATATGATGTTATTTTATGTTTATATAAAACATATCGTGGGTGAACAGAGAACAAATGATTTATGTATACGTCGACAGAATAAACTGTATGGTGGCCTTATTTACCGACAGTCGCTGTACTGAATAAAACACAAGAGGTCGCATGTGTTCGAGCCGCCGAAGTTGCGTGAACCTGTCAGAGTAATAATTCCAACAAAGATAACACGTCAAAAGATTTCCATAGTTTTTATGCCTGAGTGTTCTCTTTGTTTCTTTAGAATATGTTTAATCTAAAATCAGATGGTAGCATCGTTTCATTGAGTAGTTCACCGGTTGGAATCCTGACACGCGCTTGTGTATAGCCGGCTTAATCTGGGTGTATTTTTTCTCTCGATATTTTCAGCACGTTCTATTGTAGGCCAAGCTTGAGGTTACAACTGAAAGTGTAACAGGAACTCCTCGTATTCACTGTTCAATAGGTGCAATGCTATTAATTCAGAATGTTTTCCGCAATGCGCGAAATAAAGAGGTCGTCATATATATGCATATGCTAACAAACAATAAATCACTTTGGATGTAGCCGGACATCTCGAGATCCCTCCGAATGTTGCTTCTAGTGATAAACACGTCACGTCACGACTAGGTTTACCTTTTACATTCCATTTATAAGCAATAGTCCCGTTCAATAATAAAAATAATAGTCCAACCTGCATTCCCAAAATGCTCAATCACCTTGCACCTTACCAAGTATTATGTAATCCAGTACTTACATGAATGCAGACACTCCACTATGGTAGTAGCATCCACTAAGTATCCTCCGCAAAGTACGCACATAAGATGGGGGTTCAACTCCGTGATCGGTATTAGGGTTGTCCGGTGCATCCTAGAGGCAAACGAAACACAAACATTATCCGTTAGCAAAAGTCGTCTTGCATAGACGTTGAAATGACGAAGGGAAATGAATATCTCCCGATGTTCTCAAGAGACGCACAGAGATTGAACCAACCAATCACATTGCTAGCTCACCACAATTAATCATCGCCACATTGTAGGCGGGACTAAGTGAACCAAATACAAATAAATCTCCCGTATTGCTAAAATCAATGATCAATATTATTAATGATATAGGCATGCTTTGGTAGCTGTTTAATATTAGTGATAAAGGCGACTGGAGAATTCTTTCTTTGTATGTGTTGTAACATGATCATCATTTTATGGTTTGCTTTCGACCAAGGTTATACGGGTTATATGTAATCCAATGACGCTTCTGAACGTTCGCCATTTTTGTTTAACCGGCTTATGTAGGTCAAGCCCTTTGAAACCATCTGTTGTCTTCCAAGTTTCGTGTGTCTTTGTCGCTTCTTTCTTCGAAGATTTTCTTCCACTTGGCCTGGTTCAGTGTCTTGTTCCATTTGCAAAGTGCTGCTGTAAATTGAAGCATCAGCTGCCAAACTACAATAGCTCTTCTATACTTTGTATACTGATGGTATACGTTTTGTATTCTAGGTCACATCTTGGTTGAGTTGACTGGCAGACAACTCGATGGTTGAATTGACCACAGCTCCTACATTAAGGTGAACAGCCCTGCTTGACTATCTATACTTACTCTGTTATCCTTTTGCCGAGTTGTCCAAAAAATGTTAAATCAGCAGCCTCCGACTGGTATTAACACTAGATCCTACATGTACACCTCTCGACCTCTTGTTCTCAGCTGTGCATCGTGCGCGCCAGAATGTCACTATACCTACAGTTATGACCTCTTTCTCTGAGCGATCAAACACGTGACTGTTTGATATATTAGATTCGGTTTCATATGCAAATCACACAAAATGCCTTCCTATAGCCACCGTAGCATAGACATCCAATTTACGAAGATATGACTCATTTGTCTTCCCTCTCAAGATAAGACTGCTAAGGCAAAGCGTTCGTAATTACAAAGTTAACGATAATGCGGTTGATCTATGGGGTCAACGCCAAAGGTTATTCATTGGGGATCGTAAATCCAACTTTTCGCGTTTGATTCTTGACATGTCGAAACGCCTTTTAGCCAAATTGTATGTACCACTATAAATCTCGGCCACATTGGTGTTTGAAAATAGAAATAGAGTCTTCTGATTTCGAGTATGGTTGTCACGATCCTGTCTCGTTATTGTCGAACCATATGTAGCCTATTTTTAATGAGAATGTATGAAGATCGATTTTCAACCACACAGTATTATGATCGCTTATATATCAGATTAATTGTCAAATGACTCAATTCATGGATTGTGTTTTATCTTCCCTAAAGACATGATAGACTAGACCCATGAAACACTTGATAGACCAATCTCTACAGTGCAGTGCCACCGAACCATTGTTAAAGTTAATTAGATTTAATAACGAGCGTGACATTGCATTAATCACTACGATAAGTGTGACTGTCATACCAAAGTTGATATATCAATAAGACGGATTTCTCCTACGAGGTTTATGATATAGCAAAATATTGAAGAGGGTTACCCAGTGAAACTTGTTTCAAAACTCATTCTTTATCTGATATCATAACAATCAATCACTCGTTGCAAACAATATATTATTCACAGTATCCAGTTACTCTGTTGAGGTTTCGATCATTTCAACATCAGATTGATAACGTACAATAAAAATAATTTACGTCCTCCGGGATTAATTTTGAACCTTTAATCCCTCAGAACAATTACAACAAATATTGGAGTCTACTTTTATTCCATTGAGTTCTTTATCATAGATTATTTAACAATCGGAAACTCTTTTCAATAGTTTCAACAATATTAGAAATATGATTAATTGAAAGAATTTTCAATATCTATTTTAATTAAACGAATGTTAACGCGGAACTCTATCCGACATCAAGCGCATAAAGCGGGTGAGTAGAAAATGATAACCAATTTTTGAGAAACAAATGTATTAAGTTAACGAAATAACTGATATAACTAATGTAATATATTTTGATTACATTCGATTGCATTGTAAAAGTAAGTATCATTTTGTTAATCTAAAGTTTTTTAATGTTATGTCATCGTTTACTAATTTATGCTGCCCCTTTTTGGAAAGCATTTTGAAAATAATACGTCTCTTTACTCCGAACGTTAGGTATAGTAGCCGATACAGTTTCTAAAGGGGTAATAAAACCAGTCTCGTTTTTAGGATTTGTTTATTTATTCTTCTAATTTTATTGTGTATTTAAAACTAACGAAATATATAAAAATATAAATACAAAATTATCTAAAACAAACCTATATTTTTAGGATTTCATTTTTGAATATAATAGTTTTAAAATAAATAGAAAAATAGAAAACTTACGAACAGATTCATATATAAACTTATCATTAATAGATATTTATTGGTATGAGAAATATAAAGTAAACTTGAAACAAACCTAATTAATGCATCGTGATATATTGTCGTAAATGATAATGTGATTAATTTGAAATATTGAACTCTGTATCATTTGAGATTGGATATTTACATTTTTTATTCATTATCTACACGGAGCGAGATGATGCTTGATTATCTGCATGAAGTGTGACTGTGGTCGCAGTTGTTCCGCTATAATTTTATGTTTAAACCTCGAATCTGTTTTAAAAACGCAGTTAAATGTATTTTTGATAAGATTATAACTATTTTTAACGTTTCATATTACCGATTACATTCAGTAAAGCCATCTCTCCTCCCTAGATAATTATGGAATATAGATCAATAGATCGGACGAATTGATAAACATATTATGTCACGGTGACAATTTGCGCAACGTTAAGCGTCGATGAATCAGTCTAAACGATACCTAAACATAATCAGCCTTGGTTCAAGGGTATTTCAGTGCTATACAGAGTTGCGATAGCAGAGACGCCCGCTTTTTAAGGATGGAACGGCGCAGTCATCATCTCCATGACGACAATACACAAAGCCGTCAATATCATGATACAGTTGTCAATATAAAACAACATACATGCAACCCATAACAATTATTTTTGGTTTATTCAAAAGGACGGTTATCACCGTGGGACGCCAAAACCTACTACACTGAGCGGGTCCACGAAAACAGAGTTTACAAATGTAAGGCCTGACGATGCATGCTCCAATGATTACCTCCATAAAACATGATTACCTTCATAAAACATGATTACCTCCATAAAACATAAATTGAAGACAGGCGTTCCCCGGAGTATACCATTCTGAACGATTGGCAAATGACTTACTAGTAGTAAAGAAGTAATAAGAATACTGGTATATTCCAGTAGTTCTGACGTGAAATGGCTTTTGCAAATTATGATCACACCCTGACAGGTCGTACTTGTATACGTAGAAGAAAACACCAACAAGAGAGAAAAAACAAGAGACGTATTGTTAACGTTGATACCATGCAATCACCGGCAACGTTGAATAACATAGGGGTATATAGCTGAATAAAAATCATCCTGTGAGCCGATAATCAATTAATATTTCTGTACTCTTTATTCCATAATTACTAAACAGAGCTGACAGTCCCCTGGTACGGTGATCACGTAGGGACTCATAAACTATTTTTGACAATGCATAAGTACAATTCACGGACAATAAAACTTGTTTTCATATTTATGAAGGGGCCAATGCCACTATAAAGCAAGGTCCTATGAGATAAGGCAAAGGGGTCCAAGATGTACATTTGACTGTAAAGTATGAAGAACCTCTGACATTGAGATTACTTTCTAGTTTTTACTGTGCTCCTTAAGCCGGGAAGAGTAATAAAGGTAAGTAATTCGTATGGATCATGGAAATGTTATGCTTGGTTTGGTTCGGCGGTCACAATTTCAGGATGTTTCAACTGTAACTATGGTAACCAGATATCAGTTAAGTCAAGCAATGTGCAAAACAAAAAGAAACCGCAAGTTCCGCACGTCAAAAGTTCAACTGAAAACACAATTGCATATGTACATGTAGGCGATCGCAACTTCAATAGCATCAGGTTCACTTTCTCAAACGAAAGTACAATTTGATCAAGAAGAGTGCATCTAATATCTGTAAATGGCTGCCCTTGGCGTTGAGTTCGGATATTCCCTTTATAAGAAATGGGATAAAACTAAACGTTCGGCAAATATTAGCTTCTATTCAAAGAGTTGACGGATTAAATTTCAGCGACAAAAGGAAGAATAATAGTATTGAAAACCTGGCAAGGTTCAGGTACCCCCATGCTTCAAACGTACTGAACTGTTTCCTCAAGAATAAAAGAGAAATTCAGATTTTACCATTGGACATGTTAAGGCAAACAGACACATAGATATGTAGATATCGTGTACATAAATGAAAAAAATCAATCACGGATCTTAATTATAGGATAAAATGCAAAGGCTTGACCTCGGCTATATTTTAAGTGTGGGTTTGAACTGATCCAACGTCGCCAAGATACCTAATTGACAACTTGTCATCTCTCATTAATATTGCTTCATGATATCTGAAAGGGAGTGTCATGTGGATAATACTAGTGGATACCAAGTTTGGCCGATGCAAACATAAGAGCAACGCCAATGAATGTACTCTCTACATGTTAAAATGTTCCACAAAAACAACTTGTCAAAGAGTCGCAAACAAAGGTTTCACCTGTTAGATGCTGAATCTATATAACATGAGGACTTCTTCCATGGAGTCAGCTTTCCCTTTTTGAGTTGATATAGCACTTGCTTGTTGAGCAATGGTTTCTAGTTAGAGACTCAGAGAACCATGCCGTTACCATTTCTCTCATGAAATATGTAAGGGTTTTCAGAATGGGAGACCGCAGCTCAAAAACTTTAGCAGCACCAATATAAGTGTCAATCTATTGTTTTCATTGAGGTGAATGTTCAATTACATAAAAAGCATGTAGTGTTATGGACAACAAGAACAACATCATGTCCAATGAGCCCAGAGATTGGCACCTTTTGGAAGCGGCTTTTGATTTTCATTTAATTGAAGAGAGAATGGTTGGTGCAGCTGGTGTTTACCCTGCATTATAGTCCTAGGTTCTCTTATCGTGACATGGACCGTTTGCGATAGATACAAAACGTGTATATTTAGGCAGATTGGCAGACCTATCAGGCGATATAGTTTTGGAATACGAATCTTTTGTGGCTGGTTGTATCAAAGTGTGGTCAGAGAATCCTTTCAATAATGTTTCTCCGTCGCTGCTAGTTCAGGTCAATCAAGAGAGTATAAAGTCTATGCGATACTGTAGCCGAGATGCGGTGTACAGACCAACATAGGTGTCATTTATTATGATGAATACGGGTGACTGGGTGCTATAGTGCATTGTGTTAAGACAGCAACCATGATCGATGCCTCTGCTTCTCATTAAATTACAAATACAACTATACAGAGATACCTTTCTGTATAACAAAGATGTTTCTCAAGTAGAAATAATGTCTTTGCATATAGAAGCATTGGAAATCATAAATTCTGTTGTTTTATCGACGTTGTTGTTTGTTGAAAAACGCGGGCAGATTTGAAATTCGCCCATTTTAGCAATGAACATCACTACACCCTAGCCGAGGTACAAATAAATGGTAAGGGCAAGTATACTGTTACTGGTAGACTTACCGTTGTAAAACATCATCCCAATGAACCAAAATCATACTCAGAATTAAAAGTAGTAGATCATAAACACCACATACCTTGTTAATGGCTCCAGAGGTAAGAGTCACGATGAAGGACAAAAGACGTGGCATTAGAAAAAACACAGAAAACCACCCCATATATATCTGCCATCAAAACGATAGATAGTGTAGTGTCAAATCAAAAAGCATGTGACAACTTAAAAAGATACA